ATAAATCGATCAAACTTCAATACATTTCCATGTGTTGAAATGTTGTAGTCTTGTATACCTTCAACTTTCTACGAAATGGCGACTGTTCTGTCAATTCTTTTCAACTCATTATTAATACCCCTATCTATGTCAATAAAGCGAATTATTTCATCCTTGATAAATAGGAAATTTCGAAAGATGTGTGCTAACTAGCAGAATGGCAAATATTCTCGCAAACTGTTGCCTGTATATTCATTCAGTTTCTATGTATATGTAGGTATATACAGTGAATTTGAAATTATTTCCGAAATACGCCGAAGCAAAATAAGCCATGTGATGAATATTTCCATTTTCATATACAGAAACACTCACCATCTTGAAACAAGAAAACTAAAACTAGTAATATTAAAAAACGTACTTACAGGAAGGCTCGCTTTTCTTTGGAGGATTGTAACTGCCACTCACGAAGTTTAGACATGATACAAACATGTTCAAGATTTACTTTTTTGTTAGCGAATTTGAAAAACCTATACTTTACGGTCCACTGTCCGAACCACAACTGCCGGTTTTTTCTCTAATACTTTTTCATGTCGGTTTTGGTAGTGGTAATTGATTCAGCATAAAAACTTGTGTATTCACCTCAATTAGGAAAAATCCAAAACCAGCAGTTTCTGCCCGTCAGCGACTTTACTTGAATAATAATAGGATTGAACTCCGAACTATAATTTCCTTTGAATATCGATATTCTCTACTGATATCCTGTAAGCTAAATAATTCTAATAATTGTACTGTTCTTTAATGAAATGGGAATTTCGAATATTCCCAATGAAAGTATTATAATTTCGATCCATGCTTGACAATATGGGATTTCTTATTATTCAGTTCATCCTGTATATTCGATTATTATTTTAAAATTCCATGAATTATAACAAAAAATCGACCTGCAACTCTACAAAATGGCGAGTGTGAACTATTTCTGATACATATTTTTAGTACCTGTGTATAAACATATAGGTAAAGAAAGCGAATTTCAAATATTTTCATCGTTATATGGAAACTTATCAAAGCAAAATACTAGCATTGTGATGAATACTTCCATATTCATATACAAAAACACTCAGCATTTTTTTATATCACCTGGTCGGCCGTACGCGATGAAATCCAGAAGGAGACTGATAATTGGTTTGATTCATCATTCTGATGACTATTCAGTTACGTCATCCTTCCAACCGATTGATTTTCGAACGAGTACGACTAATTCCGATATCAGTATAAGGGGTGGGGTGGGGTGAAAAGAAAATACACAGTGTCACCCTTTAAGTCTGTATTATATGCGATTTTTTATTATTCAGTCTCGTGCAAATTAGGATATCATTGATAGTTATCACTTTGGAAATAATTCAAAATGAAGATCAAGATTTTTTTATCCATGGATAGCCGTCATATCAGACATTTTCTGTCAGAAAATACAATGTAATAAGATGTCAATTTGTGAATATTAACGATTTTAAAGTAGCTTATAAATTCATAATCAGCTGAAAGTACATAACCATTGAAAATTGCTTTTATATAAATCGATCAAACTTTAATACATTTTCATGTGTTGAAATGTTGTAGTCTTGTATACCTTCAACTTCCTACGAAATAGCGAGTGTTCTGTCAATTCTTTTTAACTCATATTATTAATACCCCTGTCTATGTCAATAAAGCGAATTATTTCATCCTTAATAAATAGGAAATTTCGAAAGATGTGTGCTAACTAGCAGAATGGCAAATATTCTCGCAAACTGTTGCCTGTATATTCATTTAGTTTCTATGTATATATAGGTATACACAGTGAATTTGAAACGTTTTCCGAAATACACCGAAGCAAAATAATAGCCATGTGATGAATACTTCAATTCATTCATTCACAAAAACACTTACCATATCGAAAAAAGACAATATTCACACACTCAAGTAAAACACAATTCCTTAACCGAAGATGAATTCTCATTTTTCACTTTTTGATAATAATTATTCGAGTTCTTTTTTTATATCACTTGAATTGACTGTACGCGATGAAATCCAGAAAGAGATTGCTGATTTGTTTTATTCGTCATTCTGATGAATGATACGTCATTTTTCCAACCGATTAATACCCGAACAAGTACGACTCATCTCGATACGGATAGTTGGTATACGGAGTGAAAAGAAATGTAATGTACAGGGTGATTCACCATAAATGTCCCCCCCCTCTAGCTCACTCATTCTTGAACCGATTTGAAAAATTGAAAAATAATCTGAAATGATTTTTCAAACTTATTTTTTCCGTTGCATCAAAAAATACAGGGTGCTCGGAACAAACGATCTACAGAGTACTACTTGATTTTTCAAATGGAACACCTTGTATTTCATTGAATTTTTAGATTCTTCCTGAAGAGCTGATTTCATCAATGTATCACACTTGGGGTCTAGCGGGAATCTTTACAGAGATATAGGGTGTTCAGAATCGAGATTTCTCAAACTTTAGTATTTTTTTCTGTCGAAACTATTCATCATTGGTCAAAAAGGTTTCCATTTCCCTATCTCAACTTTTGATTTACTATCTAGTGACATTTAATTGGAACATTTACAGGGTGGTTCAAGATTCAGAATTCTGATCACCCTGTATCTGTTCCCATTATTAAATGTATGTAGATAGTAAATCAAAAGTTGTGGTACGGACTTGAAAGCCGTTTTGACCGATAATGAATAGTTTCGTCACAAAAAAATCCCGAAGTTGGAAAATCTCGATTTTGAACACCCTATATATCTGTATTCATTCCTGCTTGATCCTGAGTGTGATACATCGATCAAATCAGCTCTTCTGGGAGAATCTAAAAATACCATGAAAAATAGGGTGTTCCATTTAAAAAAATTAAATAGTACCCTGTATATCGTTTGTTCCGAGCACCCTGTATCTTCTGATGTAGCAGAAAAAAACTTCATCGAAAATCATTCGAGATTTCAAATTTTGAAATCGGTTCAAAAATAACTGAGCTGGAGGGAAGGACATTTATGGTGAATCACCCTGTACATTGTCACCGTTGAAGTCTGCATCATAGGTTTTTTTATTATTGATTTTGTGCAAATTAGGATTTCATGAACAATCCTTACTTTGGAAATAATGCAGTATGAAGTTCATGATTGTCTGATCAATCGATAGCTGTCGAATTAGACATTTTCTGTTTGAAAATAAAAAGTGAAAAATTCCATATTTCGAATATAAACTGTAGAATTAATTCATCCTAATACGAAATTTGAAACGATTTGTTTCAACCCTGAACTGAATGGCAAAAGTTTCGCCACTTGTTGCATTAATATGCATCTGGTTCCTCGTAATATAGAAAGCTAATTTCCAATGTTTGCGTCATTATATGAAAATTTACCGGATCAAAATACTTCCAAATATGAGCATACCCATGTATATGAAATACAAAAACATTTACCATCTTGAAAATATTGATCTTTCACACACACAAATGTGATACAATCACCAAACCGAAGATGAATTTCAATTTTTGACTTTCAAATAATTTCAGTTATGTTTCTATTTTGCTTTAATCGTCCGTACGCGATGAAATCTAGAACGAGACTGGCGATTGGTTTGATTCATAATTCTGATGACTAATCAGTTACGTCACCCTTTCATTAGTAACAGTTCTTACTTTGAAAATAATGCAATATGAAGTTCATGATTCATCGATCAATAGATAGCTGTCAAATTCAACATTTCCTGTCAGAAAATAAAAAGTAAGGAATTCCATCTTCCGAATATAACTATAAACTATTGTAATAATTCTTCATCCTTATTAAATACGAAATTCAAAACGGTTTGTTTAAACTCTGAACAGAATGGCAAAAGTTTCGCAACTTGTTGCATTGATATTCATCTAGTTCCTCCATATGTACATATAAGTATAGAAAGCGAATTTCCACACTCAAATACAAAAATACGATCTTGAAAAAATACATTTTCCACACACTCAAATGAAATACAATCACTAAACCGAAGATGCATTTAAATTTTTCACATTCAAATAATTCGAATTCTTTTTCTATCACTTCAATGGATATTAATCAGTTACGCCATCCCTTCAACCGATTGATTCCCGAACAAGTACGACTAAATCCGGTATCGATAGTAGGTATACGAGATGAGGTGAAAAAAAATTCAATATACAGTGTCACCGTTGAAGTCCGTATCATCATATGGGATTTCTTATTATTCAGTTCACCCTGTATATTCGATTATTATTTCAAAAAAACGTGGTTTATAATAAAATGTCGACCTATAACTCAACAAAATTGCGAGTGTTCTTGCAACTCTAATACATATTTTATATTGTTCTTAAAATGTTTGTTCATATTCATCATTCGGTTGCCCCCTTACGAGCAACCCTCAGAAGTCTTCAAGAGACTTGTGCGAGCAAGGAATGACGGGGTCTTATCTTTTAACGTGTGTTCCCAAACACTTTCTTAGGCCCTCAGAATTTTTTCTGCGGTCGTGGTGGAAATCGAACCCACCTACCGGCAATCCAACGTGAATAAAACATTGACGCTTTAACCACGAGGCTATAGGTATAGGAAGTGAATTTCAAATATTTTCATCGTGATTTGGAAAATTACCAAAGCAAAATACTAGCCATGTGATGATTGCTTCCAGCTTCATATACAGAAACACTCACCATCTTGAAAAAATACCACTTTGACACACTAAAATGAATTTGAGTTCTTAATGATTCAAGACTGAAGAATTCAAACTCGAAAAATATCACAATGACCACTAAACTTTCGATCAAATGCATGGAAACCTGTATGTTAACAAACATTCAGTGTACTTTACATTAGCTACTACGCAGCAAGAGGGCGTATCGCCTATTTTCAATCGCCTATACTGAGTCATATGAACGGAGCTCTGGGCATTAGTTTGATGGATAAAGAGGTCAAATAAGGGTAGTTTACTAGTTTGTTGGCATTATCTATCGATTGAATTTCAGATTATCCCGGTCAATATGAATGCTACTGGCACTTCCATCACAAGGAGCGTCGTTTCGGGCACTGGCTCGGCTGCCAGATCATCGTCGACGAGTTCAACTTGAAGGGAAACAAGTCCGTCCTGGAAACATCTTATCAGTCCCGACAGCCGAAACCGGTGAAGCCGTCTGTTGCAGGCGACTTCTATCGTATCGACGGTGACAGCATGGTGAAACAATATTCCAATGTTTGGCAAGGTGGGTGCATAAAATGTATGGTGTTTGTAAAGTCAGTTAAGGCACCGAAAAAAGGTTTCAACCGTCCACGTGTCGGATAAGCCTTTGAGAATCTGCAGCCAACTGCTGCGGATGATGATATTTTTGTAAAAACTTCACAAACAATAAGATTTCCACAAAATTCTCAAACACGAGATGTTTCGCTAACATAGTAGCTTCGTCAGGTGATATACTGGTACGATGAACTAAAATAACCCTGGCTTGCTTATATATCCTACTTTCCCAACATGAAAGATTAATTACCTGTGGACAGGTTCGATATACCTCCATTAAAATACGGTGTACCGGATTAACTTGAAATGGTTGATAGAAAATACATATTATTACCTACTAAGAAAACAAATTCAACAGTGGTGAACTATTGAGGTCTAATTGATCGTTCGAACGTACGACCTGTCAGACCGATATATACCTTAGGACAAGATCCACAGTTTATTTTGTAACCCCTGAAAAAATCGAAAAATCCATAACCCTGTTTATTTCAATTATATGCACATAAAATTGATTTCACAAGTTTGCGTTCTTGGCTTTTCTATACAGGCGCTGCTCCATCAGACGGCAGATGCACATTGAACCTCGACCTGCCGCTCAAAGCAGAAGAAGCGGCCAATATCAACGACGAAGAAAGCGATTCCGCCAAGCAAGATCACGAACAGCTCGTGAGGCGCATCAGCGTAGGCATCGAGGACATCAAACTTCAAGACCCCACCGATACCAATGAGTAAGTATCCAGCGAAAAGTGCATCCCCAAAAACTTGGTTTTCTGTTTCGGGCCAGGAGCTATTTCACTTCCAGTCAGCTAAGGCACAGGTCCGACCTGTCTTGGAATACTGTTCCCATATTTGGAGTTCAGCACCCAAACATACCCTGAAACTGTTGGATTCTGTCGAAAAAAAGGCAATTCGTCTCGTGGGTGATGCCTCGCTCACAAACTCACTCACTTCTCTGGAACACCGTAGAAAAGTTGGCCATCTGGCTCTATTTTATAGATATTTTCATGGACGATGCTCATCTGAAATATCAACAATTGTACCTCCCTTGGCAGTCCCCGCGAGATTAACCCGTCGCACCCCTTCATGGTCACTTTGGAGACCTGCAGAACATCTCTTTCCAAAGACTCGTTCATCCAACGAACAGCGAGGCTATGGAACACATTGCCAAGGGAGGTGTTCCCCGAGGCATATAACCTCCAGAAATTCAAGAACACCAATTCCAACCTTATTTCCCTTGGTTCTCACGATGTTCTCTGAACATTACAGGATATATCCCTTTTCGTGGGAACCAGAACATGAAAAAAAGCTTCGAAAGTTGAATGTCGCTATTGAAGTTTATAAAATATCATTATAACAAAGAGGGATACGATGTGTCCATTTCGCAGTGGTCGAACGCCTCGTGGGTATTAACTGCTGAGAGGTGTTTACATTGGGTCAGGTTTGCACCAGATGAATACCATTTGGGGCACCCCTGCACTGATGGAAGCCAAAGCTTGAAACCGGACTGTAGGTAGTCAAGCGTTCCTAAACAATTAAAGGAAAACTCAGCATTTAGGAAAGAAACACTTGCAACTGTATTCGTCTATACGGATCGTTGCCTCATAGATTTCGAGAGGATGTAATTAAATGTTGTGAAGTAGTTGTTTTTCTCTCGTTATCTACCATTTTCGTTCATTTCATGAACTATTGTGGTAATGACTTCGAGTTTCATACTCTTTGTTACCATTTCATTACAGTTTGAGTATGTTTGCTCTTTCCTAGTTGAAATATCATTATGATTATATTTTTCGTTGCAATTAAAGACTTCCAGATTAGCAACGAAAAATAAAACTTGAATTTGAAACAATAACTAATTTTCAACAAATACAAGATGATTCACTTCCAGTAGAAGTTTTCCAAGTTGGAATAAAAACTTCAAATTTGTAAATTCAGATTTTTAGTATAGTGAGCTTCCATGGATCATATTCAGGTTAGGATTATTCGATAAATATTTGAATTGAAGTAAACAAGTGTATAGATTCACAATATTAACATTTGATCATTCAGTCAAACACAATTATAAACATTCCAATTTGAATTTTGAAATTAATGCTAATACACATTCACATTCAACTAGACAAACAGACATGTTTTTCCTCATTAAAATCAAATCTGAATTTGGCAAGAGATCTATATATTACAATGGATCATTACTTCACAATGAATTGCCAACAACACTTTAAAAAAATATCAATACCAAAAAATTCAAGAAAGAACTCAAGAAATATTTATTCGTCTGAATTTTGTCGTCATCCATATTGAGATCATATAATATATCAATTATTTTAATCATTCATTCACTCAAACAAGGATCAGCTCAAACTATGAGAATTACTAGAATAATTATATTATACCTGTATAATTTCATATATAATATTGTTCACCCTTTATAAAGACAATTGGTGATGTTGTCATGAACTGTAATAGAATTTTGTTATACAATTAAGAAAAGTCAATAAAAATCTATTGATGTCACTCTGAAATATCAAAAATATAATTTATTCTATCAAACTACTATACTAGCTGTATCAAGTGGGAACCAGCCCCATATTCTGTAGGCAAATTCCTCCAATACCTATAAATACTATATTCTGAATGTAATGTAATACATTATGGTTTATTTTTTAATGTTCCCTGTTATAAACATATACGTCGATTGTTTCTTGGGAATAATAAAGATGATGATGATGATTCTGAATGCGTAAAATCACGATTGTGAGAATTCATCTGAAGTAAACTTTCTTATTGTAGCAGCGATTCCGATAATCAGAGCATAGTGTCACTCACCGAGAGCAACTCCTCCAAAGGGTATTCCCAAGGTTACGTAGTGGTGCCCTTACCGGAATGCTTCAAGATCGACAATATGTTGCCCATTGAAAAGACGGACGAAGGTAATCAAATTAGTTAGTAAGACACATGACAGGAAATAAATAGGCGTGATCAAGGAAATCCAATGAACCATTTGGGGAAGTACAAATATTTCACGTTTGAAGCCACTCATGAAATTACAAAATAAAACAATAAAGTGCATTTTCAATTTACCTTTTTTAGCATCAACTGCGAATCTATACAAACCTAAAGACTTGCTGAATCTAGTTTCATTATATAAACTCAAAATTTGTTGTTTTATTCATTTTGTCAGGAAGGAATTGAAAATATCGAATTTGAATTTTAATGAAGTTAATACGATTCACGCCCATGAAACAAGGCAATTCAATTTATCTGATAGCAAATAATTATAAGTCAAATTTTGGTAAACAATCAATATTCCATTATGGAATAATTTTGTATAACTTCTTACCTAATGAGTTGAAAAATATAGAAGAAGCAGAAAAATTTAAAATGAAATTAAAGAAATATCTGCTCAGTAAACTTTAATAGTACTAATCATTCACAATTTGATTACTTGTAATGAATTATAATATTTTCATTTTATATTCTATTATAATTCTTTTTTTTTTTAGGAAAAACAATAATTGTGCAATTATTATTGTTTCGATTTATTATGTTTTATATGTATGTTTTGTTGTATATATCCCTATTATAAACAATAATGTTTCTTGGGGTAATGAAGACAATCAATCAACCCAAAATAGTTCACTGTCACAATTTGTTTTCTCCTTAGAGTTCTGTATATTTTTTGAATAAATATTGAAATTGGTGATATTTTATAACATAAAGACACCGGAAAATAACCGATCCATATGTTCAACAAAGCAAGAATATTTCTTATTGCCATTTACCATTCCATTGTTTACTTATCATATGATTTTTTTTTTGCAATAAAATTCTGATATAACCTATACCTTCATATCTTTATGACGTTCATTTGTACTCTTCCGAATTGAAAAAAACCTTGTTTGCTTTCGATTCTTGTTTGGCAATTATTAGGCATCGGTTTGTTACCTATTTGAAAAATTAACAATGAAAATTCGTCAGAAAATCTTTCTGATCTATCTTGCTAGGATTGAACAAAGGAAGCAGTAGTTGGGTGCAGTGAATCTAGAATTCACTACACAAATTTTTAATTCTTCACTTCATATGGGTACTTGTTTTATAATATTCTGTATTATCAAGGAACAGTTTCAAGTACAGCTAATGACATTATATGTGGAGTACCACAAGGGTCAATCTTAGGCCCTTTTTTATTTTTGATATATATCAACTCGATTGTTAACATCAAATTGAAAGGAAAAGTTTACATGTTTGCTGATGACACTACATTGATTTATTCCGCAGACTCAATCCAACAAATCAGAAATGCAATTGAAAGTGACTTGATTATTTTATCTTCATGGTTGTCCTATAATAAATTGAGTATAAATTACAGCAAATCAGCATTCATGTATATCTCTAAACGACGCCTCTCAAGTGAACTAAAATTTGATATCAAATTTAATAATGAAATCATCAAATATTCCACAGCCATCAAATTCCTTGGGATATTCCTTGATGAACATTTGTCATGGTGCAAACATATAGAATCGATCAGAAAGAAAATATCTCCAGTAATCGGAGTACTCTACAGGATCAGACACCAAATCACTTTGAAATACTTGAAATGTATATATTTTTCCTTGGTTTATTCAAAATTACGATACTTGATTTCAGTTTGGGTTACAGCTAGATTATCAATCATGAAGCCAATCAAAATCCTTCAAAACAAAGTTATTAAATGTATATACAAACTAGATCACTTGGAACCAACAAGAAATCTTTATAAACCTAGGCAATTGTTAGATATAAACTCCATTTACAAATTCAAAATATTGAATTTCATCCATTCCGTCAAATATAATTATAAACATTCAAATCTGAATTTTGAAGTCAATAGTCATAAACACGAACACATAACCAGACAAAAAGATATGTTAACTCTCATCAAAATTAAATCAAATATGGGTAAAAGATCTATTTTATACAATGGAACAATTCTCTATAATGAATTACCTGCCAGACTAAAGAAAAAATTGAGTGTTAAAAAATTCAAAAAAGAACTGATTCTCTTCATATCATCCTGAATCAATTCAAGAAATTATATTCAACAGTCTCTAGAAGAAACAACATTATATGTATTATGTATATGATTTAAAAATGATTATCTGATTATCTAATTTTTGTTTTTTTAGTTGCTCTTTCATAATTTTCCCTGCTATAAACATATATGTTTTTTGGGAATAATAAAGATAATAATGTATTTGGTGTGTATTAAAACACTTATATGGTGAACATGAAATCACGCTCTCATTTGTAAATGAAATTTGCTGGTTCTTATTATTGAAAAAAGTGCAACGAATGATTGAATCAAATTTTATTTAAACATGAAGAAATGTGTATAAAATAAATATGTGGTGTAAATTCAATTAGCGGAAATGATAAGAGTTTTATATTATGGCTATGGCATCTGAGAGCAGTGGTGGTCTAGATAGTAGTAGTAGAGTATAAAAACAGACAAACATAATAAACATGGGAGTCAAGATATCTAATCATCATGTTTGCAGTATAAGTAGTAATTTTTATAGGTATGTCGAGCGATTCCGTCAAAACTGTCGTTCCACCTGTCATTGAAGTTGAACCGATCGCCACCACGAAGGTGCCTGCTGTCACTGCTACTGCTTCGGCAGATAAATCCGAGGCTGTGGACGAACAAGGGGACTGTTTCGACAGGAACAATAACAGCGAAGATGTCGACCAGAACTCTGCCGGATCGGTCCAGAAAGCGGACGACGCTTGTTCGACTTCCAGTCGCAAGTCTGATATAGTTATGGTGACTATGCCCGAGGGTGCTGAAAAAGACAGCGAGGGTGTGTAATTTTTTGAGTGTGTATACACGAAGTAATTTAAGACAGGGGCATATTGGCATTTGCTTGTTTTAACCTTCCAGCGGGCGCGCTCTCCTGGATTTCCATGAGCAGGCACTTGTCGCAAATTCTGGTTTTCTCCATTTGAATGGTGTTTTCTCCACATATATGTTGGAAAATTGCTGTGAGGATATGAAAAAATTATAAAATGATATGATAGTACTCCCTTCAAGCTTGCGGACTGTGTAGTTTTCCTTGAACGGGCACTTGTCGTAAATTTTACGTCATCATGTTTCCTTTATGTAAATGGTGTATTTTTTCACATAAATGTTGGGGAATTGCTGTGGAGTTATGAATGTGGATATAACAATATGACACTAAAAAAATATATTCGATTCAACAAAAAATTAGTGAAACTCTTGAGAAATGTGAGTAATCCAAACCAAATTTGTAGAAACACGGTATCTTGTCTTACGCCTTCTTGTAGATTTATTTTTTCCCATAAAAAAAATTCCATGGCTTCTCTTCTTCAGATTAGTCTGGGTCATTTCCTTGTTCGGAAGCAATGTCTTCAGGATGATGCTCAATTTCTTTTTCCGAAAACTCACCATCACTCAAGGGACAGTAAGTCTCATCATCTTGTTCTGGCTCATCAAGTACGTATTGAGCGAGTCTTTTTTCTAGCTCATTCTGTGTGGGCAGTCTACGAGCCATAATACACACACTGGCACAATTAGAGGAACGGGTAAAATTTACACTAAGTTTGACATCAATTTTCTCTCGAACCGATCACTCGATTCAAATTTGTTTTTCACGAATTGTAGCTTCATTCTTCACGAATACATCTGAGAAATAACCACCTCCAAACGATTCGTCTTTATATCATATACAGGGGTGTAAAGAAAGTACGGATTTTTCGGTATTCTTTAAGACATCCTGTGGAGTGAACCACTGATAATTGAAACGATTTTTCAACACCAAATTGGAGCCCAATCTATTCCGAATATTTTCGTTTTTTATTCATCTTGATATCCCAATTATCCAAGAAAATATAGAGTTTCAAAGATGAGGTGGATATAGGTATTAATTTTACCACCTCGAAACTCGAACTGGGAAGAACGTGTCGTTTTTCAACTTGTTTCTGTGAGGATTTTTACTTCAAGATGAGAATTGTTCACAGTTTTACCTATCGGTTTAATGTTCAAATACACATATACGAATACTCTCATGAATATGCAGGGGTGATAAAAGTTGCTCCAATGTTCTTTTGGTGAAATGCTATTTTTGTTAATCAACGTTGGCTATTTTGTTAATGTCATTAATTATTGTCAAAGTCAAGCAATTCACAATTCATAAATTTGATTGATGAAAATTCAACGTGAGACATTTGACTCCTACTGATGTGGCGAGGGCTGTAGCATTAATTGAAAATGACCAGTGGGCCAATGTTCTTTTAACATGAGAGCCGCATCTGCACCAATTCAATAGATGGCAGGGAAAGACTATATCGCAGAGGTGAACAAAATGAACAATTTGATTTTACTGCTTCTGTCTCCTATGGCAGAGGTTTAGTCATGGTTAGGTTAGGTTAGTCAAGAAACGACACATTTTCAGATCCAATTTGAGTTTTGAGGTGTAAAATTGATACCAATATCCACCTTTTCTTTGAAACTCTGTATTTTCTTGAATAATTGAGATATCAAGATGAATAAAAAACGAAAATATTCGGAATAGATTGGGCTCCAATTTGGTGTTGAGAAATCGTTTCAATTATCAGTGGTTCAGTCCACAGGATGTCTAAAAAAATACCGAAAAATCCGTAATTTCTTTACACCCATGTATATGATGGAACTCGTTTGAAGGTAATTATTTCTCACATGTATTCGTGAAGAATGAAACTACATTTCGTGAAGAAACAAATTTGAATCGAGCGATGGGTTCGAAAGAAAATTGATGTCAAACTTAGTGTAAATTTTGCCCGTTCCCCTAATTGTGCCAGTGTGTGTAGTTAGTATAGGTACGTCTGAAACGAAAAAATATGTTCTACTATACGGGAAACTATATAAATTATTATTTATTGGTATACTTACATGAGCTGGCGCTTCTAAAATTCACGTTCGACGGAAATCTTCCAAATATCGAAGAATAACAAACACTTCTCACTCAATAAGTCTGGAACAGACACTGAATCTCGCATAGCTCGGAGCACGATACTGGCGGTTTATAGGTGAAAGTGAGGGAGGTTATAGAGGGTGTTTGTTGTGAATTTTACGACAGCGCGCCCGCTGGAAGGTTAATCTCACGATTTCGAAAAATTCAATTCATTTATGGTTTCTTTATTGAACTCGTGCTCATTGCCATTTTTCTCTAGAATATGCCTATGTCATCGTCGATGGGCAAAGGGTGCCGATTCCCAAGAAGATAATCAAATCCGAGTATTTGCAAACTATCGTGCGCAGCCCCGAATCTACGCCAGATAATATATCGAGGTTTTCTAGCGCTAACTCTTCAGTCGAAATTCTGAACAAGGAAGAACTGCCGGATCAAACACAAAAGGAAGTGCCTGCTACCATTGGTATGTAATTGCTATTTTTTGTATATCTATTTGTTGTATCATTGTTTCATGAAGATATTTTTTTCATATATAAATTAACAATTACAATGAAATAACATGAATAATCAGACAGATTCATATCTGGTATGAGATTATTCATGCGTTAATAAATCTAAATTATAAAAAAAAATAAACAACTAATTCAAAAATAATAATAATAAAACAAAAAGCTCATGAAAAGTACATTATGACATGATGAAATAAATTAGTGAATAAGAAATCATTCACTCAGGTTTGATTTTCTCTTTGCAATAGGATATGTTTATTGACTAATTTTGAATTGGGACAATTGGGTGATATTTGTGCAACTTTTGATATCAGGTAATTTATTGAATTTCGAGATAGCTCCGTGAGTGAACTTTTTTTGGCCAAGTGTGGAATTAGCAGCATCAAGATGAAACAAGTCATATCGTCTAGTATGGATCATGGATTTGAGAGTTCCGTACCAATATGAAGTGAATTGTGAACGTACATGAATACTGTACCACTATTTTGTATTCGGACTGTTCACAATTTTAATACCGAGTTTTTTACTTGAAACGTCATATCTCAAATATAATCTCCTGGAGAAATGTCGTAATGTCGATGTCAAAAAGTGAAACTAATATTGAATATCTACAAAGACATGAACACGGAGAATTCCATCATCTTCATCGAACGTCATCCATCAAAATGCACTATTTATTATGAAAATTAAGAAATATTCAAAAATAATAATTGATTGTTATATGAATCCCCTATAGCCTTTAATTGATCTGATGTGGGAAACGATTGTTGTCATGTCAATCAAAACACAAATTAGTTAGTGTGATTCTCAGAGTGACAGACAGCGCTGTCATTTTCGATTCAGTGGAATTGCGATGAAAAACTTCCAGCTACTACAGATGCGATATAAAGATGAGTTATTGCCAACTAAGGCTTAAGAAAGGCATGAGAAGCACTACACGGGATTTATTGAATGGTGCAATAGTAAAAAAGTGGAAACACCAAATAAAGGCAGTATTTTTGGCTCATTTCCTAGAATTGTCCTGGCTGGCTGGCTTCCGCAATAAGCTTACCTACATAATGCTTCAAACGTTACACACAATAGATATAAATCACAAATTATTAGAAGATAGAGGATATATCACTATTGTTAGTTGTCCTATTTGCAGGAATAATTGATTGAACAAATCAATCAATTTCCTACGCTTGTAGAAAAAATATTGTTCCTAACTGCTTTGCCCGAACTCCGCTTCGCGTCGTTCGGGTCAACGGCATTCGCGTGCGGGAAAGACACTTTCCGCACTTGTTAGAAAAAATACTCTTCCACCACATCGCGCTACTGAAACATGAGGTCAGAATTGGTAGCACTGAAAAATATACTTCTTCGTTTCGTGTCATTCGGCCTCTTCGTACGATATCTTCTTCTCCGTCAATGTGATAATTGGTCGTTAAGTATTACGATGAAAGTAAAAAAACGTAAGTCTGCTCAAGCATTGTCGTTCTAGATAACAACCTAGTTGGGTTGTTAGTAGGCGAGAGCTATAATGACCTCCTCGCACTAGGTCGCCTACTGGGTTTTCATTTAGATCGACACAGTCTCAAGTCTTCCAATAAGTTTTCTAGTTGTTGAAATATTCTACATCATTTTTTCCAATATTCTTGGTAAAACAGGACACAGCTTTTAGGGCTATCCGGCAAAATTTTGGAATTTTGACTTTGACATTGACCTCACGTTTTAGTAGCGCCAAATGTTAGCCCTCATTGATCGCATAGGACACTTCAATATTCGAAACTGTAGAAATTTTCAAGTCCCAAGGGTAATGACAAACTATGGAATCAGTTCAATATTCTATAAAGGAGTTACAGAGTACAAAAAAATACCACTAAATATAAGAAGAGAAGGTGTCAAAAAATTCAAATATTCGTTGAAGTCTCACATTCCACTTAAGTTATGATTTATGATTTGTACAGCTAGCGTCAGGAGATTAGGAGTTTGGATTAGAAAGGAAAACAATTAGATACTTGTATATAGCATATATTATAGTTCAGTGAAAAAGGTTACCCATATATTACTATTGTACCAACTATGGTATATTCACTAAATTGATAACAGGTTTTAATCAATAATTTAATTATTGTGTCAAATATTATGTAATATGTGAAACTGACTTGTAACTAGTAACAGAGGTGTTCCTAGATGACATTTTTATGTTTTTTGGAACGTAATAAATTCATTCATTCATATTTGTCGCAGTTTAACATTTCCGCGTCACGTTCGCATAGATTTCGCCCACGTGTGCTGTGAATAAAAAAATTATGAATTTCCGTAGACACCGCCTTGGCGGCCGATCCGAAACCGCAAGAACCTATCGAGACCGCCGAGAACCCGGACTGCTCCGGCGAGCTGCTTTCGCACTGCTCGGCGGCGGGGTCCTGCTTCTCGGACGCGAACGGCGCGCGGCTGTTCGTCTTCCCGCAGGACTGTCCCGGCTACGAGGTCGTCTATCCCGCCGACGAGTTGGCCAGGACCGCCGAGGGGTGCGAGTACACTTGGGCCAAGTCTGGTGAGTGAGTCTCGGAATAGTTATTTAACGCGAGCTAATGTTCGAGATTATTAATCGCCTTTTAATATACGAGTTGGTTACAACATTTTTCCGTCGACCTAATTCCTGATGAAATGAAGGAATTCTTGATCAGAACATATTTATTCAACAATAACAACAGTACACGGATTATGTTATACACCAATGATCATTATTTGATTAATGTTTGGATGCATTTATATTGATTGATTGTCTTTATTACCCCAAGAAACATAGTTGTTTATAATAGGGATACATAAACAATATACATAATGTTATACATACAATTATGAACTTATAATAAGATATAACAAGTAAAAATAAAATACAAATAATCATGCAATATCAACCTTGTCTTTTATAAGTAGGTATTAAAATAAGAAATGGAATTTCAGAGTCTCTGAAGCAGATATTTTTTCAAGTTAATTTTGAATCTAGTTGCTTCCTGTGTGAAAAATGGATTGTTTGCCGATATTTGACTTGAACGTATTTGCTATTTTGCTATTAGTAAATTTGATTGTCTTGTTCCATGATTATGTTATGAATTGATTTCATTGAAATTTGAATTTGAAATTTTCAATTTATATAGGACAAATTGAATAAAACAACATATTTTAAGTTTATATAGTGATGTCAGATCTAATAAATCTCTAGGTTTGTATAAATGCATGGTTGGTTCGAGAAAATTCAAATTGAAAATACACTTCAATGTTTTATTTTGTAATTTCATTAGTGGACTCAAACGTGAAATATTGGTAAATAAGGCCCTTATAATAATTCCCTTGATACATAAATAACAATTCACTTTTCACTGTCGAATTTTTAATTAGGTCGGCACCAAAAACGCCATTCAATAATACGTTGTAGTTGACTTGCTTTTCTTAGTTTCGTTTTCAAATTTTCAATTCCATTATGTAATTCTGCGATCATTTCCTCTTTTTTCCATGATAATCTTGTTTTGTATTCTGTGTGATGATAATAATGGAATTTTGTTCTTGAAATCGTCTGATTTGTAAATTGATGGCGGCAGATTCTTTCAAACAGATTTTGAAATCTTCTGTTTGAAAATGGACCTAAAATATAGTTTCATTCTAATCAGATGCTGTTATAAGAAGTGAATTTTAATGAGTACCTCCCAAATTTCGCTAGTCTTCAAATTGATTTTCCACCCAGGCCATTTCATATCATCCTTCCATAAGCGAATGGTTGTTATTTGTTTTGGAAAATTGAATAAATGATATACATTTTTTTCAGAATTGGCACAATTTATTATACAGCAAGTGATTTCCATAGCTGCATTTTTCTCGAATGTATAATTATGAAATTTTATTTCAATTCTGACGTTTATAAAATTTATTGTCAAATTCAAACAATAATGAATGAAAAAGCGCAGGACGACTATGGTGCTCTTGTCACAATGCAAGATGTGTAACTTAATAAATCTAAACATTCAAAAACCCTAACCGTTGTCATTTCTGTGTCCGAACTCTTATCAAACTAATACCATCCAGTGACTCTAGACATTGCTGCTCTATATACGAGTCTGAAGAAGATAGCAAGTTGCGCGTAGGTCTATGCTAATTTCAGTCACACGCAAAGATATATTATACAGACTGTATTCAAGGCACTCTAGTTTTTCTGTTGATATTCACAACGTCAGAACAAACATGTCTTCAACAATGATTGAGTGCCACGTTAAAGATATTCGACTGTATTCTTGGTTGCATAGTAATCTGACATATAGTTTTCAATGATTGTGAAAGATCCGATACTAAACACAATTTTCTTCTTCTAGAAACACACTACGCCTACCCCAACCCCGATGACCCCAGCGCCCCCGCCCACCCTTTGCAAGACCCCCTCGTTCCGACGCCCATCGCCAACACCGCCTCCCTTGCCGGAGAAAGCAACCCCTCCGCAGCCGCCCTACCGACACCCGATGGGCAGACGGCCACCCCACCGAATCCCCACTGGCGAACTGCCGACCCGCAGCCGCTGAATTTGTCGACTGGCGTGCCGGTCTGTCGTCAAGCGACTGCCCAGGAAGCCGCCCGAGGGGCACATGTTGATCGTGAGGTGAGTGTGTTCGTTGGTTTCGGTTTTCTCTAGTGTTAGCTGGATCAGTTTGACACTTTTGTTTTGACTTCTTTGTATACAGTGTGTCCCAAATTATTTATTTATTTATTTATTTATTTATTGAACAAATAACTTCCAGACAGAATAGGCTCTGGTATAAGGAAGTACATAATGATATACCTATAGGTAAACATATCATTATACAAAATATATCAACAAATGTAAATTGACAAACAAAGAATAATATTTGTAAAAAAAAAATGGCATGTTCAATTTTATCCAGTTCGCTCAGAAATAATCAATTTTTTCACTACATTTTTGAATGAACCTATATTTCTGCAATTTTTTATATTGTCAGGTAGTTTATTGAATTCAGTTAAGGCTGAATGAGTGAATCTTTTTTGCCGGATAATGGAGCTAGCGGCGTCAAGATGAAACAAGTTATATTGTCTTGTTTCATGATTATGAATTTCAGAATTCCGTATCAACATAAAATTCGACTTCAATTTTTTATTTATGATATTATATGATATTTTGAGAGTTTCAATTCTATATATTTCATCTAAAGAATAGGTATTTGTTATTTCAAACAATTGATTGGTTGGTGTATCAAATGGGAGACGATACAATACTTTTAACGATTTTCTATATAATGTTGATATTTTATTGAAATTGTTATTTGAACAAGTTCCCCAAACATTTATTAAATAGTTGATACGACTCAGTATATGAGAGTAGAGATTCATGTTTGCAATTTTAATATCAAGTTTGGGACATCTTCTCAATGCACCAATAATTGGAGATATTTTTTTTGTCAGAACATCAATATGTTTGTCCCACTTCAACCTGTCATCAAACCAAATTCCAAGATATTTTATCTGTTCAGTTTGTTTTAAGAGTTCATTTTTCATTTCAAGGTTGAGGTAAATTTTTTGTTTATTTTTTTGGTGAAAAATCATATATTCTGTTTTTTTAGTATTTATCGATAAAAGGTTAGAGTGGAGCCATTTTTCAAATATTTTCAAGTCTTCATTTATCATATTTTCTAAATTTGAAGGATTCTTGCTTTCATATAAAAGTACTGTATCATCTGCATACATGGTATATTTACTCGTGAGACCAATTTCACTGATATTTTGAACATAAAGTAAATATAGTATAGGTCCTAAAACAGAGCCCTGTGGGACACCCTTATTGATTAATAGTTTATTTGACACAGAGTTGGTTGATTTTGTATTGATTGTCCTATTTTCAAGATATGAATTCAAAATATTTCTCACAGTGCCTCTGAGTCCCATTGTTTCTAAGTTTTCTAAAAGTGTTGTATGATCAACTGTGTCAAAAGCCTTTTTGAGATCAATGAAAACAGCTACCACATAATTTCCTGAATCAAGTCCTCTCTGGATTGATTCTATCACTTGTAATACATTGGGATCTCAGTAACTATGAGAGATAGAGAAACGGTCAAGTTAGCAAAGTTGTAGCAAATTCATTGATGTATCAGAATCTATCGAGAAATCCAAGCTCTTTGGTCATTTTTGAGTTATTTGAGAAAAACTGAAATCTTGTATTTTTGTTTTTCTCGAATATCTCAGAAACTATTGATTTCATGGAAAAATAATTTCAACATTCTCATAGCACTTTTTGGTGCACTTTTCAATGTTTTTGTCAGTTTTCCATCAAAATGTAAAATTTCTGCAATATCGCCTACAACTTCAATTTTTCGCATGGACGCCATATTTGATGTTTACAGATTTGAAATCAGCATAAAATTTCCTTTCTAGTGATGTATCACACTCACAGTTTTATTTTATTTGGGGTACTGATTTCCAATTTTTTGTTATTATGTCCAGTAGGCTATGCACTAAACTCTCTATAAACAATAAGGATTAGGTGTTCTGGCACGACTTTCATAGAGTATGCTTGGAGTCAAGTGACATTTCTGTAAAAAAGTCAAGAGGAAATACAAGTTAATTATTTCGGGACAAACAATGCCGTTCACAAATATGGAAAAAATGTTATATGTACCATTGTTACATCATAAATAATCGAAATAACAGAAACAGCTAGACAATACCACCAATATTACCGGAAAGACAACAACCTCATCCTCCTATTCTTCTAACATTGCAAAGAAATTTACAAGAGCATGGGAGCTTCATTGCACCTAGGCCAAGGCATTGTTTGCGCTTAGATGAACAAGAAATTGCAAATATCAAAGGAATCATCAATCAAACTCCTACCATTGCAATTCGAGAACTTAGTCGGAGAACTCTTGTGCCAAAAACAACAATTCACAGACATTAACTGAATAGTACCATCTTTTCAAACCAGTGATAGTACAAGGGTTAAGACCTGGTGATATTGAACGTCGTCTCACAATCTCGATGGTGTGGGATATTTGGTACCTTACTAGAATTTTTGTCCATGAATAACTGTTTCTCATTGTGTATTTTTTTCAGGCAGTAGACTACTAGGCCCAATAATCTACGGTTATAATTTGAATTATTTATTAGTTACAGAATTCATAGCCAACTGGGCATGAAAACAAAAATTGGAAATCAGTACCCCAAATAGAATAAAACTGTGATTGTGATACATCACTAGAAAGGAAATTTTATGCTGATTTCAAATCTGTAAAAAACCAATATTGCGTTTATAAGAAAAATTGGAGTTGTAGGTGATATCTCAGAAATTTTACATTTTGATGAAAAACTGACATAACCATGAAAAGAGCACCAAAAAGTGCTATGAGAATGTTGAAGTCATTTTTTCATAAAATCAATAGTTTCCGAGATATTCGAGAAAAACAAAAATACAAGATATCAGTTTTTCTCAAATAACTCGAGAATGACTAAAGCTAGCCCAGATTTCTCGATACATTCTGATTCAACATTGAATTTGCTACAACTTTGCTAATTCAACCGTTTCTCTATCTCATAGTTACGGAGATCCCAATGGTGACGATCGAAATTTTCAAGAGGATATGATTCTTGACTTTAATTTCGAATTGGGTGATATTTGTGCAACTTTTGATATCATCAGGTAATTTATTGAATTTTGAGACAGCTCCGTGAGTAAACTTTTTTTGGCGGAGTGCAGAATTAGCAGCATCAAGATGAAACAAGTCATATCGTCTAGTAACTCTAGTATGATGTTCATGGATTTGAGAATTCCTTACCAAGTTAAATTTGAGGTGTTTGTTGATAATATCAGAAGAAATTTTGAGATTATTTATCAGATAGTGCTCTTCCAAAGAAAATGTATTTGTTTCTTCATAAAGTTGATTTGATGGGGTGTCATATGGAAGACTATACAATACTTTCAATGATTTCAAACAAAATGTATTAAATTCATTGAATATATTTCATCAAAAGTAAAAAATACCTTTGTGAGACTGTCTAAGGATGATTTTTTATCTTTCGTTCTCTCTTTACACTATATCTAAAGAATAAACCGATAAAAAGTATAAATTTGTCTATCAAGATCCCCGAGGGTCCTTTCACTGCGACATCAACCCCCCAGAGCCATGGGGAGAGCCCCATCAGGGATTTTCTGGCAGCTGAAAGGGCTAGAAAACCCGCGCCCAAGGCCACGAGTTCGGAGGCCCTGTTTCAGGGGGCAAGCACGGTATTCAATACCGCTAGGTCAGTCATCAACAGGATGGTGCCTCAAGAGGTACGTCAAAATTGAATTAGCAGCTAACACTGGTACCGAGGAAGCATTAGGAATCATAGAACAATTTCTGTTCCTTTGCCTTTTAAATATTATAGGGAAAATTATGAACATCCTCTACTAGATTTCTTGGAGAATAATAATTCATTCTTCCAAGGTTTGAGTCACAAGTGGTTACTACACATTTTCCAGTTGTATTTCAAATTCAGAATGGTCAATCCAATTTCAGAAAGCGTCAATTGTTTTTCAGAATAGCCACACGTGTTTCAGAAAGCATCAATTATTGTATTTCAGAAAGCGTGAAATATATTGCAGATGACCAATCTTCGATTGTGGCTGGCTACAAAAGTGTCAAATGTGTGTAAAGTCAGCGCCACTGTCGCCATCATTGTATTTTTATCAGATCAAAAACTATTGAATTGTTAATTATTGAAAATAAGAGCAAGAACAACTTATTGGACCTTTGCTCTCCAAACTATTTAAAATTGACATTGACAAAAGACAATGCATCCGACAATTGACACCCACTTGACAGTATCTGCTGTCAACGTATAGCATGAAACATCTAACCCTTTCCAAGTGAAATATGTCCAATAAGTAGACTGCAGGTTTGTTCGCGTTCACAAAATTAACAGTCCGAAACCATCAGAAGTATGCCCAGTGTTCGCTTTTGGTAAAACGCGAGGACTGTTTTATACCCATAGGCTCTGAACATTACAGGATATCCCGTTTCGTGGGAACCAGAACGTAAAAAAAACTAGTTTGAGACAGTTTCGAATCGGTCCAAAGAAGTAGGAGTATCTGGGCCAGAACTGTTCATGACTGCCATGAATAATATGGGATGCGCATGCGCCAATGCTTCAAAATTCCAATCTCTGAAGTTTTTGAGTTTTGGGAGATACTTTCAAACAAAATTATTCGAGAAATCGACCAACAATGGATATATTAAGTCGATACATATCGATACCAAAGTTCTGACTCGTGTCACCCGATGATTATTCTGATCAAGGGTGGGAGCGAAAAAATGCAAATAAAAAAGTTGTGAACAATTTAGTTCACCACATATTTTATCTGATTTTTTTTAATAGCATTTACTCAAATGGTGTTTCTCTCAACTAGGGCAAAAATATATATCGATATGTATCGATATATCGATAAATATCGATATCAAAGCAAACATCGATATCGATATCCAATTTTCGATATCGCAGAGCCCTGGTTCAGATGATGAACCAAACGTTCTTGAACATGGTTGTCTGTAGAGGACACCATAAATCTGTGCTCAGATAAATGATTCTGGCATCATTTCAGATAAGTGGATAGGTGTAGGTAGGTATATTTTAGTGGTGATAATTCATATTCAGGTCCCTGATTCAGGCTGAAATTTTCAGTTTTTTTGTAGATTGATCCAATTTCCACATAACCTTAAATACTTTGAATTTGATCTAAGTAGACGTATGACATTTGTCACTTTGTTTTCGAAAGAAAAAACCAGGAAACCCGCTTCTTCGTTTATCTGCATTCCAAACTATCACAGACTCATCTCGGATTGAATTTAATGCGCACATAAATCTGCGCAGTTCGAGGATTGTTTAACACGTTGACTGCTGAGCTCATATTCACACTGTTGGTATCAGAGCGGAAGCAAAATTCAAAATTTTGTCCCAGAAACCATCAGTGGCTCTATGTAGTGCATCCTTGAAATTTTTGATAATTAGAACCCTGGACCCAAAAAACTCAAAAATGTCGGTCCGGCAGCTCGGTCCGGCCGACTTCGGGCTCGGTCTAGGGTCTAGTGGTCTAGTGCTGTACAAAATATTTGTCTCAACTTGCTTTTTGAATGTGTCACTTGTATCCCAATTGTTCTACACTGGTCGGGGGAGCAGCTCATTGTTCATTTGATGTTGGTGGATGTGTAAGTGATATTTGTTTAGTTCAGAAAAGGAGCAGATTTCGAGATCATAAGAATTCTCTAGAGACCGTATGAAAAACGTAGACCTTTCACTGAGTGTTGCTAGAGAATAACGGAAGAATCAGGATAGAGATTATCCCCTAATTTGAAAGAATACGCACCTTCTGTGAAGTATGTCCTGTATTTTGCCTGGATTGTTGCAACAAATTCCATACAAAGTTTCAGATTACGTATTCTTGGAACACCTATATTCGATTGTTTTTCCTACAAAAAATTATGTTATATTTCATCCACTGAATAAACGTTTATTTCACAGTATCGGCCTACCAAACATTCTGTGTTCATACTGATTTGCCTGCCACTCCGACTCGGTCTGTGTGTCTGATGAAGATAATTTGCAATGCAAAAGTGTCACTGAAGCCGTCTCGGTCACTCTCCGCGATGCTATTGACAATAATTCAGGCGGCTTCACGAGTCGTTCAAATGATTTGGTCTCTCAGGCCGAGTCGGCCCTGTGTATCAACCTTAATCCCGGTCTAGGAGACCAAGACTGCACATCAGGATTTTTTTTCTCGGTCCTATTCGCGAGATTCACGAAGTGGGCGACATCTAGGTTACATAATACGAACTTCAAACTGGGGAAAACAAACTGTTGTCTATGGATAAAGTGCATAGACTACATTGCATTCAGCTTGCTGTAGCTGTAGTTGTCAAACTTGTCAATGACATAAAGTGTTGGCACTGTTGGTTGTGATGATGGTTGAGTTGGTAAATTTTTTCACATTATTACATTTTTATTAGTTTAGTGAACAGTGAAGGGTGAAGAATTGGAGATAGTTCAAACAATTCAAACTAATTATGACCAGCAAATCAATTGACATATAAAAGAACAGCTACAACATGTTTACAATACCCAAATTGTCCTGCATTGCAGGAACAAATACAAATCTATTGTTCTACAGGTGTTCCTCTGGACCCCAATTTCAATTTTACTTCATGTGGGGAAGATTTCATCGCCGAAGTTTGTAGACAAAGTGCAAAAATGTGCCTTTTGTTGAAGTCTTTTGCCTCACACAAAATCACATGATTAGCACGGAGAACTGCTTATCCTTCCACTACTGGTCGGCTTATTCCATCTAAATAGAGCAAAATATCTGCCAAAAGAACATCTATAACAGGCATTATTAGCACTTTCGATCGAATATTGACAATTATTATTGTCAAGAAATTTAAAAACTTATCACTCTTATCAGAACACAGTACACAAGCTAATGGCACTAATGGGATTGAGTGAGGATTGAGTTTGTTTTCCCCCAGTTTTGACGTGGCTTTGACATGGAACGTTGACAACCGAGCGCCACCTGGTAACGTTGATTCCCGCGAATAGACCGACATGGCAGTAAACGTGTTGAACAATTTGAAACGTGAACAAACCTTGCTTCTAGCTGCCCTTCTTACCAGCTAATGACGTTCCACAGCAACCTGGCAAATGGGTCAACGGGCACTGGGTGAGCACCAACCCAGAGACGCCGCGCGAGGCCAATCTGCAGGCCCTCGCTGAGATGGGCTTCTGGAACAGAGACCTCAACGCCACCCTCTTGGCCAGATACGAGGACGATTTGTCCAGAGTGGTAGCAGAGCTGGTGCAATGAGCAACGAGCTCACAATGTAGATGTTACATTACATGATGATTACATTAACCCTATTCTTGTGGTTCAATGAAGATATGTTATAGGTCGCGTGCACGATGACCGACCCTGGAGGTAAAATATTGAAACATAACCTCACTTTTTTATTTGTTTACAGAAGAATCAAAGGATTGACATAGTTTTTCACAATATTTTGGCATATGAGTCGTGTTTTTTCGCACTATCCATTATATCAAGCATGCCTTTTTATTGTGCTGTTGTACAATACACCAAAAATGCAGCGAGAGACGAAGGGATATGGTTTTCATCAGGTAAATAGTAAACTCACATAGTTCTCATTAAGAAATTTTCTTATTTGTTTATTAAAACTCCTTCTGCCACTTCTGCAATGGAAGCTAATAGGTACAGCTAATAGAATGATGATGTCTACAACATACACGATCATATTTCGTCAGCATGTCAGACCAGTCCTTCCGTTTGATTGCATGAATCCAATCTGCTTGCATTCTTTTAGAAATTTCACGAGTATTTCTATTAGCTCCTATTGCAGAAGGAATTCGGATGAGAAATCAGAGAAATTACCGAATTTCAAAATGAAAAAAATGTGAGTGACTATAGTAGGTACTTACTTTCAAATCATTACGTACCAACCGGATTCCTTTGTCTCTCGCTGCATTTTTTGTGCATTGTACAGCAGCACAATGTGATGGCATGCGCGAATAAATGAATAGCCGAAAAACACGATTCATATGCCAAAATAATTGTGAAAAACTATTTCAATCATATGTAAACAAATAAGAAAAGTGAGGTTATATTCGAATGTTTCACCTTCAGGGTCGGTCATCTGACAGTTCTTGCACGCAACCCATTCAATAATTTGATAATCAATAAGTTGTTTTGCCCCACTGAACTATGTGACCCTCAGTGAGTGGGGGGAGTACAAGTACTAGATCGCGATAGCCAAAGATATTTCACTGTATCTGTAAAATATTACTCAATCCACTTAATTTATAATCCCGTCTTTGACGTCATGAGCGTGTTGCACAGCCTCATATATGCACCTGACCTGCATAAAATACAGCTGACGTCACCACGTAACCATATAGGTGTTTGGGATTGACATCCTTGTAGAGAGAGAGGGAATGAAACCACCATACGAGTGAGACACGACGTCGTTACTAGAGAAAGATGGACGGGCCGTGAGTAATGACATCGACAAACAAGAGAGAGATAACGAATAGCAAACTGCTGATAAAACTATACCCGTCTTTGTTACATAAGCTAACATGATGATGATGATGATGGTTCTCTTCTCTTTATCTTTGCAATGCTTGTGAAGGACAGAGTGACAAGATTGACAAGGTGCATCTAGTACTCAGCTTACATAAAATATTATATCTTTGGATGTCACAAGAATCTTAAAGCAATATACAATCATTCATGCTATTTTATTGGATTTGGAGATGTTGGTATTGTTTGCTTGTTATATATGGGGGTATATTCTGAGTGATCTTGACAGGAAGGCAACCTTGGACAAATATGCTTGCTTCTTCAAACTTATTTTTAATGTAACTTCATTGAACTTCAGTTATCGTTTTATGTGTTTGAGGTACATAATATAGACTATAGGACTGTAGGATGGTGAAGGATAGAATGACACATTCATTGAAATAATTAAGATGAAAGGTTGGTAGAGCTTACAAACATCATACATTATTATAGAATGCAATGTTTCAATCTATCCTGTATTTTATTTCATATATTTTATATAGGATATGTCAGATATTGTTGTGGTAGCAGTGGTAGGATTAATCTAATGAAAATCTCATATATGGAATTAGAAGTGAAGGCATTTATGTTTGGAGGATTTAAATATTGATGATTTAACAAAGGTTTGGGTATGTATCCACTTTTTTTTTTTGTATTGGTGATAAGTAGATTTCTGGATGGTCACAGTTTCACTTCACAGCTTTTCATTGTATATCTCAATTGGTGTTTGGTTTTCTTGTAGTGAATGTAATACTTGGCAAATAATGCATTAATATTAAATATATAATCTTTTGTGATACTTAAAGGACTTATTAGAGATACCTACCTGTATTGTTTATTTGACTAAATTGGAATCTGAGTTTCTGAGATTTTTTTATAGTTTAGTGAACAATTATAGGAGCTTGCATAATGTTAATGTGGTTTGAATAAATTTTAAAAATGGAGTGATGAAAATGTTTTCCTTGTTGAACTGCCCAGTATAGGTATTATTTATATAAATTCAAATCATCCATCATCCTGACATCAATGTTTTGTATAGTTTCTGCTGGATAAATTCATTATTTCATTCAATCTTGTACCTATTTTCGGAATTGATGATTTTTCAGGTTAAAAAAAGCTGAAAAATATAAGAATCACCCTCAAAAATAAGCAAGGAGCAGGGATCATATTTAAAAAAAATGCCTAGATATATTGTAGATATGATTATCTCTTCTATATACAGGGTGAAATGGGATGTGGATATTAGAACACATTGTTGAGATCTAAGACTTTTTTTTCATATAAACAAGTGTCCTAAAATGCACACCCTCAGAAGTGTGAATCCCCTCCAACTCTGGTGCACATAATTCTTGATGCAATAAGGAAACAAAGTGTCTAAAAAGACAGAGGCATGCCAATTTTCAGAAGTCCCCTTCATTAAAAGTCTTATAATATTTACATAGAACTTTGAATATCCCTGTATAAAGTAAAATATAGATACAAAAAATGTCAATATGAAATTAGATCATTTATTTTGGTAACTATATAAATAGGTATATCTGCAAATAAAAATACTGTTGAATACAAAAATCCACACATTACAAATCTGGTTGCCTGATTCTGGATTCCTTTTTGATATTTTTTGTATGCTCTTTCAGTAGATCCATTATTTCATGATCATACTCTGGTGGTGTGGGTTTGGTATTGGTGGCCCAGTAATAAATGTCCCAATCATTTGATGGGCTATTAATAAGAGTATCATACATGGCTGTCTGTTTTTCATCAAACTTATCCAAGTATTTTCCCACAAAAGTGCTCAACAAGAGATCATTTTCCAGCATGCCCCTTTTTCTTGATTGGTATAGAAGTCTTGCTTTCTTCTTTTCTATAGGTTCAGTTTCTCTCATTTTCATTCTGTGGCTTTGCAAAGTGTCTTCTGGGGGGATTGTTACACTTCCCGAATTGAAACGGATTCGTGGTTTTATTATTGGTGAATATAGAACACGTCTGAGACATCGCCCCACGATATAATTCATTGTTCAACAGCTTTATTTCTTTTTATGTTATGGAAACTTTTCATGGGTTTGGTTGGGAAAATTCCAATTTTAAATTTGACGTTTAATATCAAACTAAAATCAAACAGAACCTCACTCTTCTCTTTTGATAATCCTATGTTATTAGGAATGTGAAGACAGTAACTTATCTTTCAATATTTTTTGAACTACTGCTCATGAACGAATAGTTCAAGCGAACGCATAATAATTCACTTCAATTGTTATGGACATGGGTAGGTCAATGGGGTAGGTTGCAAGGTCTATTAAACTTGATTAAACTTCTAGGTTGTGGAATTTTGTCAAAAATGAAAAAATATGTAAACAAAACAGTGTTCTGAAATGCAAATTTATCCAAGAAATAAAAAAATACAAAAAATGTCAAATTTTCAATTTTCTGGTTAGTGAACATCATAGTTTTCCAAATGGATCCTCTACTCCTTATTCTTTCATTTGGTAAGTTCATCAAAAAAATGTGTAGAAGAATTTATATTAGGGAGTTCTGAGTTTTTCCTGTGGTTTTTCCAGGATTTTTAGTGGGAGTATGCCCATCGAGAATTCTGGAACTCAGTGATAATTTCTCGGACATCAGAAAAGATGGTGGGTATTGGCTCATCAAATTTTATGCACCCTGGTGTGGACATTGCAAGAAATTGGAACCCCTTTGGGGCTCCATTGCCCAAGCTTTGTCAAAAACAAATATTAGGGTTGGGCGCATAGATTGTCACAGATTTCCTTCTGCTGCTTCAGAATTTGGAATTGGGGGATATCCTACCATCAAATTGTAAGATGTTTATTGAAAACTAATCTCACTTGAATGACAATATTTTGTTTTTGTAGTATTACAGCTGATACAGAGCATATGTACAATGGGGATAGAGATAAGGAAAACATTATCAAATTTGCAGTCAGAATGGCAGGACCACCAGTGCAACTGATATCTCAATCAAAAAACTTGGATAGCATAAAATCTATGAATAATTTATTTTTTGTGTATGTTGGTGAACATGAAGGTCTCCTCTGGAATATATACCATGACATGGCTGTGAAGCTTCAACCCCATGTTTATTTTTATTCAACAAATTCAATACAAACTGGAGATATACCACAAGTACCATCAATATTTGTACACAAAGATGATAAAATGTACTTTTACACAGGTATGATCATGAACTTATATTATGGAGCACAATTATTAATGATCTGAATGTTTGCAGCTGAAGTAACTAATGAAAATTTGAATGTTTCTGTGTCCAAATGGATCAATGAAGAGCGCTTTGAAACATTCCCCAAAGTATCTAGAGGAAACATCAATGAACTTATTCAAACAAACAAATGCCTTGTGCTTGTCATTGTTGAAGAAAACAAACTAGAACAAATTCCTGTAGAAATGTTGGAATTTAGAAGTATGGTTGAAAATCTTGTCAAAACAAACAGGTCCAAATACCACAAATATTTTCAGTTTGGTTGGGTGGGGAGCCCTGAATTAGCTAACAGTATAGCCATGCAAGTACTACCACTACCTCATTTGTTGGTGCTTAATTCAACCAATCATCATCATTATCTTCCTGAGAATGATTGCACTCAAATGACTGCTGCAATGATTGATTCTTTTCTTGAAAGGATTGTCAACCAATCTGTACCTGTGAGTTTCAGAAAATAATCAGTGATAAGTGTTGAGAAAATCTTCCTGGATTGTTGCTTTTCTAGGCCTATGGTGGAGATGGTTTCTGGATAAGAATATATAGGATGTATTTTGATACAACTACATCATTGGCAGAAATGTGGGTGGGAAATCCCATACTGACTACAGTGTTATTTGGTCTACCTATTGGTTTCTTGAGTTTCATAATGTATTCCATTTGTTGTGCTGATATTTTAGAAAATGATGAAGATGATGAAGAAAAAGAAGAGGAACCAGGTAAGTGGATTTTGAGAGCAAATACCTACTTCACATCAGTTCCAAATTTGTGTATGGTTGGTCTGAAATTTGTTTATTTTGCAGATTCTCATGAAAAGGAGGATTAGATATTGTATAAGAATTAAAACTAGTCAACATTTTCATGTAAGTAAGTAATGTTATTTCTTTAACTTAATAATTTAGAATTAATGAAAATGTTTGTGAAGAGTGAGTAATGTAAATAAAATAATTCCAACAGATCAGAGGTCTTCATCATCTGAATCTAGAGCAGCTCTTCTCCTGTCAAACTTAACAGATGTTTTACTTTGGGTTTGACTATTAACATTCTCTAATAATCCTATCAACTCTTTTTCACCTATTTTTGTACAAATCTGTCCAGACTGTGCCATTCGTATCAGCATATTTTCCACCAGTTTTCCTTTCTCTGGTTTGCCCAACATGAGTGTGTTTACTAAAAAAAATCATTGGCCATTAATTCATTACCTTAAATTATCAGAATTTATGAAGGAATAAGGATGGCCAACTATAGCACTATACTCACATCTTGCTCGGGCTGATTGGTCCAAGATCTGGGATAAAATTGAGTTTTTTGCATCTTCCTGTGCTCTAATTTGTTCCTCTTTCACTTTCTGGTTATTTTGATCAGATTCCCCCTCACCCTAAAAAACCAACCCTAGATGACTTGTTTTCTCATTGAAGAAAATATACTTGAAAGAACAGAAGATATAATTTTTACCTTTCTATATTGAGATTGTAGCTGAGCTAATCGTTGCTTCCTAATAGCATCTAATTCTGGATCTGCCATATCTGAAGATTCTTTTCAGAAAAAACAATGAACTACAATGAGTGCTAAACCAAATAAACCACTGATAATAAACACACTATTATAAAACTGAAACTGCACGAAAAACTAGTAAAAAAGCAAAAAGTAACCTAAAATGGAAATGTCTAATCTTCTTATTATTGTGATTTGTGATTACTATACTAGTGTGAATACTCGAAGTTACTGTCAAACAAAGAACATTGCTCTATATACTATATGCCTTTAAGATCAAGTGATCTACGCCGGCCAGATGTATTATGTAATTAGTAATCACAGAACTTTAGAGAAGTAATTTAGGGCGTGTTATGATGTTTTATGAATCTGTGGTTTCGATTGTTTTTTATTTCACCAGCGCTGCCAAAACCAAAAATACGGAAAGCTGACGTACGGAAGAAGGAAGTTGTCAAAAATCGATTATAAATTGCAAATTGCAATATTACATTATTACAATATTTTTTTGCTGCATTGGGAATTGGTTTTTATAGTTTCGCTGCATGGTGTCTGTCGTTTGTATTTGAGTAATGTGACGTTTTTTTCATGGTGAAAGTGGTATTTCCCTGCTAAAATGTGACTGGTCTGATAAAAAAGGGCGATCGATATTTCAAGTAGTTTTTTTACAGTCTACAAATTATGGAAATATCGTGGAAATGGTCCAACTTTTGTTTGTGTTTATTGTTTTTCCAATTATGTAACGGATATCCAATCAATGGAGGAGATACACTTACAGGTGAGTCATATTCCTCATAAGGATTCTATCATGGCCTATCAACCTTCATGGACCTTGTATTACCTTATGTAGCATATACCTTTGTCAGTAAATATTATGTTCAATTTCATCTTATCCTAAAACAATGACAATCAAGCTAGAATTCTATTTGAAACATCCATTCCGAAATTAACATAAAACTTTATCATCTAGTCTAGTTGAAGACTACCTACCATCAGTATTTTTTCATTATCTTCTTACCCCATTATCCAGGACATGTAATTCTTATGTAAGAAGTAACCTGCTATTGCTTCACACCTAAGATGTATCACATTCTTTTTAAACAGTCCTAGAAGTGAAGGTATTTATGAAAAAGTGTCCATGGAGCATCTATGAATCTATGTATGAAGTATTAAGTTTAAATTAGAAACATTCAAGTCACTGCAGGGCATAGGCACAAAAATTTCTATCATTTTACCTGTATGTTCACAATATTATGCCTTATTTTTATTGGCCCAGCAGGTGTCATTTCAAATAAAATTATTGAAAACATGTTGCAATTCAATTTTTTGCAGATCAACAGACCAAGCTTTTAACTGGTATAGTTTCTCTGTTGTTGACCATATGTGGCCTAATATTATTAGCAGGGTGCTTATGTTGTCAAAGAAGAAATGCATTCAAGGTGAGTTTCCATATAGATCCATATCCTATACTTTTCACTTCTTATTAAATTTTTTACTTGAGATATTATGTGACACATATTATATTTATATCCTGTTTATATTATTTAATTTTTTCATCTGATGCTGTTTGTTGAAATTATACATTCTTGAAAATATTGAATAAAATTCTTAGGTTTTCACATTGTTATAACAATTATTATATGCAACATTTTTGATCCTGCAATATGAACCATGATGAATCAAATAGAAACAATTTTTATCATAATTATGAATACAGAGAGATAGATTAACAAAAATATAGCATTTTTATAGCCTAAAACAGGACAACTTAACTCAGAAGTCAAGATATTTTTTTCATCAATGAGATTCTTGTGTTGCTACTGTTGCTAGTGTCTCATTTTGCATCAGCATAATGCTGAGAAGATTTCCCTGTAATAATTTATTCATCCTCAATAATCATTTATTCATATTTTGTGGAGAATTCTGCATTAGTATCAGATCTTGTATTTGAAATTTAGCTGTATCATTTTCAGCTATTAAGTTGCATAGTTCTCCCATTATTTATATTCTTTCTTTGTTTTATTACAGTATATTTCGATGATTCATTGCATGATTATTTGCAATTATCTAAGTAGTTATAAACTCTCCATGTTTCTTTTACATGCTTTCTGCACACTCATGCAATCATTCAATTGTTTTCCTTTTTAAATGCTGCCCACATAGGAACCTGAAAAGGTAATAATTGTTGACTTAATTATCAATTTCAACTGTACACATTATTGGGAGTTTGTAGAGTATCTATTGAAAATAAAATCAGGACCATCCCTTAATGATATACTGAGTATAAATTCCATATTATCTGATGATATGGTCAGTTATTTTGTGATATGTCCAATTTCCATAGTTCAAAATTATCCCTTTGAAATTTTTGAAGACAAAATCATTTTAATATGATGAGAAATGAAAATGTATTTTTTAAGGGTTAAACCACTCTCCCAAAAATGTACACTGATTGGACAGAGGATTGGACAGATATTATAGATTATAAGACTCTGAATTTGATATTTATCATACAGTCAACTTATTTTTAAATCTATTCAAATTCATTTCAAATGCATTATGGCAAATCAACTTATCTTTCATAATATCCAATTTCAGTTAGTTTATAGGAAAGAGTATCTCTGTTTTTGGAGAAACTTTACAACCAAAGAAATATTAGGAGACAGTTATGTCAGACCATTGTTGATATTATTATGATTCTGATTGAAAGTTTCTCTCAGTTGTTTAACATGTATACAATATTAATAAGGAGGCTCCATTTACTACATTTTCCGTAATATGTAATTTATGTTGTTTACAATTTTTTCAATGAATAAAAATGCATGTGTTATTATTTTCTAGGAATTTCGAAATAGTCCAGTAACTGCCTCAATCCCTTCAGAATTGGACCATGGACATGTCAATCCAATAGCAAATAGAGAATTCACAATATTTACCCCACTCTCCCCTCCACATTTCAATAATAACATTTTTCTAGCAAGTGATCAAATAGTAGTAAGTAGTTTTTAGCATCTTAATTTTTTTTAGTTACTTACCATCTACCACATTTGAAAAGATTGGTTTTGTGCTTTGGTTTGGTAAATTCTTTCATAATTTTCTGAATGGAATAGAACTTATTTAAATGTCATAATTGATTGTAAAGTTGGATTTCAATTTTTTTCAGACACGTACTTTTGAAAATCAAGAATTGAATGATTTTCATCTGAAATCCTGGTTCAGTGAGTATAAATTTTATGTAATTTTTTAATTTCCCCCCATAAATATGTGAATAATGAGTGGAGCTCAACAGATCTACTTATGTTTGAAAGCATGAATTCAGCTAAATTAATTTTTTTCTAATTTCAGGTGATTCTGAGAAAGATTTTCCTAGAATAAAACTAAAGTACATTAAAGAATTAGGCAGAGGATGGTTTGGAAAGGTAAAACTACTCTAGGTCACATACTGTTTTTTCTCGCTATACAGGGTGTTTCATTAATATCTCGATTAATGTTGCATGAAACTTTGAGGTCATATTTTTTGGGTCAAAATAAGAAAAAAGTTCATATGAATATATGTCCGAAAATTATTCGTTGCCAAGATACAGGGTGCTCAAGTTTCTTTAAAAAAATGATTGATTTGGTAAATGGGCATCTAGATTTTGATTATTACAGTTTTTCTCCCATTCCGTACACATGCATAGGTTTGGTTTTTGTTTGTTATTCCTAAAACGCAGCCAGATACAAAATAATCTCAAGAAAAAAATATATTTTGAGTTGGTTCAATCAAAAAAATTGCAAAAATGAAAAAAATACTACTGGGTGTTATTTTTTGTGCAGAAAACTATTGGACTTGTCCCGTTTGCACGCCCCTGATAATACTCTATCAATTGAATTAGGTAAAAAAAAAACAACATTGTGATTTCAACAGACATTGTGATTCTTATCACAATCGGTAGGGGCATATTTTAGAAATCAATAAAAAAACGATTTTTCAAGGAACTTGAACACACATGTATATGTGAACTTTTTCTTATTTCAACCCAAAAAATATGACCTCGAAGTTTTATGCAATATTAGTAAAACACCCTGTATATGTAAAGAGTAAGTTGAAAGTAAGGAACCCTTGCAATGGTTCATTTTCCGTTTTGAAATGCAATGGGGTATTTTTGGAAGTGGTACAGCAAAAGTGTAAAGGAAATTACCAGTTTACTGATGATGAACCACTCCAACAATATGCCAAATGGGATTATTGTTAGCTCTGTATTTATTCATTAATCTAGATCTCATGAGATCTAGCTCAATGGATAGGATCGGTGGTATTACCCCTCATGTAGAGCCAGGTTAGTGCCATCTATCAGCAGAGTGTTTAACTTGTAGTAGCACTCTGTAATGTGGAACACAAGCAGCAGTATTACAAGTGATAGAATCAATCCAGAGAGGACTTGATTCAGGAAATTATGTGGTAGCTGTTTTCATTGATCTCAAAAAGGCTTTTGACACAGTTGATCATACAACACTTCTAGAAAACTTAGAAACAATGGGACTCAGAAGCACTGTGAGAAATATTTTGAATTCATATCTTGAAAATAAGACAATCAATTCAAAATTAACCAACTCTGTGTCAAATGAACTATCAATCAATAAGGGTGTCCCACAGGGTTCTGTTTTAGGACCTATACTATATTTACTTTATGTTCAAAATATCAGTAAAATTGGTCTCACGAGTAAATATACCATGTATGCAGATGATATAGTACTTTTATATGAAGGCAAGAATCCTTCAAATTTAGAAAATATGATAAATGAAGACTTGAAAACACTTGAAAAATGGCTCCACTCTAACTTTTAATCGATAAATACTAACAAAACAGAATATATTCACCAAAAAAATAAACTAAAAATTTGCATCAACCATAAAATAAAAAATGAACTCTTAAAACAAACTGACCAGATAAAATATCTTGGAATTTGGTTTGATGACAGGTTGAAGTGGGACAAACATATTGATGTTCTGAGAAAAAAATATCTCAAATTATTGGTGCATTGAGAAGATGTCCCAAACTTGATATTAAATTGCAAACATGATTCTCTACTCTCATATACTGAGTCGTATCAACTATTTGATGAATGTTTGGGGATCTTGTTCAAAAAATAATTTCAATAAAATATCAACATTATATAGAAAATCGTTAAAAGTATTGTATCGTCTCCCATTTGATACAACAACCAATCAATTGTTTGAAATAACATATACGTATTCTTTAGATGAAATATATAGAATTGAAACTCTTAAAATATCATATAATATTATAAATAAAAAATTGAAGTCGAATTTTATTTTGATACGGAATTCTGAAATTCATAATCATGAAACTTGTTTCATCTTGACGCCGCTAGCTCCATAATCGGACAAAAAAGATTCACTCATTCAGCCTTAACTGAATTCAATAAACTACCTGACAATACAAAAAATTGCAGAAATTAAAAAATGAAGTGAAAAAACTGATTATTTCTGAACGAACTGGATTAAATTGATCATGCCATTTTTTTAAAATATTATTCTTTGTTTGTCAATTTACAGTTGTTGATATATTTTGTATAATGATAATATGTTTACCTATAGGTATATAATTATGTACTTCCTTATACCAGAGCCTATTCTGTCTAGAAGTTATTTGTTCAATAAATAAATGTTGACATGTTGACTATAGATGGCAGCGTCATGAAGTACCGAAAGATCCAACCTTAGAACTAACGCCACTAGATGGCGATAGCATGACTACATCATCATGCAATACCCTGCATCTGTATTAATTGTTTTAGGTTGTTGAAGGTGCAGCCCAAGATATTGATAATAAGGGTTCTGCATGGACTCCGGTAGTAGTTAGAATATTAGAAGCAACCTCTAGTCAAAAGGAGAAGATTCTATTTTTGCAAGATGCGTCTATATACAGGTGTAGCAGACACGAGAATATTTTGACATTGGTCGGTAGATGTCTAGATACAGTTCCGTTCTTATTACTGCAAGAGTATTGTTCTAAGGTAACGATCAATTCAGTTACATTGTGATTTGAAATGCAAACATGAAGATAGACTTCACAAATTGAGATTATTTCAGTTTTTTTAACACAAATATATCTTTTCAAAATCATAACATCTCACGACAAGAAGCGAAATTGGTGAGATAAATTCAAACGGCGGAAAATTTTCCAAAATAAACAACTTTCCATAATTATCTGTGGCCGAAAATTCTCTAGGATAAAAGGAATACTGTGTAAACAAATGAATATAGTGATATCATTGCACTAGATATCTCAAATAATATCTCATGTTTTGGAATAATAATATTTCAACAATTTTTTATTGTATCATGTAGAATGTGTTTCTTGTTTCAGGGTGATTTGAAAGCTTATTTATTATCTAATAAATCACATCCAGAAAATGTTTTATCTACTGAGTATCCTTTATTGTGGTGTTGTCAGCTAACTTCCGCTCTAAAGCATCTTCATGATAACAATATTACACATCCGTAAGTATTTTTCTCATGTTTATCAATGAAATGTCTGTAGTTCATTCATTCGAAAATATGGTTTGCTGTATGACAGATTGTTTACGGTTGTTGTTTACCGATGATCTATCAATATAAAACTTCTAGAAGCAAGGTGTAATGAAATTACCTGATAGTTGGGTGAAAATTGAAAATTTTGATATATCATGCTTCTTAGATTGTGATTGGATATGGATTTTCAGTGTGAATTCAAGTACTCAAAGTGATCGAAGTCCACTTATCCCTGGTGTGTTAGAGCAAAAAGGCATAGATTCAGTTTTTGGTGGAATTTTTTAAAACTCAATATGATACTCATACTCCCTATCATAAAACATTGAACTTCGTAAAAAAGCGAAATCAGAAGTTTATCCTACCATCATTAACTGAATTGAATCATCAAAAGTATCTTCATTTCTACAAGGCTTGAGAGTTGCTTACAGAAAAAGTAACATGGTGTGACGGTTTATCAAAAATAATATAGGCAAAACTTTCCAAATTCGTTAAATCAGGAGTATACAAACTTAACTTTGGATCTTGTCTTAAATTTAAGGTACAATAATGCTTCTCTGGTGAAACAACTAAGTGCGAATTTTTAAAAGTTTCCATTACATTCGCCAAAAGTGTTGAAAAGTACCAAACTTCCAGCAGAATTGACGACCAATAAAACGATGTGATTTATTTTGACAGTTGTGACATTCAGCTGATCTTTTTTGGGTTATATAGTGATGATATAATTCCGGGATCTTGCTGTTTATCCGTACATAATTATAATTTCAATTTATAATGGTCCTATAATGGATGTTGTTCCCGCTTTCTTGTTATTCTCCTTAGTAGCTGAATCGATTGGAAGTGGAAGGCAAAATACATTGATATTTATAGATGAAATTTACCCCTGAATACTAGAGTCACTGGATGGTATTAGTTTGATAAGAGTTCGGACACAGCTGAACTTTTGTCCTTTTCTATTTTCTATAATACAATGGTTTAAGTGAATAAAAGAATAAGACATACATTCTGCTCTTTGTCTTTTCGATTCCCCTAGTAGCGCCTGATTGTCAGATACGATTTTAGAGGTTATATTTTCTGTCAAATCAATCATAGCCGTAGATGGACAATTAGGCAATCCAACGACCTGTCAAATAATTTCAAAATGGCGTCTGGTTGGCAAATAAACCAAAGACAAGTTTGTTTACTTGAGAACTTTGTGGGTTTTGGAAGCCTCTTACAGTATTATTTTATCGAGTTTCGGCTAGATTTATTGTGAATAATGAAAACTCAGTATGATTTCAAAGAAGAAATTGCCAGTAACGTGAATTGTGGTGGATTGTGGAAGCAGTGCAGATCGGGACCATTTGCTGTTTTGTCACATTCCTACTGTAATACTGTGAAAACCTCTGAGCATTACCCACAGATGAAGAATCTATCAAGGAAAATAAGGGAAATGTGGATAGCAGCCATCAAGAGAAAGAATCAGCAACAGAATTAATCATAATAAACCAGAGGATATGTGGCAGACACTATTTTCATAACAGGTACCAAAGAAAAAAGATTTTAATATTATTTATATGTACCTACCTACTCTAGAACTGATGAGTTTAGTGTTTCATCCTATGGAAAACTTATCTTTTTTTCATTTTGATAAAATAAACCAATACTCATTACTTTTGATGGTCCTACATAGTTTGGGAACATCATGTTTCTAATACATAAATTCATCATCTACCTTGTAGGAGAACGTAGTGCTTGAAAGATGAGAATATCCAGCTTGGGTCCCATTGCAATATAATCAATCTCTTGTCCATTCGAAATGCAAGACTGATGTGGATCAAAAACTGAGCAGACAAAAGGTTCAAATCATGAATCAAGCATCAGAACCGAGAGACCTGGTATGTTCTCAAGAAAACACCTAATTAACTAATACTACTACATCAATTTTCATTTATTTTAGTGCAATGAAGAAAGTGTCCTGGGAGATAAAGAAATAGAAGAGAAAATTGGTAAAAACAAGGTGGGAATCTACAAGATTATAAGTACTTTTACAAATTACAGTTTGTTGTGATTTATTTTTATCAATTATAAATGTAAGACAAATAAAGTGAGTATATCAAAATAATTGTAATATTCATTAAATGAAAAATACATTGTATTATTCCACTATATTACAAAAGATCTACATGAGTCATGAAAAAATCTTCATAGAACATTATAGTTATTCAGTGATCTGATTGAAACAATAATAAACAATGATTGAATGATATATTCATTATGAATAGGTACATATTTTTTTATAGAACTTTTTGTAGAACACAAAACCATGCTGATTCTGATGGTGTACCTAAAATATCTACACATTTAAAATAGAACCATACAATTTCCCTTTATCACTGTCACAACTAGTCATAGGGGTTGCATCATCAGCACTTGAACACTTACACCAATAGTTCACTTCTGGTGAAATTAATATCCACCCAAAAGTCCAGGTATAACTTCAGCATGAAACTTCAAAGCAATTTGTGAATGTTGTTCCCAAAAAACACGTTTATCGGCACATTGAAGATACAGTAGGGATTTTGTATTAAACCATTCAGAGCAACTGTACCTATGTCCATTTCTGCTATTGGTATGATGGGCACAATCATGGTGAGAGTGGTGGCATGGGTCACAAAGCATATACATCAGTACATGAAACTGTTCCTTATTTACTTGCCCAAGCCTCAAGTTACTTACTAGCACAGAATCTGATTGTGAATATTTTACCTATAAAAAAATTGCATTAGATATACATGAATATGAGGTAGGAAATATATTTAAAAATATATGATTAACATAATTTCATCATTCAAAATGTTCCTATCATGAAAGTTTTAGGTATAAAAGTAAAAAGTTACCTTCCCAACTATGACATGAAAATCATTCATCTTCCTGTCTACTTCCTGGACAAAAATTGCTGAAAAATACTTGTGAACAACAAGGGTTTTGGATGCTCATGAGGGTAGAAACTGTGGGTCACTATAAATAGTAGGAGAGTATAATTATGAGGTAGGTAGTCTAATCAGTCAGCAGTTTCAGATGTGGAGGGCTTCAAATCCTTGATCAACATCAGCTTCATCAGATATCTACAAACAAATTATGGTTGTATGATAGTTTCAGGAATGAAAATGTACTGGTTAGTTGCGAAAAATAGCTGAAAAAACAATAAATATTCATGTTTACCTCTGACCAACCTCTGGGTTTTCCTGCAATAACTTCTGGAAATATGAACTCAGCATATTGAAGCACTGTTCAATTCAGCTCCGAGACTCCCTCAAACACCTGACACATAAAACTACCAGAATAATAGGGTGATTCGGACAAAATACAATTTAATTACAAGTGATGTATAATCTTTGTTTGCCAACCAGACGCCATCTTGTCAGCTAAAATGTCACGTGGTTTGGATTGCCTAATGGATATAGGGTACAAACACCCACTTCAATTCATAGTGATACACTTCTAGCAGAGCAACTATTATATAAATGAAAAAAATGCATGTAACAACATTTTAATATCAGAGAATATATACATATGGATAGACTTATAGCTATAATTCCTTATTGTATGTGAAACTGTACTCCAGTGAATCATTCCTGAGACAATTTTAAAAAATAAAGTCTATATAAGCTTGTGTCCGGAAATGCTTCATTTCGGAGATACAAGGTTTTGAAATACAGAGAACAAATCATTTTTTGATAAAGATTTCATAGGAAAAAAGTAATTTATTTTGACGAAACCTACCAAATACTTGGTGTTGTAAAGTTCTCAGCAACTTCACTTAGCGCCCTAGGAGCTTAGTAACATGGACCAATATAGAAAATATCTCCGAAACGATACCTCCAGCGTAATTAAGGCCCTTATAATAATTTCCTTGATACATAAATAACTATGTACTTTCCACTGTTGAATTTTGAATTCGGTCGGCACCAAAAACGTCATTCAATAATATATCACGTTGTAGTTTACTTGCTTTTGTTAGTTTCGTTTTCAAATTCTCAATTTCATAATGTAATTTTGCGATCATTTCCCCTTTTCCATGATTATTTTGTTTTGTATTTTGTGTGATGATAATAATGGAATTTTTTTCTTGAAATCGTCTGCTTTGTAAATTGATGGAACAGCAGATTCTCTCAAACAAATTTTGAAATCTTCTGTTTGAAGATGGGCCTAAAATATAGATTCATTCTAATCAGATGATGTTATAAGAAATAAGAAGTGAATTTCAATGAGTACCTCACAAATTTCGCTCGTCTTCAAATTGATTTTCACCCAGGCCGTTCCATATCTTCCTTCCATAAGCGAATGCTTGATATTTGATTTGGAGAATCGAATAAATAATATCCATTTTTTTCAGAATTGGCACAAGTTATTACACAGCAAGTGATTTCCATAGCTGCTTTTATCTCGAAAGTATAATAATTATGAAATTTTATTTCAATTCTGACGTTTATATAATTAATTGTCAAATTCAAACAATTCTGGATGAAAAAGCGCGGGACGACTATGGTGCTTTTGTCAAAATGCAAGGTGTGTAACTTTATATATCTAAACATTCAAAAACCCTAACCGTTGTCATTTCTGTGTCCGAACTCTTATCAAACTAATACCATCCAGTGACTCTACTGAATACTAGAAAGGGTTTTATACTTGTATGAGTCTTCTGATGTGATCTACTCTACAGGAATACTTTACTTCAGATTTTCTAGCATCATCATACCAAGAATTCAAAAGTATTACGAAGAAGTAATACCTACCGCAAATGAATTTATCAACATTTTAAGTCATTTTAGGAGTCCAGAAGTGTTTGAAAGTATTCTGGGTAGAATTGCGAACAATTCCAAAATATTTCCTGAGGCGAGTTCACTTTTAGGCAATTTTTATGTCAGATTTCGAGATTAGAGTATCTGAAATACCGTCATTTTCGCCATTTCGTACACTCCCTCCACAATCGTCTTCCTGTCATTCCGTATTAGAAGGCGGAATGAAAAGTTGGAACCAGTTTCAGAATTTCGTACAATAAAACGACATGAATTGTCGTTCCTGTTGAAGAATCTTACCAATAAAACGCACCTAATGTCAGCATTTTAGTATGAATACTTGCCGCGTGAGACCGTTGGCGTCGTTGTTCTGATCGCTCGTTTTCGTTACTGGAAAAACGCTGCAAATGTGCAACGAAGAAAGATGGAGAAAACCAACCAATGAATTGGACAAAACAGAGAGAAGCTACGAGCACATGCATCCAAAGCGATGATATTTCTTTCTCTTTTTTGGGACTTTCAATGCTTTTTACACGACGGTGAGGCCAGGTCGGTTCTAGTCTGGCAAAAGACATTTTCTCATAGGAAAACCATCTATCGAAGTGAATGTGTATAAAGATTCATGGGTATCTAATAGAGAGAAAGCGACGTTGCCATTATACCTACTTGTGTGTAGGAATTCAATATGGCGGACCATCCAAGATGGCGGAATAGTTATTTTCAATGCACTTCTACAATACGGGTATCAAATGAAAGGGCTCGTTGAGAGTAACTCGAAAAATAATGTGACGTCATTCTGAATCCGATATGGCGGACCATCCAAGATGACGAAATAGTTATTTTTAATACACTTCCACAATATGGGTATCAAATCAAAGGACTTGTTAAGAGTAACTCGAAAAATAATGTGACGTCATTTTAGCTGGTTATAACAAAAGCCCTATTGTACAATATGGATCTGTTTGATAAGTTTGAATTCCCTGCAATTAGTGTTATGTCCCGATTATTTCTTGTTTCATACTTATGTATTCGAATTCTTGTGTTGATTGTTAAATTGGAGTGACGTGCTTTACATTTCACCTGGTGAATGTACAAAGAAACCTGATAATCATATATCTTAGCTAGATTATGAATATTATAATTTTATAAATATGTTTGTGTAGGCAATTTGGCTTTGTCCTGCAACCCTATGCATTTATTTTTTCAGGGATTTGGCTATCAGAAACTGCCAGCTGACGTCCACTCTTGCTCTTAAATTAGGCGACTATGGCCTAAGTGTCTTCAAATACCCCGGCGACTACTACCAGGGCGCTGCCGGCGTACCAGTGAGATGGCGCGCCCCCGAATCTCTCACTTGCACCCAGGTAAATGTATACAGGGTGTCCCAACATTACATAGAAATATTTCAACCACGGATTCTAGGAACAAAAATAGTAAAAAAAAGTTGATATAGACATGAGTCCAGAAATGGCCATCTGAAATTCCTAAATGTACTTGACACTGCTGTTTTGACGTTTTTGTATATTAGAGTACGGACACTTGACCAGCAGTGACAATCAAACATAACCACAAACCATTTTGAAGCAAACCATATGTTTTGCCAGACAAGGACAAGAATATGTTTTTCGCTTAGATAAAGGATCCTCCACAAGTCCTGGGAAGAGTACATCCATATATCTTTCTCTATCTTTGATTGCAAATTTTCGAAAAACATGCTGTAACTCAGAAACGATGACAGATATATCGATGTGCAGTTTTCTCCATTGAGTTTGTCATAAAAATTGACCATCAGACACCGACATCAGTTTTCGTCTATCTAGTTTGGAAATAAGAGTTTCCCTTCAAAAGTGTCCGATTTGGCCCACCCTGTACAGTTTATACCACACTGACATGATACATTAAAAAGGAGAAGATGAGTTCTCATGTAATTTGTGATGAAAAAGCAAAATTATTATTCTTTCGTTCTCGAATGTTTTTCAGGATGAGGGAATTAAATCGTAAATTGCATGATGCTGCTGTTTCCAAAAAAAGAAAATTTTCAAAAATAATGAAATGAATTATTCAATATTTACAGCGTTTTATTTGCCATGATAAAATATGAAATGAATACCTACAGTACACACAGTGTGACCCACTTCAGACCGGAGCACCCCCATAAAATCTACAGTTTTTAACTGATCAATTTTTTTTCATTTCAGCGGAAAGGATGTCAAAAGATCTACGTTTACACATATTTGAAAAATAAAATTCCGATTTTCAGGGCATTCTATGATTTTTTTTATGTAGAGAATTGCAAAATATCATTTTTTTTCTTGAAGTTTCGACTCCACCACTAGTTTCAGCATCCTTCAATTAGGTCAACTGCAAAATTTCATTGAACAATTTTTATTGGCAATAAAGTCATAAACAGCATTAATTCTGTTAACATCCAATTTTTTATAAATATTGTAGACAATTTCTGAGATATGGCAACATAGTCAACACAAATGTAGGAATTCAAAAAGGTTTCTGGTGAATATTTGAATTCCGAGTACAAATTCCTCTCGATTTATAACATCTAGAATTGAAAATATTCGAAATCTTTGTCGAAAAACCAACTTTTCTCATGATAGTCATATCAACCAAAGATTTTTCAATGAAATTTTGCAGTTGACCTAATTGAAGGATGCTGTCTCCAGTGGTGAAGTCGAAATTTCGTGAAAAGTATCGCTAATAATGTTTTACAATTTTTGTTGCTTAAAAAATCATGAAAATGTCTGCCTTGAAAATGTGAACTATATTTTGAAAATTTCCACCTGAGGGAAAGGTTTAAGCCCCAAAGCCCTCACTCCCTCCCTGGCTAGGCCAGTGTTCAGTAGGTACTATTTTCATTTTTCGATTCTGTTAAAGTATAATCTTGAACTTTTTTATTCAAATAACCTATTTTGTACGACATTTGGAATACATTGGAGAAGTGGAAAATATAATCAGACACCCTGTAATTACTTTTTTTAATTGAAAATGTTGTTTCAGACACGAACAAGAACTTTAAAACCATCCGAATATTAAATATTTCAATTGTCCACATGCTCTGATATTGAAGCGCGCCACAACTAACTCACAAGGTGACGTCATGCGCGAGTCGGACGAATTTGGAACCGCTTGGTATCATATCTGTCCTCTTCATTGTATCATGCCACACTGACTAAGAGTATTTTGTTGAAATATAGTCATTAGTCAGCTTACCAAGACACGGTATAAACGTGGCCATTGACCAATTTTTCTCCCATCCTTGTTCCAGACCACCATCCAGCCGAGAGGCGTGGACCGCGAGGGCAACGTGTGGTCGCTGGGCGTGGCCATGTGGGAGGTGTGCGCCTGCGCGGATCAGCCTTACGCCGAGCTCAGCGACGACGAGGTGGTGTCCCGAGTGTTAGGAGCGCCCCATGTGCGCTTGGGTCGGCCTCGCTTCGCGGCCATCTACGCCGATTACATGTGAGTATAGGGGCCTGGTGATGGTAAAATTCTCGAGAAAGTATTTTAGGAGAAAGGGAAACTATAAAAACACTCAATTGATCTACTGGTAACGCCTCTAACTGATCTCGATACATAGTTGGAGGAGTATTCCCTGATATCTTTGAAACTAGAAGAAGATCTGAAGTTATTTGCAGATGATACTACAATAATCTATTCTTCTAAAGAATTTAACGATATAGTTGATGATATGAAAAGTGACTTGAAAATGATATTTATCATCTTGGCTACAAATTCATAAGCTGACTCTTAACTATGACAAATCTACGTATATGTATATTTCAAAAAGAAAAACTGATATGTCAAAAACAACAATATTTTTCAACCAGAAAGCCATAAAATATCTAGATGTTACAAAATTCTTAGGTCTTTATATAATGAACAATTATCGTGGACTAAACAAGATCACCTGAGAAAAAACCTAAATCGAATTACTGGCATTTTATACAAAATTCGAAATTTCATTCCTCTTAGATATTTGAAGAATATATATTTCTGTCTGATTTACTCAAAATTACAATATTTAATATCAATTTATGGAAGCACAAGTATATAACATTTGAAACCATTAATGAAATTACAAAATAAAACAATTAAGTGCATTTACAATTTACATTACCTGGAACCAACTATTAATCTTCACAAACCAAAAAATCTGTTGAATTTATCATCTTTATATAAAATGAAAATTTGTTATTTTATTTATTTTGTGAGAAAAAAAAAATAAAAATATACAACTTGAACTTTATTGAAGTAAATACAATTCATACTCATGAAACGAGACAGTTGAATTCATTAATAGCAAACCCATATAACTCCATCATTGGCAAACAATCAGTATTCTACAACGGAATCATTTTATATAATCCATTACCTTATGATTTGAAACATATTGATGATGAAACAAGATTCAGTCAATATGAAAAAATATATACTCATGACACTATAAACGGAGCAATTTATTCTCATTTGAATACTTTAATTATTATTGTTGTTATAGTTGTTTTTTTTATTGTTATATAATATATATATATCATATGTTAATGTATCCCTATTATGAACAAATATGTTTCTTGGGGTAATGAAGAACAACAACAACAACAACAATACAGTAAAGTTGTTCCAAACATAAATCTGGCGATTTGAACGATCCTGGAAATTTTCGCTTCATCTCTGTGATTCCGGTTCTCGGAAAAAAATTTGAAATTATCTTAAAAAATCGATTATTAGTCTCATAAATTCGAAATTTTACATAAGAACCAGTATGGATTTCTTAAAAACCGATCCACTATTCAGGGAATTTCTAGGGTGATAAACAACATTGTTGAAGGCTTTGAAGACGGTCGCCGAACTTCTATAAGCTTGTGCAAACTCAGCAAAGCCTTTGACAGTGTAGACCACGAATTATTGATATAGAAATTACGACGCTATGGCATTTGGGGAAAACCATTGAATTTGTTGATTACCTATTTGGAAAATCGGAAACAACTTACTTACTTACTTACTTACTTACTTACTTACTTACTTACTTACTTACTTACTTACTTACTTACTTACTTACTTACTTACTTACTTACTTACTTACTTACTCACTCACTCACTCACTCACTCACTCACTCACTCACTCACTCACTAGATTCCAGTAAATTTTCTTGACTGAATACATGAATATAGTATCAATTTAACTCTCTTCTTAATGTCAACTAATAGAGCACTGTCAGTGACGTCATATGACGTAAAATTGAGGGCCATTGAACAGCTGATGGGGGGGACAAGCATAAACATTTTCCGTAAGGATACATACATGTTACTTTCTTGCACATTTCCCATTATAATGCAATACCTGGAGCATTTATTTATCGACATGTTTGTTAATTCATCCATTGTGAATACTATGAGAAATTGTTTGATTTGTCGATTTAAAATTACTGGTATCACTTGAAGTTCCGCTCTAATATATCTAATATACCTTGTAATATGCCTCAATAGATACTCAGTTTGCAACAACGAGTACGCATTTTTCTCTACAAGTTCAACAAAATAACCAATGGGCAGAAAGAATAAAATCAAAATTCACACACAGCTTTGATTGTACCTTGAATACCTGATAAAAACGACGAGTGCGCCATGTTTTGACTTTATGTGACACTACTCTTTTCTGAATCACCTAACTGTTTATCTTCGATTATATTGGATATTAGATTTGTTTCTTTATTTGCTTTTTCGTCTTGTCCCTCCATAAACATGTATGTTTCTTGGGATCAATAAATGGTATTATTAAGTAGCCAAATTTCACTGCTAAATTGCCAAAATCGCCCAGGCGCTGGAACATTGTAATTCTAAATGTAAACTTTGTAGGCGAGGTGTAATAATTTCTGTACATTTGAAAAAATTATGCAAAAATCGCCCTTATCGGCAATATTTTCAGTAAGCCAGTGACCTATTTTGAACTAAGGTATTCATTTGTTAATTGTTATCCTAACCCTAGACATATTTCGTATTCCTGGAAAGATTCCCTTCACCAGACAATGCAATGAACAAATGCCACTCATTTTGACAGTGGTTGCTGCCATCAAAATACTACAAAATTTCTGACCCTTGAAGGGCGGAACAGGAATAGTTTTATAAAGGCCATGTCTCACGGTCCAACAATTTGTATCAGATAGTTATAATAAAATTAAAACTGCCAACTGGTTTCATAATTTTAATACTCTTCAAATTGACATACTTTCAACTTTCTGTGTATGAGTGTTACGATGAGAATTGGTGGCGAGAAAGCAGAAAGTATCAAATCCAATCCAGTTTATTCTCCTTTTCACCTCTTTTGGTGAACTTTGTTGATTATCAAATGCAGTGTGTTTATTTCAATCTCAATGTTTCCTGAAGCCGAGCCTATATTTCCATTCCGCCCGAAATTATATGAAATAATTATGGACTAGTGAATAATTATTTGAAATCACTCTGTATCTCCGTTATAAAGACTGTAAGACTCATCAACCACCTTGGCGACCCCTATAAACCATTGAAATATTTCCCTTTAGCTGTGAAACAACCTATATGCAATAGGTTTGGAAATGGAGGATTGTCCACTCATAAACTGTTCTTCCTGATGGAATTCTTTTCACAAATTTCCTCTTCTGGCCACAACTTCAAGACAACATGGAGTTCATCTATTTTTTACTGTCTTTATTTCATTGTGTTACATATGGAATCAAAATAAGAAGATTTTTTTTCATGCAAGTCTATAAAATAGAGTATGACAAGGTTTTTTGTGTCCTAAAACGAAATCATTACTAATGCCGGAATCCTTCAGGACATTCAATTTCATAGCAGCAGAGTGGGTATGGTTTCGATAAATCTCCTTTTACTATATGACAAGGGGGTTCGATTGCAACTGAACCACACCTGAAATGAAAATAAAACATTGTCATTTATGAGTTGGGCAATGGTGCAAATTTCCTGAAAAGTTTTTTGATTGAATAGGCACTGAATAATTATCAATTATCAGGGAGCCTAAAAGAAAAATCCAATAGCTTGTCAGGGACACTTTGTTTGGAAAAATGTTCGAAGAGAAGAAATATAGATATATTGAAAAAATATCGATTTTTCTTTATCATACTTTCACAGTATGAAGGATTAGAATCACCTGTGGAAAGGTTCGATAAATTCAAAATGATCCAATGGATCTTGTCCTAAGGTATATTGGTCAGACAGGTGGTACTTTTAATCAGCGCATTCATGAACATAAGAAGAATTTTTTGAAAAAGCAAACCAATTCAATATACGCCAACCAAATATTAGAAGAAAACCATAGTTTCCATGATAATTTCGAAATTCTACACGTAGAAAATAAAGGAATAAAACCCGATCATTTTGAATCATTAGAAATCAACAAAATCGAAAATTCTAACATTATATTTAACGATCAACTAGTTCTCAATTATTCACCACTGTTGAATTTGTTTCCTTAGTAGGAAATTATATGTATTTGCTATCAACCCTTTCAATATAATCCGATATACCGTATTTTAATGTAGATATTGTGCCTATTTTCCGAAAATGAAGGTTCATCGAAACTTTCCACAGGTTCTAATCTCTCAGGTTGGGAAAGTAGGATATATAAAAGTTAGGCAAGCCAAGCTTAGTTCATTCATTGTACCAGTATTTCACCAGACGAAGATATTGTGTTAGCGAAATATGTCATGGAAATCTTATCGTTTGTGAAGTTTTAACATTTAAATATCGAATTTTTATTTATCTTCGGACGTTTCAGGACCGAATCTGCTCCCGTTCTCAACATGAAAATGCGAAAATATTTCTCTTTGAAAGCTGCGTTCTTATAGTTTGAAACTTCTCAGAGACATACTGATGTTGGCATATGAATGAGTGATGTTAGTGATGTTCATACAAACAAATGAGTTTATATATTTTCATTAATTGATCTTGAATCTACCATTTTCATGTTCAGTTTTCAGTAGTGAATACCATGTTCTATCTATATCAACTGAACAGGAAGCAATGCTATTGTCTCCGTTCAGGAGAATGCAAGCGGATTCCTTGATTTTTCTCTTTTTGTTATCTCCCTGGGTACCCAAATTGTTTGCATGTTGATACAGGTACGTTCACAGAATGAAGGAGCATCTGTATTTTCACCAAGTCACTCGGAAAAGTTATTGTTTCTTACCCAGACAGACCGATATCTCTGTTCTCTCTGCATCTGGCCACTGCGCATTGATTAGCCAATCTTTTTTCTTCACCTTTCTCCATCGATCCTATATTATGGCTTGAAGAATAACAGTGACTGAGATGGTCTGAAAGGTTGATAATATTATTTGGTGGAAGAACAAAAAGTGAACACATGACTCACTGGATCTTGGGTCGCTCCTTATTATGCCTACCCATGCATTTGCACTTAATACACACAAAATGCACAAAATAACAATAATTATTGCAGACTTCATTTCTGAAATTTGTTTGGTAGCCTATTAACGATTATGGTTTGATTTATATAGAAATGAAAAAAATATTGATAACCTCTCGACTGTAGTCGATAATAAATAAAAATAATGTATTATTGAATAATTTTGTCATACCTCAATTTAGATTCCATATTCATGATAAAAACATCTTGAGGTTTACAAATCTTTCCATATTTATACACTCAGTTCCAAAAAAAGTGACGCATTTGATATTTGACCTATCTTCTTACAAAAAAAAAGTAGTAGGCCGATTTTTATTTCTTTTATGTGTTGGTAGGTAATGCATTTGTCTTTAAAAAAAATAAAGAGGTGAAATTTTTTTCAAAGCCTCCTTGATGGTGGTGGAATAACTCGAACCATGATTTATTCTTAATTTTTGACTCACCCCGTGTGTTAATTGAGTAATGGCATAGAAAGTGCTTACACCCTATACGAAAGAAGCTTCTTTTGCGAGCATTTTGTTTTTTTATTCATTGATTTAGCTCTAAAATTTTCCGAATTACAGCTTTTTTGCTGAATCCTTGCAGATTACCAACTTTCTGAATTTATTGAGAAACAATTTTTTAATGAAATAAACTGATACCAATAATTTTGAAAAACATTTTCATTAAACACAAAATTATGAATTTGGATGACTGCTTAATACCGTGTATTGCGTCCTCTAGCAACTCTGAGAACTTCTAATCTACGAGGCATACTGGAAATTAAGTTGCTTATCGTTTCCATTGGTATACGATCCCATTCTTCCACTAATGCATCTGCCATTTCTGCGAGACTTTCCGGAGACCTCTCGCGAGAACGTACCCTTCTCCCTAATCCATCCCATAAATGTTCTATAGGATTCATATCGGGGCTTCTCGCAGGTCATTGTAATGTGGTAATACCAGTAGCTTCTGAGAAGTTTCGCACTATTGCTGTGGTGTGTGGTCGGGCATTATCCTGCATCAATATAAAATTATCGGCCACTAACTCTGCATAAGGTAAGACATACTGCTCTAAAATGTCAATGTAAATTTGAGCATTCATCGACTGCCTCACCGGAAAAACATGAAGGGGTGTCTTTCCATTCATTGAAATCCCTCCCCACACCATAACGGACCCACCATTAAAACTTTCGCATTCTGTTATTGAATTTTGATTAAACCGTTCACCAGTTCTTCTCCACACTCTTTTTCTTCCATCCACCATGTTAAGGCAAAACCTTGACTCATCCGTAAACAAGACATTCGACCATTCAGGAATATTCCACTGTCCATAATTTTCAACAAAATTCCTTCTAGCAGCACGATGTTCGGGCAAAAATTTTGGACCTTTTGCAGGACTCCTAGCTTTTAAATTAAAAATTTTTAGACGTCTACATACCGTCTGCTTACTTACTGCAACATCACGAATTTGGCGAAGATCTTGCTGACCATTTACCGCAGTATTTGATTGATTCCGTAAAATCCGCAACCTCAAGAAGCGATCATCTCTTGGAGAAGTTTTTCGGGGGTGACCAGAACCGACCCTCCGAGCGGTGCTTCCTGTTTGTTTGTACTTGCGGATTGCTCTACGGCGTAACGTTTACTACGCCCATCGTTTACTAACGCAACTAATCTTGCTACTTGTTCAGGATTTATTTGAGGCATTTTATGTAATTTTAGTCAATAAAACAAGACACTTAATTAATGACAACGACAAATGGTCAAATATGGAGGCTTACAACAAATTAGTTGCTATAGGAACGGCATTTGTTTTTTTAAGGACAATGTCATCCTACCAGAGTACAACCCAATCAATTTCTAGTACTCTGATCCTTCAATAAATTTAATTTGTGGGATAACCGTAAGGTATCAGCAAAAAAGCTGTAATTCAGAAAATTTTAGAGATGAATCAATGAATAAAAAAACAAAATGCTCGCAAAAGTAGCCTCTTTCGTATAGGGTGTAAGCACTTTGTATACCATTACTCAATTAACACACAGGGTGAGTCAAAAATTAAGTATAAATCATGGTTCGAGTTATTCCACCACCATCAAGGAGGCTTTGAAAATATTTTCACCTCTTTATTTTTTTTTACAGACAAGTGCATTACCTACCAACAAATAAAAAAAAATCGGCCTACTATTTTTTTTTTTAAGAAGATAGGTCAATTATCAAGTGCGTCACTTTTTTTAAAACTGAGTGTATATATACAGGGTGTTATTTAAGTACGTGGCCAAACTTGAAGGGGTGATTCTTTGAGTGATTCTAAGACGTAAAGTTCATATAAACATAGGTCCGGTAATGCTTCGTTTTCAAGATACAGGGTGTCAAAATTTTCAAAAGAAATCTTTGTTTTCGTAAATATCTTGATAACCCTTCAACCGATTTCATTGAAATTTGGCAGTGTTATTCAAGGTCGTGAAGGGCTAATTTAACCCTAACTATATCAAAATTATCATGTCCAGTGGCGTCCCGGAAGGCACTGTAACCAATATTTTTGACAAAAAAATGAGCGCCACTGATTTTTTTGCAATTTTTGTATTTGTTTCACATTGAGCAACTAAAATTACAACTTTTTTATATCTAGAATTTTTTTCGTATCTTGCTATGTTTTTGAGAAAAAACATAAAAATCACTTCATTGCACATCCCTGTGACGAGCCGAAGCCAAGAGCCGAAGGCAAGTGCTGCAATTCATACATACATATTTTTTGTTTTTTCATTGCATTAATTTCAATAGAAAATTCCAAGACTAGAATAGAGTATTAATATGAAAGAATATTAGGTAAGACCCCAGTTTTTGATGGTTTAGTAGTTGAAATGTTTTATTGTGTTGTCACAGGGATGTGCAATGAAGTGATTTTTATGTTTTTTCTCAAAAACAAAGCAAGATATGAAAAAAATTCTAGATATAAAAAAGTTGTAATTTTAGTTGCTCAATGTAAAACAAATACAAAAATTGCAAAAAAATCAGTAACGCACATTTTTTCTGTCAAAAATATTGGTTACAGTGCCTTCCGGGACGCCACTGGACATGATAATTTTGATATAGTTAGGGTTAAATTATCCCTTCACGACCTTGAATAACACTGCCAAATTTCAATAAAATCGGTTGAAGGGTTATTAAGATATTTACGAAAAAAACGATTTCTTTTAAAAATTTTGACACCCTGTATCTTGAAAACGAAGCATTACCGGACCTATGTTTATATGAACTTTTCGTCTTAGAACCACTCAAAGAATCACCCCTTCAAGTTTGGCCACGTACTTAAATAACACCCTGTATATAGTAAAAATAAAACGTTCTACTTTCACTAGTAAATAATAAAATGAGTTGACAACAAATATAACTATCATAATTTGATTATAATTCGGAATATCACTTATCTACCCTACTTTCAACGATATCATTATTCACGAAATGGAGTGGAGATTTGAGATCTATAAATATAGCATTCAAAATCTGTGCAACATTTCCTCAGTTCAGTTGACTTCAAGTGAAAAATTTGTTAAGCATTTCCAATGAACCATTCATTTTTTGTATTTGGCTGAAAAAAAAAGACGGTTGGATAAAATTTTACTACTGAGTCAAATCGAATTATTCATGTATTCAATCACTATGGACATATAATTTCAAAACAGCAATCTGGATAGGGTTTTGTCAAATCGCCTTCTCCGATTCTGCAAGGTGGTTGTACAACAGCTGCTCCACATCTAGAATAAACTTAAATCAATGATTCATGTTCTATAAAATTTGACTAATTATGAAGTAATACAAGGTGATTTCGAAATAAGTATATATATGGAACACATCCATATGATACAGCCTACAAATATTCCGAATTCATTAGAATTTCTCAAGTTTACTTATTAACGAGAAATTCTATTCTATATTCTTCTTCTGAGATATTTTTTCTCCTTTCTATATGTATAAAATAAATATGAGTATTATCCCAACATGACATGAAAAAGTTATATTATTTTTGTTCAAGGATTATGGTTTTTTTCTTATTTTTCTCCATCTCTCCAACACTACATAGTTTTATCTTACGTTTCCAATGACAATACCAACTAACCTCCGATATTTGTTCGGAGGTTCTAACAAATTACAAATTGAATTCTCGTGATATTTCCTATACTCATACACTACACTGTTTTACCACTAATCAAACCGATTTTTTAACGCCTCGACACGTGTTTCGCTAACTATGTTAGCATCTTCAGGAGAAGATTAAAACTGGCAGATTTAATCTTTTCCTTAATTAGCCCTATGCGCCGCATTGACGGTTTAGAATGAAGCGGATCTGTCATTATTATGACGGAATTATCTCAAGAAAACATTGTGCATATGAAATATGCAATTGTTTAAAAGCTAATGCAATCTTTCAGAAAATGGACTATGGCATCACGTCGATTTGAACGTTTATAGTCATGTCAAAATACGCTGTAGTAAAATGAAAGATGATTGTAATAAAATTTTTATTGCACTAGGCAATAAAGAACCACTTTTCATACTAAAAATAGTTCAATGACGGTTTGTTTTTTGCATGAATGTGAATGTGAATATATTTATTTTAATGTTACTATGTATAGGTACTCTCTTAGTCAACCCACCCTTCAATGATGATATCTCTTGAGGGCTTACAATTTGCCAGCGCACATACGTGTGCTAATCTTTTTTCTTCTCCTTCTTTCATTGCTCCAATATCGCCTACTGTACTATAGCAATGACTTGTTTGATCTGAAACATCAGATTGTTGTAATTATGAAATTTCAAAACTTATCGAAAAAAGTTAGGGATATTGTATTTTTGCTATGAAGAAAAAATGTGGTATAGTTATCAATATCTCTATGTCGTTTGCGTAATTCATGGATATTGAAGTTGGCTATGAAAACAGTTTTCTAAAAAACTGATCAAACTGATCTAAGTTATTGGCAGAGCGTCAATATTTCACACTGGTCCATCGGATATTATCTCTAGATGGGGAAGAAATATTCGCGGAAGTATGGACGTTCTGCCCCTAACATAGATCAGTTTGAATCGCGGCAAGTTTGGATAATCGTTAAGACGACATCATCTCCTTTTATTTGCTTCTAGTGATTGGCACAGGTGCCGTTCGAAAAACTACAATGTTTTTACATGCCTTTGTGACATATATCATTTCACTAAGATGCTACGCTAAGATGCTACGATCATTTATAAAAACCTCGTTATTAGGTTGGTAGGACTGATGATTTTATCAACCTTTATATTATTATGGTGAATGGATTGAAGAGTTGTTGAACATTTTTCAGGACATCTGCTTACGATAAGCCATGCAGTTCTCTGTCTGTCTGATAATTATGAAAGTACAGGTCATTTGAAGTCAGTATCATCATTTCAAACTTGATATTACAAAATATCAGAAGTAACTCGAATCACTGTATATAATACTGGAATTAATCGTTTTATTGATGAGGTCGTTACTTCGATTACTTACTTGAATTTGGATCATATGGTACTATACTTTCGGAGGCATCAACGTACTCCTGTACACACAAAATGCTTAAAAATGCGAAAATCATAAACTTCATTTCGATAAAAAATCAATCGATCGATACGTATTCTTTTTGGTCTATCCACTAACTGATAACTGATCCGCATATTCTAATTCGCACTTACTTATAAACCAAAAACGGGAATGTTAATGCATAGCAATTATCATTATAAATAAAACATAATATATTTTTAGTATATGGGCTTGGCCACGAAACATTTACTGAATAATTATAAGAGATTTTATCCATGATTTGAATTCGTTTTTGCCTTCTACTTCAAGGAATATGCTGTGTTTATAAATTCAACTTAACTGACAACTAGGTTTGATGTACACACCTATCATAATATTATTGAAAATATTCGGGGGAAGCAGTCGAATGTGACCAATCAGTTAGAATATAACCTATCGAACAGTCACAAAAGCTTCCCCTTGTTAGGTATTATAATATACACAGTAACTGATATAATATCTATAATCACTGATTCTCATCATCTTGGTAGGGAACAAGTTTTTTGAGAAATAAAAATAATCATTGTTGGAATATCTAACAATCAACAATTATTGATAATTGTGAAGGTGATTATAAGCAACTGATTATAATTGAAAATTATATATCAAATGTCTTTTGGTTGACGCTCAAAACGAAATATTAAAAATGAGCAAAAATCTGAACCTGAAACACTACTAAACCGAACTTTAAACAATAAACATACAAAATAAAGTTTTGCGTTCTGTCTGCAAAATTTTGTAATTCTTAATTGAAATGACAGATTTGAATGTATTCGACGTTAAATATTTTTGGTTGCTAGTTTAATTCTTGTTTAGTTGAATCTATAGGTATGAGTAATGTTATAAAAATAACTGATGTGCAATGGTAGATTAATGGAGGTCGGCTGAAAGTCGTCAGCAAAATCATTTTTGTTGACTCATAGACCTGTCATTTTGAATAAATAGTAGGTAAGTAATTATTTATTCATATCTTCATTATACTAGTCCAAGAGCCGGCCGTCATCTGGACAGGTAGATAGTATGTTCCTAATTAGTGAAATTTCCATTATTCCAAATTTTTTGGGATTTTCTCTCCTCGTTTCTATAAAATAAAAATATGAATATTATTTCGATATACGTGTAGTAAGGATAAATCAGATGATTTGCCCCAAAATGTCACTGCGTTTAAAGAATTTTCCTATCAGAGAACCTAAAAGAAAAATTCACTAGCTTGTCAGTGACAATGTGTATTGAAAAAATTTTGGAGAAGAGAAATAAAGGTATATAGAAAAAATATCAAACTTTCACTTATCTTTGGACGTTTCGGTACCGGTTCTGCTCCCGTTTTCAACATGAGAAGAGATTATTTCAATCAAATCATCAGAGAAGTATTAAGAAAGGAATTATCAAATCACTCCATGATAGAGCCAAATCAATATCATCTGACCAACAAATTTTCAATAACGAAGTCCACCACATTAAAAATGATCTCCAACTCAATTCTTATCCAAAGAATTTTGTCGATAGGACGATTCATCAAATTGAAAACAAACAGGGTCAACCACAACAAAATCAACCATCAATAACGACAAATATAATACCATACATATCTGAAAAAATAAAAAGTGTTGGTGATAAATTTCAAGTGAAAACTGTGTTCAAAACTGAAAATACAATGAGATCAATTCTAACTCAAACAAAGCCGAAAAATGAAGAACAATCGTCAAAAAATTGTATTTACAGTATACCTCGTGTTTGTGGAAAGTTTTATACAGGTGAAACCAAGAGACCTCTTTCAGTAAGGACGAAGGAACATAAGTACAATATAAAGAAAAGAAACATCGATAAATCGAAACTAGCTGAACATATCCTTACTGAAGACGGGCAACATATGGCAGAGTGGAATAATATTAAAATTATTGGAAAAGAAGATAACAACCAGAAGAGAAAAATCAAGGAATCTGCTTGCATATTGAAATAATCTCTTCTCATGTTGAAAACGGGAACGGTCCCGAAACGTCCAAAGATAGGTGAAATTTTGATATTTTTTCTATATACCTTTATTTCTCTTCTCCAAAATTTTTTCAATACAAATTGTCACTGACAAGCTAGTGAATTTTTCTTTTATGCTCTCTGATAGGAAAATTCTTTAAACGCAGTGACATTTTGGGGCAAATCATCTGATTTGTCCTTACTACACGTATATTGAAATAATATTCATATTTTTATTTTATAGAAACGAGGAGAGAAAATCCCAAAAAAATTGGAATAATGAATGTACCACCTCCTCGATTAACCTACAGACAGTATTTAGTGAAATTTCCCTTTACGTACCGCCACCAGGAATTTGACCACGACAAATATCCTTCTACATGAATAAATACGATACCCCAGTCAATAGATTATGCAGATTATATAATACATATTCGGCAACCATAACATTTGGTGTTTTCGATACTTCAATTCCTAAATTCAAAGCCAATTTGAAAAATGTTATAAATTCTTGGTGAGAATTCATGATGTCTGGTGTGAATTTCCTCTTCTTCAGTTAGGTATTCATTGTCATTGTTATTATTATTGTTGTTGTGAGAATTATTAGTTTTGCCATATTTAATTTAATCGCCTCTTATATTTAGAACTTTCTAGAAACATGTTATTTGGCTCTGCCTGTTTGTTTCTACAGAATAAATAAATTGGGCGTGTACACCTCAGTAGAACTTTTGACTCAAACCATGTTTATAATGATCCTTTTATACATAAATAATGATTGACGACATAATTCGATCGAAAAATTAACTGGAATGTTTCATTTGTAGACATAAATGATAGTACCTTCTGGAAACGGACCCTCTTATGACGTAGAAACCCCATCTCGCCATAGTTGAAAGAAAGTACCAAACGCCCGACGGAGACTGAGGCAACTGATATATTAATTCTTTCAACTGTGATCTCGCGCTAATTCACTCAGTCAGAGATCATGTATCATTCATCTCTGTCTGGAATAGTCTTGTTTCAGTATTAGGGTTTTGACGTCACATCATCGCCTCGTTTTCAGAGGACCGGAAAATCGGGGATTTCAATATTTTTTTATAAAACGTAGGGAGCTCACAGCAAGAAACGGTTTGCGGTGGTGAGCTAGTTTGGGTGAGTTCTATCGAATTATGAAATACATTTTTTTTGTGATATAAGCTCCGGATATAAGCCCATTGTTACAGATATATAGGGTGTTCGAAACGAGATTTTCAAACTCAAGGTGTCGAAACTATTCATTGTTGATCAAAACGGATTACCTGTGCCTGTCTTAACTTTTGATTTACTATCTACTGTCGTTTAATTGGAACAGATACAGGGTGGTTCAAGATCCAGAATTCTGTCAAGTAATATGAAATAGCAAATTAAAAATGGTAGATTTGTATAAATAAGTTTCAACTTTTTCAATACACTATCATATATTATAATTCTGAGTTATCTTAATAGTTGAACCATGTGCAATGTTCCCATGATTGTGCCAATGAGATAAAGAAAACACATTCAATAAAAAAATCCAAAATATGTATAGAACGTGACGAAACTTGAGCGAATTAAATTACTGATAAAGTTCAATTTTGTAGTGAACATCATCAGTACTTGCTTTAGTATTTATGAAAAGGGGCTGAAGTGGCACAAAATAGCTTTTAATGTCACAATTTTCCGAGAACTTGAAGAAGTATATTATTCAGGTATTGCCAATCAAAACATCCAGGCCAGATATTTTTGAAGCTAACAGGTCGATTTGAATACTATAATAGTGGTATTTGGTATTGGTAGGTGTGGATGGTGACGGATGCGCTGTGACCTGATTAGACCTATTGTGTTCCATCTTATGTATACTAGTTTATACTATAATAACTAGAGTGGCTAGAAAAACTTGCCTCTTCTCAGATTCTCAATTTGTCGTGATTTGTGAATATGAATTGATGCGTCATTAGAAGCAGCCATTCAAATCAAGACAATGAAAAACGTACTCTGCAAAACGTTGCAATGAAAACAAAGCCCAATATACTTTCCTTCAAATTATAATAGTTTTTTCTACACCAGCTACGAAGAGTAGCGTATTTCTCATAGCTTGCTTAGTTTTAAAACCACCATACTGTTACAAATATTTTTTTCTACGGCTATATCACAAAATCGCTCTTTTTTTACTGTGTTCGATTCTATGTCTATGTCAATTTCGCTGTTATCTGTTACAGCCGTAGAAAAAGTATAGTGTATAACTCGCACGGAATGCTAATTTCCCACTCATATGATTTGCGGCATTCGCCCACGGCTTATGCTGCAAACTCAATTCTCGTGTAAAAGACTATCAATTCCGTGCTCGTTTAACAATATATTATTTCTCACGGCACAAAAATCGACCAAAAATTTAAAAAAATACAAAAATTGAATCTTTTTCGGAAAGTGTACTTTTTTGGTATACTTTGACGAACTAGGAAAGGCGTCTACTCTTTGGTCACAATATCAATGTTGCGAAGTACTATCAGTATGAAATGAATACCAATAAGTTACATTATTTGTTTTCTTTAAATTTGTGCAGCTGTAGATGATAGTATATTTTGCAAAAAGTGGGAAAAATTAAACGTTTCTCATAAGTGTGACCGTGGCCTGAAGGGCGAGTCAGATCATAGTTACAAAACTCGTCCGCCATATTGGATCTGCTGTCTTGGATTCCAAAATTTTATGAAAGAATCATTATCTCCGACTGCAAAAACCCCCAGATACCAATTTTGAATAGAATCTGATCATAATTAAAGAACTCGTTCGCCATATTAGATCCGCCATTCTGAATTTCCTAATTTTGACGAAGGAATCATAATCTCTGACCTCGAAAACCCCCAGTAACCAATTTTGATAGAATCTGACCATACTTACAAAAGCTGTCCGCCATAATGGATCTGCCATACCAAATTTCAAAATTTTGACGAAAGAAATATAATCTCCTACCCCGAAACCCCCCCGGATACCAATTTTGAATAGAATCGGATCATAATTACAAAACTCGTCCGCCATCTCAAATTTCCAAATTGTGACGGAAGAATCATAATCTCCGACCCCAAAAACCCCTCGATACCAATTTTGAATAGAATCGGTTTACAAAACTCGTCCGCCATATTGGAACCGCCATCTTGAATTTTTGATTTTAAAAATAGATTACTACCGATTCTCATACCTACCGAATATGAATGCATTTTCATATTCCGGATAAGGTTTCATTTTCCTATTTTCCATTCCATACATTTTTACTATGCCCATTCCTACTTTTTTCTAAAATTTTCTGACAACAAAATAACCTGATGTTACTTTTGCAGCTTTTTCCAATATCTCTGACGGAGTATTATAAAAATCGGCACTCAAATGGAAATTGCAATTTTAATCAAAGCACTAATGAAAACTAACTTAGGAATTTGTAAAACTTCTGCTGTCAGTTGTGTCAACTATTCAAGAATGAACAGCATCCATTTAAGATTTCGTCGATTTTTATAAATTAATGATATTTCTCACAGTATGAGCAATACGTGGTTTCAATGTTGAGTAAACTATGAGAAACACGCTACTTTTCATAGCAATTGTAGAATAAAAAAAGTGTGTAACATGTGGGGAAAAGTAATTTTTCTACTTGTTGCACACAATATACTATGGTAGCCACCTGTTTTTTCAACAACAAAATTGTTCTAGCTTCCGACTGATGCAACTATGTTGGACCAACGCAGAATCCAGGCCTACCGTATCTCAAATTCACCTCATGCTGTCCGACCTTCTGCAAGTACACCAAAACACCACGTCAGACCCCTCTCACGAGTCCCTTTCCTTGAACGATTTCGACCAGAGATGGGCCTCTCTGAAACCGAACTCGCTAGTCAAAACGGACGACATAACCGTTCATTTCCCCGAAATACGCAAAAACCTCTCCCCCAGTATGACCAACCTCCACGGATCGCTGGACAACCTGCTAGCAGACAATAATAGCGAAAGTATATTCATCGAAGACGAATTCAGAAACGAGTTCTCCAGTGCCAATGATGATTCCCTGACCTCCGAAAGGGTCTACAACTCGGATTCCAGCGAGCAGCGAACCAAAAAGAAATCAAAAACCAAATCAAAGACAGATAACGAAAGCGACAATCTATCTAACGGCAAGCTCTTCCAGAGGACTAGCAGCGGCAGCGAAACCGAAGACGACAACTGGCGAAACAAAGTGGAAATGGGCGCTTACACGGAAAAGGTGCGCCAGAAGTCCAAGTCCGTCGCTGACCTCATGGTCCTCACCCACGTGGACTACTCGGAATCGGAGTCCGAGACTCCTCTGCCGAGCCTGGACTACAAGGTCAACTACAAGAACGTGAGGCTGGCTCCGACGAATAACCTGGAAACTGCAGGGATGACCTTCGCCAGCGAAGGCAACCTGTTGAGCATCCAGGACGCGTTCCAGGAAGAGTTGAAGAAGCTGCAGGAGGAACGCCGAGACAGTCTTCTGTTCGTACCTGATAGTATTATTAGCGCCAATGCGGAAGTGACTAATTTGATGCAGGAGTTGAACAGTACGGTGGAAATCCAGCCGGCGAGTCAAGTGTTTAACGTGTTCAATGTTACTATTGATAGATACAGTCCGCCGAGGCATGTCACTAAGTTGGAGAAGATTATAAATTTCAATGAGTCTGGAAACATTGAGGGCTGTAAAGCTGACGCTAGTTCGAATGGGGATTCACAATTGGTTGTGGATTATGTGAGAAGTGGAAGGAACTCTAGCCAAGAAAGTTGCAAATCTGACGTTTTGAATGGACTCTTAGATGAGGAAGAAGAAACCAATCTCAACCTCAATGATAGTCTGGAAAATATAAACGCAGAATGTGAGAAAGTCTGTGATGAAAGAATAGTGGGGCATGACATTTCTTTGGAAAATATTACGCATGATAAAGTTAATTTCTTAAATGATGACAAGGAGCTAGAAACGTGTAATACTAATGTGAACCATGAAAAAATTGCTGAGTTGAATAATGGTTCTGACATAATTGAAACCTGTAATGAAGTTATGGTGCCAAAAGTCGTTGAAAAATTGTCAGACCTAATACAAAATAATGAAGAATTGAAAAAATATTTAGAATCTCCTTTAATAAAGTCTGATAATGAGGAATTTATTGCAGGTACTGATAAAAAATGTGTCAATTTTGATTTGAGCAGTAACCAAGACGGAGCAATGCCAAATTCGCTGACACATTTTAGTGTTTTCACTAGTACACCTTTCAAAAAGAAAGATTTGTCACTTCCTGTAGAAGATAAATATTCTAGCATAAATTTATTTGGCAATACCGAAGATAAGGATGAGTCACACAACTTGGAAGATAAAGATCTAAACTACTCATTGGAGACTTGGGATAATTTTCTAGGAAAAACATTTGATTATCAAAATATTCAAAATGATAATTTATTCAACAGTTTCTCTTCAGAACCTAAAAGTCTTATGTTTGTCGATAATGGAGATGTTGAGAGGGAAGAGTGTTGTGATACAAATATCTTGAATCAGTCTATTCTGAATGAAGCTGTCGAAAATATGGAAAAAGGTTCGGAGATAGAAACTGAACCGAATGGAACATTTGTTATAAATGGAAAGACTGAAAAAACGTTTGTGATAGAGGAAAAAACTACCGAAAATGAAGCCAATGGGACTTACGTAGTAGAAAACGCAAGTTTCCAAGATTTCAGTCCAGATGGTAAGTGAATTATCTTGTTTAAATTAGAGAAATTCAAATTAATATGGAATGCAATTTCGAAAATTGAACAAAAATGGTGGAAAAATTTAGGGCTTATTATAAACTTTGGAATTGTTTCTGAAATCAATATCAAAATATAATAATTGAGGATGTTATGCTAAAAATAACTTTTCTACAATACTATTGAATTGAACAAAAAATAAGTGAAAGAAAATCATCTCTTGAGAACATAAAACTATCACTTATTAATTCAAGCACTTTGGGGATTCGTAGGAAAATTTTGTACTGGAATTATGTTTAAAAAGAAAACATTAAGTAAATATGTATTGGGACGTTATCTACAAATAAATAGAAGGATGTTTGTAATGCTTATCCTATCCTATAAATGATTTTTTCTACTCTCCCCGTGCCCTAGTAAAATTCAAAAAATATATCAGATGAATTATTATATAAAATTAATTGATTTCATTCAATTTTTTCAATAGGTTTCAGGGAATTGTCAATATTGTCTAAAAAATTAAAGTGAATACGTTGAAATTGCAGAAGACTTTTTCTGTTCCCTGTGCCCTAGTAAAATGAAAGATAATATCAAACAAATTATTACAAAAAATTAATTAAGTTCATACAATTTTATAACGGGGTTTCAGGGAAATGTCAATATTGACTAAAAATTAAGGTGGATGTTCGTATTGCTGGAGATATTTTTTGGGTTTTTCTAGTGTCCTTGTAAAATGAAATATGTAATATCAGATACCTTTTTATATAAAAATCATTGTTTTCATACATTTTCTTGCTAGGTGTCAGTGAAATGTGAAATATGAATATTGAGTAAAAATGAATATGGATATTCGTATTGGGGGTGATATTTTTTATATTTCCTGTGCCCTAGTAAAATGTAAAAATGTATACAATATTTTATATAAATAATTGATTTTATATCATTTTCTCACTAGGTTTCAGGGAAATAAGAAATATTGTCAATATTATTTCAATATTATTATTATTGTCTAATTATATGATAGCTGTGATGGGCCTGGAAATTTCCACTTATTAATTTTACGTCCACATGCTCATGTGGATGAAATATTTTCGGAAAATTTTCTCGTTACCATAGTAGCAATGCCAAAATGAAGCAACCGAAAACGGCTGGTATAAAATTGTCAGTTGAAATTTTCCACTGAGATGAATATACAGGGTTGGGCAAACCAGATTTCTAAATATATGTACAGGGTGAATTTTTCTGAATATATGTACAGGGTGATTTCAAAACGTGGTGGATTTGAAAATGTTATCGTCGATGTTGCCACTTTTTCAGTTATTCCGGAATTATCATCATCTTCCTCATTTCAAATAGAACACCCTGTATTTTATTAAATTCTCAGATTTTTCCTGAAAAGCTGTTTCATCGGTCCATCACATTTGGGGTCTAGCAAGAATGATAATTGAGATATAGGGTGTTCAAAATCGAGATTTTTCAACTTGAGGATTTTTTTGTGTAGAAACTATTCATTATTGGTCAAAACGGCTTACATGTCCTCCTACGTCAACTTTTGATTCACTATCTATACCGACATTTAATTGAAACAAATGAAGGGTGGTTCAAGATTCAGGAATCTGATCACCCTGTATCTGTTCCCATTAAATACCAATAGATAGTAAATCAGAAGTTGAGATAGGGACATGAAAGCCGTTTTGACCGATAATGAATAGTTTCCTCACAAAAAAATCCTAAAGTTGAAAAATCTCGATTTTGAACACCCAATAATATCTCAGTAATCATTCTTGCTAGACCCCAAGTGTGATGAATCGATGAAATCAGCTTTTCAGGGAGAATTCTGAAAATTCAATAAAATACAGGGTGTTCTATTTAAAATAAGGAAGAACTGAAAGAGTGGCAACATCGATGATACCATTTTCAAATCCACCACGTTTCTAAATCACCCTGTAAATATATTCAAAAAAATCCAACGAACGGTTACTGAGATATTCACCTGGTTCCATACTTTTGCCTAATCCTGTATCTTACAAGCAGTTGATATATCATGGGAAGAAAATTTAGACAAATATTCCTCATACTTTTGTCGATTTCATCCGTTTGATTTCAGATCCGAATAGTGGTAGTTGGGAGTCAGGCGGAGGGTGGTTTTTGCATCCCCAATCAAACACCGATGACCTTTGCGGGGAAATGCAGATGCAGCCAAGTAGAAAAAGTGACACTTATGTTGGTTTCGGAATTGACGATGAAATAATGTCTGCCATCAGAAATGAACTCATCAGTAAATTGCCTCATGCCCAGGTTTGTACTTTGGAATATTTTGGACTTGTTTTATTATGAATTGGGTAATTTGATTTTCCTAGAGTGCCGCAGTGGAAAAAGTTAGAGATGATGAGGATGACTGGGATACAAGTGAAAGAAGCGAGGTCTTTTTGAAATATAATGTATATAATACACCTCTGTCACCTATACCTGAGGAAAGTTATGTTGAAGATAATTATGGTACAAATTCACCGAGGTAAGTGGATCTATGAATTAAAAACTACAGGCTTGATCCCAAAAAATCCCTACCCACTTTATAAAGAAATAACGAGAATATCTGAATTGTAGTAACTTTCAAGTATAGTTTACGTACAGGATGTTTCAGAAATTTTAGCGGTAAATGAAGCGAGTAATAGAAGATAAACAAAAAACAAATTAGAGATTTTGTTTTTCTTCTCAATCACTCAAATTTATAATATTTAGTATTCATTTCAAAACAAATGAGATACACTTTTATTATTATTATATTGTATATTTGGAGAAATACAAATATTTCTCGTTTCAAGCCAAATTAAAACAATAAAGTGAATTTTCAATTTGAATTTCTTTGGACCGACTCTTGATCTATACAATCCTAAATGAAATTTCATATCAACTTGTAAGTGTTGGAGCATCGTTTTAGAGATACAGGGGGGATTTTATGTAAAAAATCATCGCCCCTCTGTTCCATATTTTCTTTCCATGAATCAATTGAGGATAAAACTTGTGGGCCACCCTGTATATTACTATTATTGGCAATAATGTGTCTTGGGGTTATAACGATAAACAATCACTCATATTTAATTTTTTGATTTGTCTGGAATATTCATAAATCATCGATTAAAGGTTTACTGCCGAACCCGAGTGTTTGCTTTCGGCGATATCAGAAGCACCGGAACAATCAATGAGTTTTGCTTTGTTGCCGGACGTTCAATAAAACTTTAAATATGTTTTGTAGTGACAACATATCTATTTTTTGAAAAAAAAAATAGGATCCTTTTCATTTAACGATTTAATTTTGGTAACACCCAGTATAGAGAAGATTTGCAAAATATGATTAGAACTCGAAAGACCTAATTTGCATAAGAATTGTAATATTTTCGCCGAATTCAATACACAGCATTTTTCCAGGCATTATTCAATATGCCTTTTATGTTTAGAGGGCCTGTTTGTACAGGCTGTCCAATTTTCGAAATCGGGATATCTCACTTATTTTCAGAGATAGAGATTTGCTGTTTTCGACAACGTTTTGTGAAACTCACGATACCGCAAACAAAATATCCATAGCCCACTTCGTTTTTGAGATACAGTAAACCTAGCTGAAGATAATTTATTTCAAAATCTTGAACATCTTGTTTGAAAATTATATACCAACTGTCAATTTCAGAGTTCATATTTCATTAAATTTTTGAATTATTTTCATAGAAAATGTTGTGAGAATGAAGACAGTGACTGGTCAGAACATTGTGAAGTGGAAACTTTAACCCGAGAGATACCGAGTCATTCACCACAAACACTAGAAAGTCCTATGAGGGGCACTGTGAATATGCATACGCCTAGTCAAGACTCTTGTTGTTCCAATGACACTCTTTTCAACTTGGAAGAGTTGAATTTCAATGCCACGGAACTCGAGAAAGAAGCTGAACTGAATTCGAAGATATTCAATGATTTCGATGAAGCAGAAATTCACAATCTATTGAACGTGGATCCAAAATCAACAGAGTCCAATAATAACCTCGAGAAAGCTTTCATCATACAACCAACAGAGAAAGAGACTAAGATAATCGTCGATGAATTCCTGTTGGGAGAACGAACTCACTCTTTGAATGATACCACGCAAAACGGTGTAATCAAACCAAACACTCTCATAGTTGACTGTTTATTTTCTACGCATCCAGTACCGTTGCCCTCACCTGAGGAAAATCCTTGGAAACAGTTACCGGCTTCTTTGGTTAGTATTGACAAAGTGGCTTCTATGAATAGTTCATTTTCCTTAGAAAATGGTCTGGAAATTGATGAAAATATCGACAATAATGAAAGTGGATTTGAAAGAGTACCTGAATGTAGAAAGAGTTTGGAGCACCAAATTATTGAAGGCAAACTTCATTGTCAGTCCCCACAAATTACTGGTCTAAATGAAGAGTTTGTTCCTGACTCAAAGGAACCACATATGATTAATGGTGAAGCTGTAGAAATTCCTATTTCTGATATTTCAGGAAACATAATAGGTTCAGAAAAACATAATTATGAAGACGGAATGTACACAAGTGTGTGTGAAAAAAATATTATTACAAAATGCGAAGACAATATTTCAGTACTGGGAAATGCAGATAAAAATGATGCGATAGAAAAGAATTATGAGGATAATGAAAGTGAGCCCATTCATGAAAATATAGATGAGCAATTGTCCAAAACTGAACATTCAAAGAAGGGAGAACAAGATATTTGTGAAACACAGTCTGAACTTGAAATTCGAACTACACAACAGTCTCTAGATGAAAATCCAAATGAAAAAATTCAGTCGGAACACCCCCAATTTGATAACAGTAATACACAAGAAAATGCAGAGGTTCATTTTGAATTTGAAAAGTTGAACTTACCATCTGAACTAAGCAGGAAGGAAAATGAAGTAAACAGGTCCAAACTTGATCCAAATCATGAAGAAAATGGACCACTTCAGGAAAACACCAAATTTGAATTCAATGATACAATAACAAACATTATAGAGGTTGAAAGTAATTCATTATCTGCTACTGAAAATTCTAATATGGAAAAAGAAAAAGATGAAAAACGTGATGAAAAGGTTTCTGAATCCCAAGAAGATCCAATGCAAGAAGCTATTATTTCAAATATCTCATCTAATGAGGAAACTGAAAAACATGAACCAGGAAATTTACTTGAAACTGAAGAAGAAGCGGTCTATGTAAACAGAGCAATTGAAAACCAGGTAACGATATCGAACGAAACAATCGATAGACTATATGAAAATGTTGCCGAAGAAGCCAAAACGGCTAACGAGGAAAACTACTACGAAAACTCCGACATCAATAACACCGAAGACATCTACGAAAATCTGAACCCAGAAGAAATCTACGACGACTATGTGAACATCGTGAACATGGAGAACGCCAAGAATAGCTTGGAGTTCGACAATTCCGAGAAAGATGTCGAATACATGAATATCTTTGGTCAAGATGACGATGTGCACAGTGAAGATGAGAATATATTCGGCGTCCTGACTGACATCAGATTCAGCGGGCCTTCGGATAGTCAGCTGATGTCCACTTCTTTCAGCGAGAACAATGATGACCATGATTGGGATAGCGGCTCAGATTCCAGATCCAGCTCTAGTGGAGAGTTTATTTGGAAGGTTAGTTTCGTCTTCCAAGAAAGAATCATTCGTATCAGTGATATGGAATTATATCTCTCACAAACAGGTTATATGAATTCATTTCGGATATCATATCCTCATCAGTAACCTGAAGTCCAGTTATTCTTTCAGCCATTCTTTATGATATACACAATTTTCATTGGTTATATTGATATTTCAATATTTTCACAACTTTACCAAATGAATCTACACGGAAATTATTTCAGACTTGTATGAATATTATATTGTATGTTGGAACCTTGAAATTTTCAACAGACAATAAAAAATCGTTACATAATGTTGTTCTGTTCGGATCATTATTTTGATATTTTCCCAAAGGTCATGTTTGCACAAAATAGAGTCAGGTCGAAGATGAGATAAAGATAGAAAAAAAACAAATCAATTCTATTGGGATATTCATAAAAAAAATCTATCCATAAGTGACAATTTAAATCACTAATATTATATGTAAAACACTAATATTATATGTATCTGTGTATCGTATCCATTTTTTGTTGTTGTTTAACTTTGTGCGATAATATGTCTTATGCTTTTGTAAATAGTTTGTTGACTTGTGTTTTCAACGTGCAGGAAGGCGAGCATGAAGAGTCTTTGAAGGCACTTAGAGCTGCTCCGCGAGACTTGGTGAGTTATAACAACATTCACAAATGGACTGTAATACGTTTGTCAACGTCATATAATCAGTTTTTGGACTGACAAACCCGTTAATTGAGGAAAATCCATAGTAAATGTTGAAAACCTCACAAACGATACGATTTCCACATTCCTCGGAAAATTCTCAAAAATATAATGAATCCTGGATGGTAGTAAGAAGTTTTTTAGATTAGATATAATCATGTGGATTTCGTGTGTGATTTTACGTTATTAGCACTTGAACTTAAATTTAAAAACAGTGCATTACTAATATACTTAACAGGGGAATTATATTTAGGATCTCAATTAAAATGATAGCGATTTGATTCTTTCGCCATTTATGAATCTCAATTCATCTTTTTCACAATCATCATCACAGTCATTCTTGTTCAGTCCATCATTTTGTGAATTTGAGTATACCACTCCAACTACAGGATGTTATGCTTTTTTTCGTTATGAATCAATATAATTCAATTTAATTTGCAGAAAGCTGGCCAATGTCATGAGTTATATTGAAAAAAGTCCAACATTCTGTGTATCATTAACTCTCTGTGCTTGTTTTATACATAAAGATGGTGACAATTTTAAAACGGGCAGCACTCAACTAATGACATTATGGAAATTTGGCGAAACACTACAGTTTATACATCATGGGGTATGAGGGGGCAACTACCCCTGAGATTTTAAATGGCAACTCCTGATTATTTTGCTATTTTTGAAATCCTTATGTGTTTCTAGATGAGTAACACATAGAGTCACTGGGTATTAGTAGATAAGAGTTCGGACACAGCTGAACTTCTGTCCTTTTCTATTTTCTAAATTCAAGTTCAAGTTTATTTAATCCACAGAACAGTTATGCAAGCGGTAATGTCAAGTGTCAGTACAAATATTTGGTTATATGAAATTCAATAAAACATACAGTGAAAGTAAACAAACAAACAGGTATTAAAAGAATACGTTCAAACTATAGGGGCAGTGGTCGAGGAGAAGCATTTTCATTTTATTTTTGAAAGTATGCAGTTCGTTGATTAATTTTTAATTCTTCGGGAAGAGAATTGTATAGCCTGAGTCCCAATATGTCAGAAGATTTCTGAGATATCGTCAAACGTAAGTTGGGCATATAAAAATTATTCTTTGTTCGCGTTTGATGAATGTTTATTGAATTATGTTTCATTAAACTTTCTCGTTGTTTATGTATATCAGTTAAAACTCCAAGGATATATAACCCACATAGGGGAAGTAACTTGATTTCTTTGAATAATTCCATACATGAGGTACCATTAGGAACACTGGCATAATGACCAGACATCGTACAATTCTTTTCTGCACTATGATATATGATATACAATGCTTGAGTGAAAAAAAGAATGAGACCTATATTCTGCTCCTTGTCTTTTCAATTTACCTAATAGCACCAGATTGTCAGATACGATTTTAAAGGTTGCATTTTCTGTCAAATCAATCATAGCCGTAGATGGATAATAGAAATAGGTTATTAACACCCACTTCAATTTATAGCGATATGGCACTTTTCACAAAACAACAGTTATAAAAATGTGAAGAAGAGATATACTTATAGCTAGTTCTGTCATCAAAATGAGTTATTTCACCGGGGATATTATCCTTCCTATTTTAAAATTTCATTGATGGACTTGAAAGTGTTCAAAATGAGTCGAATTCGTTCACACCAGGATGTCATTGTATCGATGATTCTGCTGACGTTTGCTAGCAAATAATCAATTTCAGGACCACCTACTGCAATTGTGGTGTCATCAGCAAACATAGTTATGTAGCAATCTGTTACGTGTTGAGGCAAGTCGTTAGCAAATAACACAAAAAGTAGTGGTCCCAGCACTGACCTTTGCGGAACACCTAATGTCATATCGTGCTCACTCCATCTATGACTTCAGCAAAATCAAGAATGCATTTGGAAAACCTAGCACAGCTGATTTATAACTTGAAAACTTTGACACCCTGTCAAATGCTTTTGACAGTTTAAAGAATAGACTGATTACAAAATTGTTCGAATCTATTTCTGAGTATACAAAATTAAGAAAGTCATATGTTGCGGATTTCACAGAATGATTTCTCCTAAAACCATGTTTGTTACTACATGATGGGTTTTTGATTTCCAAATAATTAATTATCCTATTTTCCACTACCTTCTAAAACAACTTGGAGAGTGAGCAGAGCAAAGAAATTTGTCTGTAATTATCTATTTAATTTTTATCCTCGTTCTTGAAGAGGGGAATCACCAAAGCCTTTTCAAACGCAGTGAGAAAGTACCCTTGTAGGATTGCAGAAATTTCATCTATCCTAGTTGACTGTCTGTTTTTCATTTTCATTGGAGACCATTTTAAATAATTCATGAAGTGATTACTTGTTTGTACATTATTTTTCTCATCATCATAAAAAATTACAATCCAAATATGTTAGAGGTTGAGAACTGCAAATAGCAAATAGCAGTATAATTGGGGTAGTTGCCCTGACAGTGAAATGGTTGAATGTAATGTAACCAACAAATACCTCAAAAGTTGAACCCCTTGATAATATATTAATTGCCGTATTTTGCCAAATTTTCATAGTGTCATCAGTTGAAGAAATATTTAGTGCTGCCCTTTTTCAAAGTGTCACCCTGTAGAACGTTTTCTGTAGGAAATTGTTTTTATATTGTTCATAGGTGGAAAATGTCAAACCTATGGAAGATATTGCAGAAGGTGACTATGAAGGAAGTGAGATCAGTAGTTCATTTAGCGACGATGAGGGAGAGACTCCAGAGTTTGTCCCATCTGCTTGGGATAAATTCGCATTGCCAAGCAAATCTGCACTGAAGTCACCTGAAAAAACCCTGAAAAAGTCTGATGAGGCAAGTCATTCATTCATGATGTTTATTCATATTGAATTCTGATCGTTTTAAACTACCTATCTTGATGAAATTAGTTTTTTTTTGTTGTTAGAAACCGAGAGGAGTATGGTTTAAGAAGCAAAAATACCATTGTATATATGAGTATCCTAAGGAACCTGAAAGTCCAGTATTGCAGAGTCAAGATTTGTGGAAGCCTCAACCAGATTTCAAGTCTTTTGCTGGTAGGTACTTTTCTCTAAGTCACTAATTCATTCATTTGACTGTATTTGCGTTATGTTTACCTAATTTATTTATGACATAATTTTCTGATTTTAGATTGGGAATTTGACGGTGAACCTTACGTACCAAATGCTGATGATGAACAAGATATTTTGACTACCAGTTTTATTCCACAAGCCAGTGTCTCGAACGACAGAAATCTCTACCAGCTGACTAGTATTTCTGATTTCATGAATGGTGAGTAAAAACTCAAATTTCTATACTTTTCTGCGGATGTTATCGCATTACACAATTCAATTAGGTTTAGTGATGTTTTGCTGTATTGTATGTAATGTATTGACCACCTTTGACATTGATAGTTTTCTAATCTAATCTTTTATAATATCAATGTTTATTTGGAGATGGTAAACCTAATATTTGTATTTAGTCTGTTAGAGTAGTTATGTTTGTTTATTGAATGAGAAGTTCCAAAACTGGGTTTACATCGAAGCAGGAAGGAAATGAATTGTCTAAAAGGACATGGGCTTGTCAATTTTCAGGAGATTTGGTCCGTTATTTTAGTCGGAATTTTAAATAATTTTTCATTTCAACCAAAATTACAGTGGATTTAGCTCAGAGGGGTGCATTTTAGGGACACATGTTCAGATTAATCAAAATTTTTATTTTGATCCCACCAATATGTCCTTAAAATATTTACATCGAATATTCAGATTATCAGATAGCACCCCTAACATTATTTTATTTTCCTCATAGCCCATTTCTTTGATAATGTATTTCATTACACTAGTTTTCCTTTCCATCGATTCCGCCAGTTTTATTCCTGTATGAAGTATATGTGGTACTCAAAGAATATCTGAAACCCTGAGGGGACAGAAGGACGATCTAGCCTTCATAGCCATCTAGTGGCTTAAGTGCAAAGGTGTATGGTAGATTCATCAATCATACCTTGCGACTAAGTCGTGCATATAGACCCCTACGTTTATATGCTTACAGAAAAGACACCATGTCAGAATTCTGTAGACTATCGCAACACCTGTAATTCGCAAAGTGGTTTAATGTTCCACTAACAGATGGTGATAAACCTAGAATCTCAAGACTAAGAGATTCTTGGGAAATTTCGATTGTCAGCTGATGCAAGACAGACTGTTTTGAATTGCCATAAGCCACTAGATGGCTATGAAGGCTAGATCGTCCTTCTGCCCCCTCAGGGCTTCGACTTGTTTAATATATGGATGTACCCTTCGTGAATCGATTGTCAACTGGCCAGTGCAACTGATGAGACTTATGGCAAGTCGAAACAGTATGTCTTGCATCAGCTGACAATTGATTCACAAAATTTCCCTAGAATCTCTTAGTCTTTGAGATTCTAGGTTTATCATGAATATCTGTGCAGAGTATTAGTCTTGTACTGTTCTTTTTTCTTGTAGAAATTAAGCTTCTTTTCATGTTGACTATCATTCTTATGCAAGATGAACTTCACCTTATCGAATGCACATAAAATCAATGAACTCAATATAAACACCTGGAAGGGAGGCGACCGTTCTCTCGAATAGCACAAAGTGTGTCAGGGGCAGCTGCAACAAAGATAGCATGTTTTACGGTAACCTGTCTCTTCCTTAATGGTGGATTGGTGTTAACGTTTTCTTTTATCTAATAATTAAAGTACTTTGGGACTTTTTTCTCGCATCTAAACAGGCAAGAAAGTGAAGACATAATTTTATTGTCTTTGGTTATGTGCAATATCTATTCATTTGTCGTGTTTTGTTTTATCAAAAGGACTGAATTTGTTGGAGTGAACACTGTGAACTGATTTTTGAGAAGGATTGTGATTTCATATTGATAAACAATGGTGATTTTTTGTGTCGCCTTTGGATGCAAGATCGATCAAGACAAAAGGAAATTGTCATTCCATGGGTAAGTTGAATATTGATCAGATTTTTGGAAAATATAGTTCTTGAAATGATCATTAGTTAGGTGAACAATGTTCCCAGTCTAAGAATATGTTCAAAAACTATACCTATATTATTTGTCAAAGTTAAATACTTAAGTAATATTATTTGTTACAGTTTTCCGTTCAGACATTCTTGAATTATGTATTAGGGCAGTTCGTATAGAGAATTGGACTCCATCGAAAACCAGCAAGCTTTGTGAAGAGCATTTCCTGCCAACAGATTATTAATTTAGACATACCATCAGGTACTGCTAGGTTATTGAAACCAGATGCTGTACCCAGTATATTTTCATTTCCTAAGCATTTGTGACCAAAAAATGCTGATCCTCACAGGAAAATAAGAAAACTCATAAGTACCTAGTTGATTGATAAGAAAAAAAATTAAGTTTGCACCTCTTTAAAATAAATAACTGACTAGTAATTTATTTTCAGGATGAATCTGTGAACGTTCATAACTTCGGTCCTAAGAAAGATGTTTCTCATATTATGGACTTTGATTTGCCTACGACTTCCAGCTCCCAAGTTTCGAAGTTCATCAATAAAGAAACCCAAACTGTATTGAGAATTGTTTCTTCAAAATTTCTAATAGGGATATGTTCGTATGCAGTCACTTAATGGAAAAATAGGAACCTATGGAAATTATGCTCAAAATGGACCTTAGGTACTCAATACCATTCAAGCACCTCTTCAAATTTTTCCTATCGTTTTATTTTTTCTTCTGATTGTGCTGAGACATTGTGCTGAGACATTGTGCTTCGCTCACCCTGTACAATATTATGTGTATTGTGACATTTGAATGAAAATATATAATTTCAAATTTGTATTCATTGGACTTCCTATTCCTGTAAGAATAAAAACGACATTTCATATTTAAGTCAATAAAAAAATCGATAATAATTTTTCAATGATAATTAATCGCAATATTATCCTTTTTCCTGAATGAATATTCATATTCAATCACGTTCACTCTAAAATAAAAGCAAAAAACGAGAAAATATTTCAAATAATGCGAGCGCTTCCCATTAGCCAACATAAGAATGAATGAGATTGGTATCCGTAAACACTGCGGGTTGCCTGAACAATATTTTTGCCTCACTCGTTGGTCACAGAGGGTCCCTTCCAGGTGTTTATATTGAGTTCATTGCATAAAATCCCCCATTTATAGGCATTCTGTTGATCAATTCCACAGGCGAAAGCGACAACCAGGCCTACTCGGACGAATTCTTCATCAGCGGCTCGACCCAACCGTTCCACGCCCACCCCCTGACCTCCCAGTTCTTCCCGGGCGGTGCAATGTGGGCCCTGGAGAACGCCACCCCCGACAGTGGCGTGGAGGACATAACTCCCGGCAGCCTCAGCGAGGACTACCCCAAACCTCTGCGAACCCCGCCCGCGCTAAAACTGCTCGCTTCGGAAGCGGTCAATAGGAAGAAGCTTGCGCTGGCCAAACGCAAGGAGGCGTTGGGCGGCCTGAGGCACACCAGGGGCAAGCTGAAGCTCGATTTGCCGCCCAGTCCTAGCGCTTTTGCCATGGATCCGTTCGTTCGAGAGAAACCCACATTTTCCACCTTCGGCAAGAGTCGCTTCCAGGTGCAACACGTCGACACTCCTGTGGACGAGGTCGAGGGTAAAAACGTGTCGTTCGAGGCCCTGCCCTACAGGGCGTCCAACCAAGTCGTGCAGAAAGAAGACATTTGTATTCTGGCGCCCAACGGCAGTGATTCTGGTATCTTAGCGCCCAACCATGGTAACTTGGGTATTTTGGCGCCCAACGGTAGTAACTTGGGTATTTTGGGGCCCAACGATAGTTTCGTGGGTGTTTTGGCAACCAAAGGAACTAAAGTGGTAGGAGATGTCAGCGGGGTGGATTTGATGAAGACGAATGTCGAAGTGGTTAGGGGAGAAGCTAGCGTTTTGGATAGCGGGGATGAGGATAGCGGGATTGAGTCTAGTACGCTGGAGAGAAGAACGAGGAATATCGAGACATAAGTGTGAAGACTGTTGGGTATGTGAATTCGGTATGGCTGAATTATTGCCGTCAATTTTTTCGATTGCAAATAATCTTGGCAGTTTCAGTTGAAATTGTGACGTGTTTTTTTTTTAATAATAATTTTGATTATGGGTCATCATTCTAGGATGGTTTCAAACAATTATGTTATGAAAAATGATATAGAGGTGATGCCCCCAGCTGTGTTGCCAAATATACTTGTAGAAGAAATCTTTGCAAATTTTTATATTCTACATAAATGAATATTAGTCAGTTTGTCTGTTGACATTTTCAATTTTGAAATTCCATTGGTATTGGTTCAACTACATTTTACATGTTTCCCATTGATTGATTAATTGTTTGTACTTACTACTACTACTACTACTACTACTAGTTTTGAATTTGCACTCTAATAGCTAAAAAAAATTCAATTCAACTTGGGTCAATTATGAATGTGTAAGTTTAAACTCATTTAAAAATTAATTTGGAAGAATTGATGAATTCACATATCCAGAAATCTCCATTTGACTTGATTTTTATTGTTTTTATAATATGATTGTAGGTTATATTTTAGTGATATTGTTTCATAGATCTTTTTTGTGTACCTACGTACTAGAGATGAATTGGGCAAGTTTTAGAAGCTTCGATTTTATTTGGTTGATCTCGAGGAATTATGATTGATTCAAATTAGCCTTTGTCCATTCTCACACATGTACCTAATTGGCTTAGATTCCAAATAACTTCGTAACCTAAAATAATTGTGATATTTTATTAATATTTAGTTCACTGATTGACACGAATTTAAATATATTTTCTTTACCATTTTATTAGCGATTTTGATTATATTTAATTGAAAGAATGATCTGACATTTTCTTGTAATTCAATGTTGAATTGTTACTTTATCCTAATATCATTAATGTTACTTAAATGTTGAGAATCTTATTGTAATGGATAGTGTATGTTATGTGAGTAGTTTTCTGGTGAAAATCCTATGTACAAACTGAACTGATCGTCCATTTGTTGTTTATATCATAGGGTAGTGTTTTTTATATAAATTCATCAAGTGATTGATACTAGGTATAGGATGATGGTTCATGTTGATTTGTTCAGTTAATTTTTTGTAGATATCAATGTCCGTATCGGACTCCTAAATATGTGATTGGTTAGTATTTCTTGTATAATTAGAATTGTAATATATAATCTGTGTAATTATTATTGATTAAAATCATATTTTATTCCACATAGATCGAATTTATTTTATTTCAGTGAATCTTAGAAGGACCCTACATACCAAATTTGAAGGTCATAACGGCAAAGTTGATTTTTGAGTCTAAAAAAGAAACTTCAACTTCTTTCAATCAATAGAAGGCGTTAAAATAGGCAGAAAAGTTATACACAGGGTACAGGATGTGCTGAACAAGAATCTTATATGTCAGTTTATCCCTATCACTTTTATTCCAGGTACTGGATCGATCCATTTTATATTGTAGGTTTCACAAGAGAAGGAAAGTGGGTCGAAAATTGTCACTTTTTCTATTGAAGCTGAAGAGATGTACTTCTTCTCCGCACTAGGGCATCCTCTATAAGGGCCATGTACACCAAATTTGAAGGTTCTATGACAATAAAGTTGATTTTTGGGCCTGAAAAAATAACGAAGACCTTTTCAGAATTTTGATAGGCCTCAGAATGAGCTGAAAACTTGTATTTAAGATCTTCCCGACGTGCTGAACTCGAAAATAACGTCGATTTTCAGATAACTTCATCAGTTTTCCAGATATAAGCATTTTTAGGAAAATTAAAATGTGGATCATAATAGCAGAGAAATCGTCTTAATACACTTGAGAGGTTAGAGTGCATAAAAATTTCAGTCCGATAGGGGTCGACTTTTTTCTAAATTTGAGGCTAGAGGGCTGTGCTTCTACTCCGCACTAGGGCATCCCTATAGGGTCCTAAATACCAAATTTGGAGGCTCTAAGAGGAAGTTGATTTTTGGGTCTGAAAATGAAACAAGGTTATAACCCCTTTGAATATTTTTCACATATTTCGAGGATTCAGAATGAGCTGGAAACTTGTATGCAGGATGTTCTGGACATACTGAACACTAAAATGACGTCGATTTTCACATAATTCTATTCGTTTTCCAGGCATAAGCATTTTTAAGGAAACGAAAGTGTGGATCATAATGGCAGAGAAATCGTCTCACACACTTGAATTCGTCTGCAGAAAATTTCAATCAACTCGATTTTGTATTAAATCCAGAGATGTAGAGTGCATAAAAAATTCAGTCCGAAAGGGGGTCAAAAATCGACCTATTATACTAAACTTGAGGCTAGAGGGCTGTGCTTCTACTCCGCACTAGGGTATCCCTATAGGGTCCTAAATACCAAATTTGGAAGCTCTAAGAGAAAGTTGATTTTTGGGTCTGAAAATGAAACAAGGTTAACCCCTTTGAACATTTTTCACATATTTCGAGGATTCAGAATGAGCTGAAAATTTGTATGCAGGATGGTCTCGACATGCTGAACACGAAAATAAAGTTGAATTTCACATAATTTCATCCATTTTCCAGATATGGGCATTTTTAAGTAAACCAAAAGTGTTACAGAGAAATCGTCTCAACACACTTGAATTCGTCTGCAGGAGAATTCCATCAACTTGATTTTGCATTCCAGAGGTTAGAGTGCATACAAATTTCAGTCCGATAGGGGATAAAAGGTCGACTTTTTTCTAAATTTGAGAGGGCTGTGCTTATACTCCGCACTAGGGCATCCCTATAGGGTCCTAAATACCAAATTTGGAGGCTCTAAGAGAAAGTTGATTTTTGAGTCTGAAAATGAAACAAGGTTAACCCCTTTGAACATTTTTCACATATTTCGAGGATTCAGAAAGAGCTGAAAACTTGTATGCAGGATGGTCTCGACATGCTGAACACTAAAATAACGTCGATTTTCACATAATTTCATCCGTTTTCCAGATATAAGCATTTTTAAGTAAACAAAAGTGTTGCAGAGAAATCGTCTCAACACACTTGAATTCGTCTGCAGAAAAATTCCATCGACTTGATTTTGCATTAATTCCAGAGGTTAGAGTGCATACAAATTTCAGTCCGATAGGGGATAAAAGGTCGACTTTTTTCTAAATTTGAGGCTAGAGGGCTGTGCTTATACTCCGCACTAGGGCATCCCTATAGGGTCCTAAATACCAAATTTGGAGGCTCTAAGAGAAAGTTGATTTTTGAGTCTGAAAATGAAACAAGGTTAACCCCTTTGAACATTTTTCACATATTTCGAGGATTCCGAATGAGCTGAAAACTTGTATGCAGGATGGACCCGACATGCTGAACACGAAAATAAAGTTGATTTTCACATAATTTCATCCGTTTCCCAGATATAAGCATTTTTAAATAAACAAAAGTGTGGCAGAGAAATCGTCTCAACACACTTGAATTCGTCTGCAGAAAAATTCCATCGACTTGATTTTGCATTAATTCCAGAGGTTAGAGTGCATAAAAATTTTAGTCCGATAGGGGATAAAAAGTCGACTTTTTTTCAATTTGAAGCTAGAGGGCTGTGCTTCTATTCCGCACTAGGGCATCCCTATAGGGTCCTAAATACCAAATTTGGAGGCTCTAAGAGAAAGTTGATTTTTGAGTCTGAAAATGAAACAAGGTTAACCCCTTTGAACATTTTTCAAATATTTCGAGGATTCAGAATGAGCTGAAAACTTGTATGCAGGATGGTCTCGACATGCTGAACACGAAAATAAAGTTGATTTTCACATAATTTCATCCGTTTTCCAGATATAAGCATTTTTATGTAAACAAAAGTGTTGCAGAGAAATCGAGTCCGATAGGGGATAAAAAGTCACTTTTTTTAAAATTTTAAGCTAGAGGGCTGTGCTTCTACTCCGCACTAGGGCATCCCTATAGGGTCCTAAATACCAAATTTGGAGGCTCTAAGAGAAAGTTGATTTTTGGGTCTGAAAATGAAACAAGGTTAACCCCTTTGAACATTTTTCAAATATTTCGAGGATTCAGAATGAGCTGAAAATTTGTATGCAGGATGGTCTCGACATGCTGAACACGAAAATAAAGTTGATTTTCACATAATTTCATCCGTTTTCCAGATATAAGCATTTTTAAGTAAACAAAAGTGTTGCAGAGAAATCGTCTCAACACACTTGCAGGAGAATTCCATCAACTTGATTTTGCATTAATTCCAGAGGTTAGAGTGCATAACAATTTCAGTCCGATAGGGGATGAAAAGTCGACTTTTTTCTAAATTTGAGGCTAGAGGGCTGTGCTTCTACTCCGCACCAGGGCATCCCTATAGGGTCCTAAATACCAAATTTGGAGGCTCTAAGAGAAAGTTGATTTTTGGGTCTGAAAATGAAACAAGGTTAACCCCCTTTCAAATATTTCGAGGATTCAGAATGAGCTGAAAATTTGTATGCAGGATGGTCTCGACATGCTGAACACGAAAATAAAGTTGATTTTCACATAATTTCATCAGTTTTCCAGATATAAGCATTTTTAAGTAAACAAAAGTGTTGCAGAGAAATCGTCTCAACACACTTGCATTCGTCTGCAGGAGAATTCCATCAACTTGATTTTACATTAATTCCAGAGGTTAGAGTGCATAAAAATTTCAGTCCGATAGGGGATAAAAAGTCGACTTTTTTCTAAACTTGAGGGTAGAGGGCTGTGCTTCTACTCCGCACTAGGGCATCCCTATAGGGTCCTAAATACCAAATTTGGAGGCTCTAAGAGAAAGTTGGTTTTTGAGTCTGAAAATGAAACAAGGTTAACCCCTTTGAACATTTTTCAAATATTTCGAGGATTCAGAATGATCTGAAAACTTGTATGCAGGAAGGTCTCGACATGCCGAACACGAAAATAAAGTTGATTTTCACATAATTTCATCCGTTTTCCAGATATAAGCATTTTTAAGTAAACAAAAGTGTTGCAGAGAAATCGTCTCAACACACTTGCAGGAGAATTCCATCAACTTGATTTTGCATTAATTCCAGAGGTTAGAGTGCATAACAATTTCAGTCCGATAGGGGATGAAAAGTCGACTTTTTTCTAAATTTGAGGCTAGAGGGCTGTGCTTCTACTCCGCACTAGGGTATCCCTATAGGGTCCTAAATACCAAATTTGGAGGCTCTAAGAGAAAGTTGATTTTTGGGTCTGAAAATGAAACAAGGTTAACCCCTTTGAACATTTTTCACATATTTCGAGGATTCAGAATGAGCTGAAAACTTGTATGCAGGATGGTCTCGACATGCTGAACACGAAAATAAAGTTGATTTTCACATAATTTCATCCGTTTTCCAGATATAAGCATTTTTAAGTAAACAAAAGTGTGGCAGAGAAATCGTCTCAACACACTTGAATTCGTCTGCAGGAAAATTCCATCGACTTGATTTTGCATTAATTCCAGAGGTTAGAGTGCATACAAATTTCAGTTCAATAAGGGATAAAAAGTCGACTTTTTTCTATATTTGAGGCTAGAGGGCTGTGCTTCTACTCCGCCTACCTAAATACCAAATTTGGAGTCTCTATAACTAAGACAAATAAGTTGATTTTTGGGTCTTAAAATGAAACAATAATAAGGTTAACCCCTTTGAACTTTTTCAAATATTTGAAGGCCTCCGAATGGGCTGAAATCTTGTACACAGAGTGTTCCCGATGTCATTGACAAGAAGTTCTTTAATTCCTACTTAAATTTAGCTTCTCACATCTGAAATATATTGCTAAAACTAGTGTTGCAAAAATTCAGTTCATTCACCCATCATTCAAAATAGCCAACAAACAAATGATTCAAATATATATTTATTTATTAGGTACAACAACGATAATTTTTTTAAAACAGATAAAACATGAAATATACAATATATAACAACTTTGACATTTCCAGTTGTCTTCAAATGCTTTTTTCACATGAATACTGATAAATAAATGAAAAAACAAGTCTAGTCATTTTTTCATGAAGCATTCCCTTTTTTCCATATTATCACAAGACCCATCAAGTCACTGGTGGCCAGAAGAGATTCATCATAATTGAAACTGATTCCAAGAACAGCACTGGAATGTCCTTGAAGTGTATTTAGAACAGATTTCTTACCCACCCTCTCTATGTCAATAAAATAAATGCTTCCATCTTCACTTCCTGTCACTAAAAAGTATGGAAAAGTTTCAATCAATCATATATGCTTCATTATCTATTGCTAAACCATTATACAGTGTGTCCCACTTACCATGCTCACCATGGGTATCTTTTTAACGGTGAGAGATACGAGGTCGGTTAAATGACACCAAATGTGGAGTTTGTCAAGGCCAACTTAAATGTGAAAAAATATTTTGATAAAATCTATTCGTTTTTGTTTTATATGCAAAAAACAGATTTTGATCATTTTCATGTCTCCTCCGCAACTTCTTTATTTATGAAAATATTCAAATAGGAATTTCACATTCTCATGGCAGTTTTTCAAAATGATTTCGAAAAAAATATGAAATTTATACCAACTCTTCTAGAATTTGAGATAACAGCACCAACTTTAGTTTTTCAAATGTAGGTCATAGCTCACTATGACTTTATTACATTACATTTTTTTTAATTTCAGCGAAAATTTCATAACTTCGATTAACTTGAAATTTGGCAAGTGTTCATAATTTCGGTCACAATTCATTATGGAATTTTTGTTGAAATTAAAAAAAAAATGGCTGCTCCAAGATGGCGGACAAGATTTGGTCCGATTACATTCAAAATTGGTAAGTGGAGGTTTTTGAGGTCGAAGATCATGATTTTTTTTTTATAATTTATTAATTCAAGATGGCGGCTTTCAAATAATTTTTTGTTTTTGTATAAATGACGATAACTCCGTTGTTATCAACACAAAACTATTACTGCGACATATCATCTGTAAGAGAAAAAAAAGTTATTTGTAACCAAGTCATAGTAAGCTATGACCTACATTTGAAAAACTAAAGTTGGTGCTGATATCTCAAATATTAGAAGAGTTGGTATAAATTTCATATCATTTTCGAAATCATTTTGAAAAACTGCCAAGAGAATGTGAAATTCCTATTTGAATATTTTCATAAATAAAGAAGTTACGGAGGAGACATGAAAATGATCAAAATCTGTTTTTTGCGTGTAAAACAAAAACGAATAGATTTTATCGAAATATTTTTTCACATTATAGATGGCCTTGACAAACTCCACATTTGGTGTCATTTAACCGACCTCCTATTTCTCACCGTTAAAAAGATACCCATGGTGAGCATGGTAAGTTCCGTAAGTGGGACACACTGTATAATACATAAAAGATAGATCATTTAGTTTGAAATTAACTGACCAAACCCAAATAATAACAGATATACAGGGTGGCATTGAGATAAGTGCAAATATTTCAAACCCTGAGACAGCTTGACGTACCTATACTATGGAATGCCACTGATAAAAAAAAATATTGGGATCAAAATGAAATTTGGGGTTAGACCCCTTTTTCCACACAAAGTTCTACACAGTAGCAATTCTGACATCACCTCTGCTTAAATTTCCATATGGAAAATCAGGTGGAGTTCAATCATTTAAATTGTTTAGAAGTGGTGTACTTGCTTTTTTTCTCAAAGGAATCAGGAAAAATCTGATATCGGAATATTCAGGAGACTGTATCATATTGATGTGCTAAATATATGTTGTATTTATTCCAAAAACACTAGTATTTTGCTGCTGGCAATATTGTTACAAGATAAATCTTGTTATTAGCCAACATGACAGAATAATTAGCAATACTTATATATGATTTTCTAAGAAATAAATAGTGTTCATTTCTATTTATAATGATAATTTTCTGTTTTCCACATATAAGATTCTAATCTAAATGATAGTTAGAGGTACTTGAATTAAAATACTTACCAACACATGCACCTTGCCTGAATGACATAATTGGACAAAAAGTGGACCTCACAATATATTTTCTATGAATATTCTGGAATTTTCTCTTCAGCCTGAGAGTTCCTTCAGGGTCCATTATACTGAAAAAAAAAATGAGATTGGTCCTTGATATTAAATAAAATAATAATAAAGAAGAATTATAAATATATATGAAAAACCACCAACTGGAAATAATTGTTCCTTCTTGCATCAAGAGATAATTTGTACTGTTCTGATTTTTACCTAAATAAGTACATGGAGTTATCTGTTGCATTGACAAGCAATAATGGATTTCTAGCTTCCCTGCTAATCCAAACCCTGTAGCTTAAACTTGTAACCAAACAGCTCATTGGTAAGTTCATTTTTCTGAGTTTTGTGAGGCAGCCATTCAATTCACAGTAAACTGAAATTATTTCCCCCTATAAAGATTACAATTTGTATGTTCTATCAAGTGTTTGCCTTCTGAATAATATCACCTTGTCATTTCCTGTCCAAAATACACGGCCATTGGTATCAGAAGCAATGCTCAATATAGTTCCTCCAACTCTACAAAAATTCTTCAAAAACCTACCTGTTGAGACATTTGCAATTCTCAGATCCCCTTTAGTACTTCCAGTCTAAATAATAGTGAGATAATGATAATTTATTTCTGAACAATAAAAGAATCAAGAGAAAAATCATCACCAGTACTGCAAATACATGATAAGTTAAAAATTACTGAGAAAACCAGAATATAATCTTGTAATTTATAGTAGTAGAAGTACATAACATAATATGAGGTACAGCAAATGAATAGACAAGATATGGAAATTGTGCAGTGGCGGCTCGTGACTTTCATGACAGAGGAGGCTGAATGATATGAGATTCATTGTGAAAAACAACTCTCTACGACTCACCCAAATCAATAGCTTTAATGACATTCTGTTTACCAGTTAACCTGAACTTGATACTTGAAGAGATGTGTTTCTGTGATTTGCAGTGTCTATCCAATCCGTGAGGCAAATTTTTCAAATCATTATATCCTAATCGCCCCCAACATGATGACTTATCGGTTGAAAATAATATATATATAATAATAAATAAGCAGTACCAACAAAATAGCTTATTCCTTACCCCAGATCCCGTCAACCAGATATATTTTTTATAATTATCCGAATTGAACAAACGATTTTGTTTGTTACCTACCTGTACCTGTTACAATTAGATTTTTCAATGCCGGTGTCGGACGTTTGTTTTTCACAATCAATTTATCTTCATAAGACAAAGCACTGAATGGGTTCACCAAAAAGTATTCCACTAAATCGCAATCGTTTAAAACACTCATTTTTCAGAAATTCATAGATAGAGCCCCTAACCATTACCCTAACATAAACATAAACGGATTGTCCGCAATTCGCGACGCGACTCGAAAAACACGTGCTATTTGGTTCGGGCGTATTCGGGCATTTGCATTGCGCGCGTGGGTTGCGAATTTTGAAGGAGTCTAGCCTCCTATACATGTTGCCAAGTTGAATAACTTACGCGTGATTTGCAGACTTCAACGTGTGATGCGTGGGCAAGCACTGTTGCCAATTCAAAAATATTTATCTAAAAACAGGAAATAAAATCAAAATCCATGTATTTTGGTGTCCTCTTAATGAGAAAGTATAGATAATATCAGTGTTGCCTCCTGTGAGGAGCCGCCACTGAAATTGTGACCAATAATTTCTGGGTTGAGTAACAGGGGCTCAAAGCTATGTTTTTTTCTTGGAGGACCAAACATCTTCAAATTTGGAACACTCATTATTGATGGATATTCAAAGTTTGAAGAGGTTCAGTATACAATAAGGCTAAGGAAACTGTTAGATTTATCATGTGACACATGAAATATACTTTGTATATGTTATGAATATGTATGATAACATCCTTATCAGTTGCTAAATAAAATAATATCCAGTAACATCATCTCTCATATTCAAAAGAATTACTTGAAATTATTCTACCATAATTAGTAGCCATTGGAGCTATGCTAATGGAAAACAATATATTGAAATGATTCAACTTTGAGACCCTCTGTCACTCTATTATTTTACAGTTTTGGAAAACTATTCATAGCATTAATTTTGGATGTAAAATCATCTTTCTCACACTTTGCAATGACTCCTCAAATGACTAATTATCCTTCACACTGGTGCAGATTTGTCTCAGCATTGAAAAAATTTACTATTGAGAACATACCAATATAAGATTATTGTTACTAGGTTGAAATAAACAACATAACATTTGGAAGGAATTTGGATCATGGATTGTCCTGAGGCAGCTGAAGTCATTCATTTTCCACACTTTGACTGAACCATCCAGTGAAGAACTGACAATCAGATCATTATCCAATGACCAGTCAAATCCTAGAAAAATTGAAATACCAAGCTAATCCATGTTGGAATGAAAATAATTGTAGTTAACCTGTTACTGCTTTTGTATGTCCTTTTAAAATGGCCAAAACTGCAGGTGGATTACTTGTCACATCACATACTGAAAGGGTTTTATCTAAGGAAGAACAACATAACAGGGATCTGTTATTATTAGCAAATTTAATCATAGTTACAGCCTCTGAATGCTGAAATAAAACAATCATAATTGAAGGAGAATGCAGTAAAACATTATTATACACTGAACCTGATCAAATATATGCTGAACTCCAACAAATGCATAATTTTCAGATATAGTGGTACCACCAACCATAGCTCTGGAAGCCTCTGCTTCTTTGGTTGGGACAACAGATCCTAGTGGTGATTGCATTGGTACATTAGAATCATTCAATGTCAGAGACTGGAAAGCAGTTCAATAAAAGTTGTTGGTAATCAGAGAAAGTTGTGATATCCTTACTTTGAAACTGCTATTCAAACTACTGGAAGATGCATTATCACTCTTTGTTATTCCATATCTTTGTTGAAGGAGTACAGAACGCAGTCTCAAGTAATTCTTCCATCTATCAGTAGGTCTTGTAGTATCCCTCAAAAGCTGGTTACGTCTTCTTATGTATAATGTCCCTGAAATATAATTATAGTTATTATCCAACAGATGTAATGTGAAAAAGCAGTATTTACATACTGAAGTTTGGACTTAGTGGAACCCTGTAAGCATTATATCTTGCATCCAGAGCGAAAACTTGTTGCTGTAAAGCAGTTGTTGTGGACGCCATCATTCCAGATGTAATTCATAAGGTAATTATCTACATAATTCACCTTTTCATCAATTCATTATCACAGTGTTTGTTTACTTTATAGCTTTGTCAATTTGTTTGGTTATAAAATTCACTCTTCTTTTTTTCGTGGAAGTTGGTTGACTGCAAGATTTGGCTACCGATCAATGTCTATTAACTTCTCTCCAGTTCTTATGTTGTTAGAGTTGCCTAGGCTATCCGGCCAGTTGAGATTCTTCTTCTCCCAATTCTTATCAGGATAGATACAAATATCCTTTTGAACTACTAATAGTATCTGTTTTTCCGGTGCCCGAGGCACGAATTCAATCTGACCTGAAATGAGGCATAGGCCGGCTTTTAGTCCAATCAGGTCCATTTTGGTCTTGGCGGTAAAATCGAATCGCGCATCTCTGCGATAAATTTGAATCAGCGACTCATATACGAATAATAATACATGTGATAGGTACTGGAAAATAATATTTCGGATAAATTGCCGTTACAAAATAGTTATTTGTTTTACTAGGAACAGTGTAGAACTTCAATGCCACCCTGTGTATAATAAGTGCAAATATTTCAAAGATCTAATAAAAAAAATTTAGGTAGCAAAATAAAATTTGAGGTTAGACCCCTTTTTCCACCCAAAGTTCTACACTGTTGCAAATATGACGTCACATGTTAAAATTTTTATGCGGTAGGCACAATCATATATGCGGAGTTCAATCATTTAAATTGTTTTAAAGTTGAGTGCTTGATTTTTTCTCGTATTTTGTTTAATATGTGGGATGAAATTCCTCGTTAATTAGAAGAAAAAGTACCTCTCATTTTGGTCCCCTTTTTGTTGAGAAATGGTATAGGCGATGCGCCATAAATAGAAATAGAAGATATATGGGTCATAATCATCAAAACAAACCGCCCAGAAGTGTTCAAGTTAGTGCCGTCAGGTGGGGCAACGTGTTATTTTCTATCGGAAATAAACAAACAACTGAAGCCGATTCACGCATGTGCGTGCATCTTTCAACGTTGTGAATGGTCTAAAAGCTTGCCTATGCCTCATTTCGGGTCAGATTGAATTCATGCGTTGCCGAGTAGACAAGGAACATGTGAGCTTTATGGAGCTTTATCTTTATATGACTGGATCCCGGGGCCTGTAGGGAATGGCAAGAAAATAATTATTTTGGGATGTCTAATTTCGAAATGATATATTAAATCGGATGTCTCTCATAAATAATCACAGCATAACACTCAATTACAAAATGCACGATTTCAGTAATAAGCAGCATAAGGGTAGGGCGCAGGAGTCGGAGAAGCGACATGGGGCCTAGACGGCAACGCAGTGGGATGATAAGGGTTCTGAGCCACCGAATAGCCGCTGAACCCTTGCCCCGGGGACACGGGCCCGCTGGGAGTCGCTCCCAGTATCCTGGTGTCTCCCATCAGCCTGCCATCGTCCCCTAGCAGCCTGCTCGGCTCAGAACTCAGCAAATGCGTGGAGCCCAGCTCGGTATTCAGGATCCTAGAGGTACTGTGGTCCGTCAGAATCCTGCTGCTAGTCTCCGCGATCAACCTATGAGAGGATTATCAAAATTTTCACTGATGTATAGTGACCTACCAGAAGAGTTCCTTAATGTACTTGAGAGTTTTGTTTAGACGCTTCTGTAAACTAGAGTTCCAAAATGTATTTTTGACACTGCTGATTTGACGTTTTTTGTATTCGCGAGATTCACGAAGTGGGCAACATCTAGGTTACATAATACGAACTTCAAACTGGGGGAGAACAAACTGTTGTCTATGGATAAAGAGCATAGACTACATTGCTGTAGCTGTAGTCAAACTTGTCAATGACAGTTGGTAAATTTTTTTACATTATTACATTTTTATTAGTTCAGTGAACAGTGAACGGGTGAAGAATTGACAAAAGAACACTACACCATGTTTACAATACCCAGATTGTACTGCTTTGCAGGAACAAATACAAATCCATTGTACTACAGGAGTTCCTCTGGACCCCAACTTCAATATTACTCCATGTAGGGAAGATTTCATCGCCGACGTTTGTAGACAAAGTGCAAAAATGTGCCTTCTGTTGAAGTCTTCTGCCTCACACAAAATCACATGATTAGCACGGAGAACTGCTTCTCCTTCTACTACTGGTCGGCTTTTTCCATCTAAATAGAGCAAAATATCTGCCAAAAGAACATCTACAACAGGCGTTTTCGATCGAATATTGACAATTAATGTCAAGAAATTCAAAAACTTATCACTTATCAGTACACAGTACACAAGCTAATGGCGCTAATGGGATTGAGTGAGGATTGAGTTTGTTTTCCCCCAGTTTTGACGTGGCTTTGACATGGAACGATGAAAACCGAGCGCCACCTGGTAACATTGATTCCCGCGAATATTAAAGTACGGACACTAGACAAGCAGTGACAATCAAACATAACCACAAACGATTTTGAAGCCAATCAGATGCTTTGCCAGACAAGGACAAGAATATGTTTTTTGCTTGGATAAAGGATCCTCGCATCTTCCTTCCTCCACAAGTCCTGGGAAGAGAACATCCATATATCTTTCTCTGTCTGGTACGATTAATTGATAAGAAAATTATTTCTTACCAACGAAATACATATATACTATTCCTATGAAATAAGTCTCTTATATGTAGGTATATATATACGTTCAATTGAATCAAAGGATTAAAATAGTTTTTCACAATATTTTGGCATACAAATCGTGTTTTTTTGGGCAATTCATTTATTCAAGCATGCCATCACATTTTGCTGTTGTACAATGAACAAAAAATGCAGCGAGAGACGAAGGAATATGATTTTTCAGGTAAATATTGATCTCACATATGTTTTCATTATGAGATTTTGTCATTTCTCATTAGAATTCCTTCTGCCACTTCTGCAATAGAAGCTAATACTGCTAATAGAGTGAAAATGTCTACAACACACACGATCATATTCCGTCAGCAGGTCAGACCAGTCCTCCCGCTGGATTGCATAAATCCAATCTCCTTGCATTCTTTAAGAAATTTCACCGAGTATTTCTTTTAGCTCCTATTGCAGAAGGAATACCAATAAGAATTTCAATGAAAACTATGTGAGTGACTATAGTACTTTATTTAAATCACATATGCACCTACTTACCTGAAAAATCGGATTCCTTCGTCTCTCGCTGCATTATATGTGCATTGCACAACAGCACAATGTGGTGGCAATGGCATGCTTCAATTAATGAATAGCCGAAAAACACGATTCCTAAATCCTAGAGCCTCTGTATATACCTTAGATAAGAGTCCGGACACAGCTATACTTCTGTCCTTTTCTGTTTTCAAAAAATGCATTGATGATTGAAAGAAGGAATAAGACATCTATATCGAGCTCTGTCTTTTCAATTCCCCTAGTATCAATGATTGTCAGAAACAATTTTGAGGGTTAGATTATTCGTCAAACCGTTCATAGCCGTAGGTTGAAGTGAGAAATAGGGCTATTGAAACTAGAATAACTATTAGATTTTCAAATAATGAACAACAGGATGTTCAAATTTCGAATCGATAATTTCCATAATCAATTCCTGAGATGGCTATTGCAAATTTTCGTCATCAGATATTTCTTCACTTCATTTGTTATAAGAAAGATAATTTAAGTGTTCTACGTGGTATCACATATAGATATAAAAAAATAGAAGATATATATTTGCCATTTCCTCAAAGTAAAGGAAGCAGTCTCTCTCAATGTCCGAGTAATTCTCTATTTTCATTTTCAAGTAATGGAGAGATTCTACCAATATTCCTGGATTGAAAGCAATGTGTTCTATTTTTCTTGATTGTAGGAAATGGAAATTTTAATTTCAACAGGTGTTCATATCCAGTGGTACCGCAAGGGAATTTGATAGCGAGTGCTTTATTGATTGTGTCAGTGTCCCACCTCTTCCTGCAGTCTACATTCACCTGTGAATTTTGAATTTGATCTGAATCAAAAACACCGTGGACTGATGACATAGCACATTGCAATTTCTCTAAATCTTCTAGTTTTGATTTCAAACTTTCAATTTCCTTTCGCATCATCTTATTCTCAATTTCTTCCTCTGCGATTGTATCATTCTAATTCCCAATACGATGACGACGGAACTCTTTTTTTGAACGTCTCTATTTTATAAATTGACAGCACAGCAGACTCTTTCAATTTGAAATACGTCAGCTTGAAAGAATCTCTATCGTAATGGGCCTAAAATTCATCCTTTTTGTACTGTTTTTACAAGTAAATTTGAATATTTACCTCACATATTGCGGATTTCTTGAAATTAATTTTCCATTCTGGACGTTTTATTGCATTCTTGCACGCAACCCATTCATTTGTGGTTATGTCGGACTGTCGGTGCTTGTCAGTATCCGTACTCTAATAGACTATCTAGTTGATATACAAAAAAGTCAAAACGAAAGTGTCAAATACATTGATAAACTCCACCTACCAGTAATGTTCCAAACATTATGTCTCCTCAAGAATTTTGAAAATTACTGAAACATGAATTGGAGACAAGGATTGTTTCTTCATGACTTGTATTGAATCGCCTCTCATTTGATATCCCAACAAATGATCTGTATGCGATAACAGAAAAATTTTCATTCTCAAAGTTATAATAAAATAAAATAAGCAATAATCTGAAATCCAATTTTGTTTTGATAAGAAACTCAGAAACTCATGGTCTTCACACGAGACAATTGAACTTATTTCATCTTGATTCTGCTACTTAAATTTACTCACGCTGCTCTAGCTGAATTTAAAAAATAACCACATAATATGAAAAATGCAGACATATTTCAAAATTCAAAATTGAATTAAAAAAACACATGATTTCATTACGAAAAGAATAAAATTGATACTTTGCCATCTACTGATTAGTCCCTGTGGCTATTTTCATGACTTGATCGATTCAGCGTTTTTAATTTTTTTTATTGCTTGTAATCAACTTCCTCATACCAGAATTTTATTTCTGACTGGAAGCTAGTTTTTTAATAAACAATAATTCGATGAAAACATTTCTTTTTTGTCAAATTATTCCTCACTCACCTAGACGGTGTCAACTCTGCGTTGAGAAAACGACCCTGATCGAGCAACCTGTGGGGGTTGCTCTGCAGCCCGTGGTCGCTCAGCAACCTCGTGTTGGCCATCTGGTGCAACGGATGATTTCTGAGGCTCAGATCGACGCTGTGGCGTCCCGGCGGCGTCAAATCAAGCGAAACGACTCTAAGGATGTCGGCGTGAGTGTAAGCGGGAGGCGGGGGGCTGTAATTCAACCGCAAATCGACACGGTCGACTTCAGGGTAGAGGGGGTGGTAACGGTTGATGTTGGAGTAGTTGTGGAAGCTTCTCGCAGACATGTCTAACCTGCAATCGACCATTTTTTCATCTCTCCATTTTTGTTGTTCAATTACAGAGTTCAATAAATTGAGTAAACAATTTCTTTGCATGACTTTTGCTTCGTACACGGTCCGACAGGGAGGTATGGAATATTTGGAAGTGGCGCCAAGTATGGTGGATATGAACCTCATGTTCTCGGAATATTAGGGTCCCTTGATGGAAATTGACGTTCAAGTCATCGAAATATGTAGCATCTACTAGAGTGACTATATTAATAGAGTGACGACAATGCCTGAAAAATGGCCGCCGTTTCCGTGTGTCAGTTGTCACTGAACGTCAAAATAATTGATCAAAACATGAATAGAAAATTTCAAATTATCTATATAAATATTACTAATCTATTGATGATCAGAATATCGCCTTTAAATATAATTTAATTATTGTGTTTGTATCCTGAAAGAATCCCAGAAATATTCCTAGCACCAGCAGATGAACCAGAAAGTTGAAAGATCATCAAAAAACCTGTGATATATTGTCGCAACTCAGATGGTTTTGGTAGATTATTTGGCAAATGGCGTGTCCACCACATGTCGCAACTCAGATGTTGCCCTCCTATGGATCGTAACTTGGCTACTCACTTGGCTTGATGATCATTTCACCACCCAACCATATTCATCCCCAAATGAAGAGTCAAGATAGTTTTCGTATAAAATTAACATTTATTGATTTAATGGGAAAGTCGTGAATAAATGCTTGCCACATGGCAAAGTAGCAGAGACAAACCATAGTAAATTACCAAACGGAACACAACACAAAACAACAATTCAGATAGAACATGGAAAAACAGTACTTACATGATGACGTCTAACATGGGGTTGACCAGCAGGATCAAAGTCGGGAGGACGGTACACATTTTGACAGCAACTCGTGAATTAGTAACTCAATTACGGAATAAAGTAAAGTGTTATCGAAATGCATTATAATTAGTAATAATCAAATAATAATGAATCAAATAGTAATGAATTAGTAATCAGTAATGAATGGCTTATCGATTCGGAATCTATTTATATTTGGAATCGATGCTAACATTGCAATTTTCCGCAATGGCAATGCTCGATACCGGGCGTATAGCTTAGCCCGTATCGCAAGCTAAGCGGTTTCATGCAAATTTTACCGGAACTAGAGTCTATGAACTCCGCTTTGACCTGATCGAACTACAATGTACTGAATGTTTTAATTTGGAAAAGCTAATTGACGATAAAAGATCTTGAAATGAACGAGAGCCCGAGTGATGACAACTCATAGACACTTGTGCTTCTTGACAATATCAATGGTTTTAGTATCATGATCAAATACCTATGATCGTTCAGAAGACTGCATAGTGAAGAAGTACCTGCTTACCCTACACCCCCACAGTATTACAGAATGATGAAACTTGGGTTTGGATTTGTAGCATTTTGAAATAATTTATACAGCAACACAAGGTGAGTAGGTATAATAGTACTCATCAAATTGTACCAAGAATGTTTCACCATAAAAATGTGTTATTGTTACTTCAGCAATCTATCCTGTTTTTGAAATTGGATTACATATTTTCAGGTTACTAACCCGAACCCCATTCAGACCGCAGAAAAGTGGCGCAGTCGGTAGGAAACCGCCTATTCCCGCCTGTACCACCGACTGATTGCTGATCTTCGCTATCCCAAGAGACATAACCGTAATTGAGAAAAACACCAAGGACAAGCGCTGCTCGAACCGAAATTACTCACCCTTGCAACTCAGACGTGTTCAATATCAGTGGCTCGAAATTTCTGTCAGCCCTGAAATCCGACTCCATGAGATCGCCGTACTGCTTGTTCCTGAAGTCCACCTCGCCGCCCTCATAGGCGTGGCTCCTCTGTCGCAGAGCCTCGCAATCGATGCCCTCGTACCCCTTCAGCCTCACGTCCAAATCCAAGTCGAACTTGCTGCGAATCTCGCTCGCCAGCTCCTCGGTATACCTAGGATACAGTAGAGTTACTGAATGTACTTGACACTTTTGCATTTACTACTATGGGTTATTAAATATATAAACAGACTTGGTTACGACATAACCGCCATCTTGAATTCCTGAAATTCCTTTCTGCTGACGTCACATGAGGGCAAAACAGGATAACCAACCTAAGAATATTACGAGAGGCATTAGGCCTTTTCGATTATGTTTACTCAACTTTGCTGAACTTGTTTCATTAGTACGAAATTTTGCTTTAAAAGGTAAGAAAAAGCACTCCGTCGCAGGCCAAACTCAAGCAGCACCATTATTTAGATGACAATTTCTCATTCTTATAATAATATATACAAAATTCCGGGTTTTCTGAACTTGTGACTCGAAAACTGCTTCATAGATTCACCAGGGTGTACACTTGTACAGTATAGTGAGTTTCAATGGTCATTTTCATTCTTGAACTTTTTGACGGCGGCTCTCAGCATTTTGGGAAAAAAATTCATTATATTTCACTATTCTGAAGTATTTTCTTTCTCTCGTTTTGGAAACTATCTGTAGCTGGATGAACAGATCAGATTCTAAATTGGGAAAATCGCCTCTACAGAAACCTTACGCAAAATTTTCAATTTGGCGAGGGCATTTGTGCCTTAACGGTTTACTTTAGCGAAAATATACTAGGAATTATTTTATAGGAAAGTCAGCAAACTATAAATATAACGAGAAACCAATTGAATAGTCCGTTTTATTATAAAAGATAGATTTATATGCGTATATGGATAAAGTTAGGGGCAGAATATAGAAATTAACTCAATATGATGTCATTCAACCAGCTATTGAGCCTAAACTGTTCACTTTAGCGAAAATATGCTAAAAGCATGTCTTGTAGGAGTTTTTTTTTCTCTTGCCATCTTGACAAGATGGCGGCACCGGTGGCATGTCTTGGAGTATGCATTTTGTGAATTTTAGTTCTGGACACACAAACCTACAATCCTGCAGTTTCAAAACTTCCGGACTTATTTTCAGGTAAGCCCTATTTTTGATCCCCAATAACGTTAGTAGATTCCTGGTATTTTGCAGATAGAAACAGCACTAACTTGCATATTATCATTGTTATTATCATCGAGGAATTCTAACCTAGGATGGTCCTCTCTGTCAGACAACTCTTTGTCCTCGTTCTCCATGTTGGGCAAGTCACTGTTGATCACGTCGATGTGATCCTGGTCCAGATCTTCCTCCCCTAACCTCACTTTCCTCATGTAATCCTGGCCGTTGGACTTGTAAGTTTTGTACAGGGAGAGGTCGAGCTGGATGTCGTCCTTGGAGTTGTTGAGGCTCAAATTCTGCACGGTCATGCCGTTGCTGTCGTCCGATTGGTCGGCGTGCCCAAAAGCGTACCTGCGCAAAGATGAGTAAATTTGCATTGAACTCAATGTAAACAACTGGAAGGGACCCTCTGTGAACGACGGGTGAGGCAAAAATATTGTTCAGGCAACCCGCAGTGATTACGGATACCCATCTCTTTCTATCTTATGTTATGTTGGCTGTTTGTGACCTGAACCTATATTCCATGCCGGTCGCATCATATTCTGTTTCCAGTTTTGTAGAATTACGTTATCTGATGGAAATTCGAATAGAGTGAATTGATTTCCCGTGTTCTCACAGTTGGAAACTGCACAAACTTGCATCTTACTCCTAATTCTCTCAATTTGTCAAACCTTTGAAATTTATGTTATGTACTGTGAGTTCCATCAATTTATTTGTGGTTATGTCTAAAACAGCAGTGCCAAGTACATTTAGGAACTCTAGGTTGTCCAAGCTTTATTTTTGTTTTTAATTTTATTGAATTTCGTTTATGTCTCTACAACATGTTTTTCATTACCTCCTGAACCAAAAAGCAGCTACCCCCAAGACAAAAAATTATCGACGCCCCTGATTTCATTATATGTAATTTTCATGCTTTATCAACAAGATCTATCATCTTCGACCATAAAGTATAACTTGACTTCACTATTTTTTATTATAATATGGATCTTGTACCTGGGCGGACTAGGAACGGGCGATAGATTCTGCGGTGACAAGCTGTTGATGTAGTTGCGCACGAAGTTCGACCGGTGGATATCGGGGCTCTGCGAGGGACTGAAGTCCTGCTGGGGGAAATTAGGATAGGGAATGCCGATGTCCTCGTTCAGCTCGTCTGTCACCGACACATGATCGTTGACGGACGGCGACAAGAGGTTGATATCGCGCGAATCCCCGATGCCCTGGTCGTGGTACGGCAGATTGTCGGGTGCCGCGAGCCCGTACAGATTGTTGACTAGGGAGTCGGCGCAGTGGGGAGCAGGGCTGACGTCTATGTCTATGTTGGGCTCGTTGCAAACGGAGTCCAGCGCAGCTTCCACGAGCAGGCTGGCGTTCGAGGCCTCGTGTTTGCCGAACTCGTTTATCGTCGACAGTTTGCTTCTGCCGTAGATTTCGGGGTCTTGTAGCGTGATGCTCGATAAATCGACTTTGCTCAGTCTTTCGACCGAGTATATTTCGGAGAGTTTGGAGGTGGGTTCGTCGGCTATCCATTTTTTCGAGCCTTTGCTCTGCACTTTGACGGTTGTGATGGGTTTTGGGTAATTGTCTGTGGATGTAGGATGGTTTGGGGAAGGTGGTCGCGGTTCGTGGGCATGGTTTGAGGAGTCATCCTGTGGTTTCGGGTCGTCCACGTTTTCACTGTCTAGACCTGAAAATACGTGAGATACATTTTCATACAGTTTCAGGGAATTGACAATCATTCAAATACAAAAAAAAAACAAAAGAATAATTTTTCCCCAATGGAATATTCATGTGTATACAGGGTGTTTTCAGAATTGAAGCAATAAATGAAATGAATAATAGAAGACAAAACAAAAGACAATAGAGAGTGATGGAAAAACAATTAATTTTGAAGTTGGCATGGAATTTTCATTTATGTAAATCATTGATTACAGGTTAAAAGCCGAACCTGAGCGTTTGCTTTCAGAGAGGTAGAGAATACCAATATTATTGGACGTTCGATAATAATATAAATAATAATTAATAAAAACTCCGGCCATTCATTGTCATCACAATATCCCATTTTAATTATCGCTTCAATTTTGAGACTATTGATGAAATTAAATTGATTCCAACTTTTTCTTCAGATATCTTTTTCAATGTTCTTGGAAATATACAGGGTGATTAGCAGTACACAAAATCCAGTCAATATTATTAGAGCAAAAGAGCAATAGTGAGAACAGATTCACCATGATAAGAAAAAAAAAACAGAAAATGCGAAGAAAAAAAAAACAGAAAATCACCAGAAAAGTACTTGGTACTGAAAAGATCATATTTGAGTTGTAATTTTGAAGTTGAAAAAAACAGCTGCTCTGATTACTGGATAAGAATAATATATCTCTAACAATCGAAGCATTTAATGAAAAAACCTCTTTTTTCTATTGAACAAGTTCTGTTTTAGGTCATTTACGATCCTATAGCCAACTTTATCTTATCTCATCTAGAATGGACTATGACTATATGATTTTATTTTGTTGATTGATTGGATATAGACCAATAAACTATTGTAGCAAACCTATTCTCCTTAATTTTTCGCTGTTGCTTTGTACCTATCATCACCACCGTAAAAATTTTTGTAATATCATCAATGACATGTTTAATATTATATTTTTTATTTAATATTGTCCATAATAAATACAAGATCATAATAGAAAAATGTTATAACTCGCTATCTGTACTATCAGAAAGGGCCCTGAATTCTTCTAGGGCCTTGCGCATACTTACTGGTATTGTCAAAATCACTGTCTTTTTCTCCTTTATTCCTTGAAATTGTATTAGGAACTTTGTCTGACTCAATCTTATTATTTTGTTCACTCTCTTCATTGCCACTGTAAGCCTGGAATGTATAGTCAATGTTTCTTTCTATCTTCGGCATATTCTCCTCTGTGAAATTGTGTATTTTTTTGTAGTGAAACTGTAAGCATTGCTTCGTGGTAAAGGCTGAATTGCAGTTTGAAATGTGGCATCTGAAAAAAGTTAACAATTCAAAGTTATTAAATCCACCAATAAAAAATGTGTTGTATCAATTCGGGCGTTTCTCGGGGATCAAAAAAAATTCAGTACACTCTCAACTTACTTGAAAGGTTTTATTCCACTATGAGTCAACATGTGAATCTTCAGATTCGACTTGTTCTGAAACTTCTTTCCACATCTTGAGCAAAAACATTGTCCGTCAGCTTGTTTTTCATGAACTTCTTTCGCATGCCTCTGGAGGGCAGCTCTGGATCCCAAGATTTTCATACAACTTTTGCATTGAAACTCCTTCAAAACCTCGGAAATATCTTAAATAAGAAAGTAGTAGCGCCCATATCTAGAGTACGTGTATTTGTTTACGTACCGCTGTGCATTCTTTTGATATGCACCTTCAACTTTTGAGGCTGGCAAAACTTTTTGCCACAAAAATCACAAAGAGGGCAGGTCCTTTGAGGATTTGCTGAGCATCCGTAAGTTCTGTGCATTTCAAGATAGTTTAACCGCAAAAAAAACTGAAACATGATCTGGTGAAATTTTGAATAATCCTACTAGGTAGTATCGAGAGTTCCTAAATGTACTTGACACTACTGTCTCAACGTTTTTTGCATATTCGCGATAGAAAATAAGCGTACGCCACCTATCGGAGTTCTTGAAAGCTGTCGAAGCGGCATGTTTACTTTGGTTTCATTGGTTCACATTTGTTTTTTTGTTTGTGCTTATTGGTCATTTCATCAAAACAAACCCCTCAGAAGTGTTCAAGTTATTGCCGTCAGGTGGGGCGACGTGTTATTTTTTATCGCGAATTAGAGAAAGGACAATAGACGAGCAGTGACAATCAAACATAACCACAAACGATTTTGGAGCAAATCATATGTTTTGCCAGACAAGAATATGTTTTTTGCTTAGATAAAGAATCCTCGCATTTTTCTTCCTCCACAAGTCCTGGGAAGATTACATCCATATATCTTTCTCTGTCTTTGATTTTTGTATGAGAGTTCATTGCTTCTCCTCGAGTGGGTAAAAGGGTACGATAAATTGATTAGAACATTATTTCTTCTCGAAATATTGAATGACAAGGCTGAAGGACCTCAATTAATGGAGGTCGATATCAAGTTGGTATGTATATATACAAGGTGATTCTAAAATAGGTGGTCAAACTTTGGGAGTATATAGAGTGAGTGAAATAATTACGAAAACCTCGGTAACATTTTTTTCTGAAGTGCCCCCCAAGAAAGATACAGCCCCTCAAAGGGGGGCCTCGGAGAATGATTTTGTACTATTATCGCCAACACCTTGTAAGATGAAAATCTAAAATTTTGTTTATCCACTAACTATTCAGTGCCTGTTCGAATGGAGTTAAAATCACCTCAAAATTAAATACAGGGGTGTGTGAAAACAGGGAGGTGGGGGGTAAAAATAACCCCAACTTTTTTGTTCATCGCAATTTCAGTTTTTTTACATGAAATTATGAAATCTCAGGGCTATTAACATAGAAAAGGATCTCTTGTTGGATCTCGATAAACTGAACCATTAGCGAATAAAATTTATTTTTCCAAGATTTCATTTAAATTGCAATTTTGGTATGCACTTAAGTTTAATTATCTAGTTCAAATCTTGCAACTGAATTTTCACCTACTTCTAATCGTCTGATCAACTTGGAATCTGGCAGATGATAGTTGACAACGCGTTATGGACTTTTTGATAGAAAAAAATATGGCGGCTCCAATGTGGCTGACCAGATTTGTGATTATGGTTCGATTCGATTCAGAATTGGTTTGTAAGGGTTTTTGGGGTTTGGAAATTTTGAATTCATTGTCGGAATTGATGAATTAACAATAGACGACGAGTTTCGTGATTATGGTCTGATCCTATTGAAAATACTAAAATGAAAAATATTGTTAAAAACAAGCTTTTTTTAAATTTTATTCGCTAATAGTTAATTTTATCGAGATGCAACAAGAGCACCTTTATCATGTAAATAGCTCAGATTTCATAATTTCATGTCAAAAAACTGAAATTGCGATGAACAAAAAAGTTAGTGTTATTTTTACCCCCTACCTCCCTATTTTGAGACACCCCTGTATTTTATTTTGAGGTGATTTTAACCCCATTCGAACCGGCACTGAATAGTAAGCGGATAGACAAAATTTCAGATTTTCATTACACAAGGTGTTGGAGATAATAATACAAAATCATTCTCAGAGGCCCCCCTTTGAGGGGCTGTATCTTTCTTGGGGGTCACTTCGGAAAAAAATGTTACAGAGGTTTTCGTAATTATTTCACCCACTCTATATGCTCCCAAAATTTGACCACCTATTTTAGAATCACCTTGTATACACCGTGTCCCACCTAAAATGTCCCCCCTGTAAAAAATCAACCGCCCGATCGAATGACTTGAAATTTGGTCACCCAGTATATTTGATGATGCTCACTCGAAATATGCTATTGAATAAATCGTAGGTATACAGGGTCACACCGAAATGCTCCTATAATTTCCTATTTGAATAGGGACACCCAGTATATTATTCCATATTCAAGTAGAGTTCATTATTACAAATTCAACAATGCCGGGTTCGATGGGATTTTTTCAAACGACTACGAAGATATGGCAAAAAATGAAACGATACATAACTACAGACCCGTAAAGGATTATCTTTGCCAGCGATTTGGAGAACATCTAATAACCACCAATTGTCTCGATGGTGATAGCAACTGGCCAGCTGGGTCGCCAGACCTCACCCCACCTAATTTTCATTTGTGGGGCTACTTGGAACAACAGGTTTATGAGTCGCCAATTATGAACATGGAAGAAATGAAAGAGAAAAACACAAATTTATGAGCACAAATTGATCGCAACGTGATACATAGGGTCACAATAAACGTTATCAAACTAGAAAATGTTTGCAGCAGAATGGACGACATATTTCCCAGACCCATACTCTTTCATGTTTCGATAAAAAGTGACTCTTTAATGAACAGCGTATTTCCCAAATTTGTAATAAGTATGTTGACAGAATGAATAGTTGTTTTTTTGATACCAAATTAGCCAAGTTTCGGAAGGATTTGTTGAATTTATTCTATTTAAAATTAATACCTGTATTATCTAAGGCTCTAAGGTACATCATACAACTTAACCCATCAGCGGCATCAGCTCAATGTTTGCTCTTTAATTGAAGATCTGAGTGGGAGTTAGGTTATATTAGTTTTGGTTAGAAAACTTGTAAGTAGGTGTAATCCTGTTAGTTTTCTATAAATAAATAAATAAATAAATGAATGAATATTGAGCAGTTGAGGTTTTGATCAGTCGTTTGGAAAAATCCCGTCGAACCCAGCATTGTTGAATTTGTAATTGTGAACTCTACTTGAATATGGAATAATATACTGGGTGTCCCTATTCAAATAGGAAAGTATAGGAGCATTTCGGTGTGACTCTGTATACCTACGATTTATTCAATAGCATATTTCGAGTGAGCATCATCAAATATACTGGGTGACCAAATTTCAAGTCATTCGATCGCGCGGTTGATTTTTTACAGGGGGGGACATTTTAGCTGGGAAACGGTGTATATATATACCAACGAAATACATATACTATACCTATATGAAATGAGTCTCTTATATGTAGGTATATATAAACGTTCAGTTGAATATTTTTTTATCAAAAAAGTTCAGAATGAGGTAAAAACTGATAAATTTCTACCAATGAAACATACTTTTATTTCGTATGGAACAATTTCACTTGTAGAAGAGTGGTGGGTGATAAGTAATTAATAAATGAACAAATGATATGGCAACAATAACAGCTAATTTCAGTTAGGATAAATGATAATAAAAAATGGACTTCAGCACTCGACTCACTATAAATCGCCGTTCACATTGCTAAAGGGGATTGTTGGTTTGAACCCGGCTATCGGAAAATCATTTTCAATACCTAACATAAATGGTGCACTCGTTAAGCGTTCAAAATCCACTAGGAGCTATGTAGTCGTCTAGCACTTCTCAACTACGCATGAACATGCACATCCAGACTTGGGATATCAACTTTGAAGAAGCGATACACGAATCTTGAATGATTTTTCGGTAAAATAGTTCTGAATTTTGTTAACTCTGACTTTTGTATCTGAATCTTTTTGCTTTAACTTATTTTTCATCTCTCGACTTTTTTCTTTTATTTGTTTCCTGAATTTCTCACTGTGTTCCACTCGTAAACTTTGGATTTTTGTATATTCCTACTCTAAAATTTCGATTCCCAAGTCGTTTTCTTTCAAAATATGTTCGAAATGAATTTCATTATCTGCAAGTTTTTCGTTTCTTGTTGGTTCTGAATTGGAATAAAGTTCTTTTCGATACTCGCTCAATTTATAAATTGTGGGTTCGGCTATCTCCGTTTAATACGATCCTATTCTTCAACATCACATCTTCCGTTCTGAAGTGTATCTGATGAAAATGCTTTGAAAAATGTTCTATATCCTACCAAGAAATTTGATTACCTCGCAAATTTTGTGGCCTGAACCTATATTCCATGCCGGCCGCATCATATACTGTTTCCATTTTTGTAGAATCACGTTATCCGATAGAAATTTGAATATAGAGTTGGAGTGAATTGATTTCCCGTGTTCTCACAGTTGAAAACTGCACAAATTTGCATCTTTCTCGTAATTCTCTCAATTTGTCAAACCTTCGAAATTTATGCCATGTACGTCCATGTACTGTCATTCCCCGCTTTTTCCATTATTTGTGGTTATGTCTGATTGTCAGTGCTTGTCATAGTGTCCGTACTCTAATAATATACAAAAAACTTCAAAACAGTTGTGTCAAGTATATTTAGGAACTCTAGTAGTATCTACTATTACTTTTTTGCAAAACTGGCATTGATAAGCACCCTGGCCATTGTGTAATTCGGATGCGTGTTTGATGATGTTCTCTTTTCCTAGCACAGCCGCCCCACAAACTTTGCAATGGTACTTCCTGATCGTTAGGCTGTATCTCACGTCGTGGAATAGAGAACAGTGTATTCTATAGTAATGTGGGTGGCTGAAATCGATATTGCAGCCTCCACAAGCTAAAATAATTATTTACCTAACAAGTGCGGAAAGTAGTATTTTTCCGCACGCGACGGCAGTAACTACGCCAAGGGCGGGAAAGACATTTTCCGCAAGAGTTAGGTACAAAGATTTTGTCCATATTATTTATAAAAAAAGGTTTTTAATAAACAATATTTTATAATGATGCTACAAAATGACCTTATTTTCAACAATACAAAAATCGTGCGGAAAACTTTTCAGCACTAGTGCGGTAAAGTAACTTTTCCGCACGATATTTTCATGCACTGAAAAATAATGAAATAGATTTTTTTCATCGATATAATAGGAAACTCATTTGAAGAACTTTCAAATAACAATAAAAATGCGTACAAGTATTGTAAAGAAAGGATTTCGGGATCCTAGTTCTAGTTGTGCAAAACTGGCTCAGCCAATGCTTTGTGTTTTCGAGAACCTATGACAACTTTACTGTCAACATTTGGTGAACAATCATTCCCGATAGCCCGTTTTATGCAGAATAGGATGACGTTAATTTCTCTCTGTAATATACTTGTACGCTTTTTTTTTTAATGCGACTGTACATTTTATGCACGACCATATTTGATTTATCATTTTGCATACTTGTTCACCTCTAAATTGAGGAATATCATTGATGGAGTCACCGTTACCATGGTAACTCGGTCAAATTTTTGGAATGCGAGTAGACTTTTATTGACTTTTATATATTTGCTGTCAATTAATGTCATCACAGATAACTTATTTTGGGTTTGATCATATCATTTTGATTCTCAGGAATATTAAGAGAACTGCAATATTAGATGATGAACCATCACAACTAAAACATAATAAATGTCCTGAACTATACACCGTGTCCCAGCTAAAATGTCCCCCCCTGTAAGAAATCAACCGCGCGATCGAATGACTTGAAATTTGGTCACCCAGTATATTTGATGATGCTCACTCGAAATATGCTATTGAATAAATCGTAGGTATACAGGGTCAACCAGTATATTATTCCATATTCAAGTAGAGTTCATTATTACAAATTCAACAATCCCGGATTTGATGGGATTTTTTCAAACGACTACGAAGATATGGCAAGAAATAAAACGATTCAATAAAAAATTTATATGATTAGATTTTATTAATATAACACAATTGGAATCGAATTCAAAGAAAATGATTGAAACCTCAACTGCTCAATATGTCGTCCATTCTGCTGCAAACATTTCCTAGCTCTTTTGATAACGTTTATTGTGACCCTATGTATCACGTTGCGCTTAAATTTGTGATTTCATTTCTTCCATATTCAGAAAACTCATAAACCTGTTGTTTCAAGTAGCCCCACAAAAAAAAATCAAGTGGGGTGAGGTCTGGCGACCCAGCTGGCCAGTTGCTATCACCATCGAGACAATTGATGGTTATTAGATTTTCTCCAAATCGATGGCAAAGATAATCCTTTACGGGTCTGTAGTTATGTATCGTTTTATTTTTTCCCATATCTTCGTAGTTGTTTGAAAAAATCCCATCAAACCCAGCATTGTTGACTTTGTAATAATAAACTTTACTTGAATATGGAATAATTTACTGGGTGTCCCTATTCAAATAAAAAAGTTGAGGTGCACTTCGGTGTGACCCTTGTATACCTACGCTACGATTTATTCAATAGCATATTTCGAGTGAGCATCATCGAATAAACTGAGTGATCAAATTTCAAATCATTCGATCGCACGGTTGACTTTTTACAGGGGGGGACATTTTAGCTGGGACACGGTGTATAGGAATGCTTATTTACTAGTGACCTATTCGCCGGGTGCAGGATATCTATCCACCTTTGCGGGTGGTTAAGAATTCCGTGGGCGGTAAAGTGCTACTTCACGGCAAGTCGTGCATAAAGAGCTATTATACACTACCGGGCGTAAAGTAGCATTTTGGCGCCCGGATTAGTGGGAGGGGGGAGAAGTAGCACTTTGGCGCCCGGATTTGTGGGGGAGAAAGTAGCACTCTTGCGCCATAGGATGATAAAGTGGTAAAGTGGGTGTTAAAATAGTCGTGCGGGCGGTAAAGTAGCTGAGTAAGTATAAGTAAGTGAAGTAATTTCGTTTTTTCAGTAATTTCTAGTGGACTATAATATACAGAGTGGGCCTTTGAAAACGAAACAGAGGCTCTGTAGGTTGCCAAAACCGTATTATGAAAAAAATCTGAAACACGCCAAACAACATTTTCGAGGGGACATCGTTCTAAAATATTTTCAGCTCTGCGGCGTTGCCGCTACTAATGAAAAGAAGCAACAACTTTGTGATTTCAAATGGAACACCTTGTATTTTATTGCATTTTTAGATTCTCCCCGAAGAGCTGATTTCATCAATGCATCACACTTGGGGTCTAGCTGTAATGGTTTCAGGGATATAAAGTGTTCAAAATCGAGATCGAGATCAACTTTAGCATTTTTTTGTGTCAAAACTATTCATTATTGGTCAAAACGGCGCTTATGTCCCTATCTCGACTTGTGATTTACTATCTACTGACATTTATTTGAAACAAATACAGGGTGGTTGTTCAAGATTCAGAATTCTGATCACCCTGTATCTGTTCCAATTGAATGTTAGTAGATAGTAAATCACAAGTTGAGATAGGGACATGAAAGCCGTTTTGACCAATAATGAATAGTTTCGACACAAAAAAATGCTAAAGTTAAAAAATCTCGATTTTGAACACTTTATATCCCTGAAACCATTACAGCTAGACCCCAAGTGTGATGCATTGATGAAATCAGCTCTTCGGGGAGAATCTAACAATGCAATAAAATACAAGGTGTTCCATTTGAAATAACAAAGTTGTTGCTTCTTTTCATTAGAAGCGGCAACGCCGCAGAGCTGAAAATATTTTAGAAGGATGTCCCCTCGAAAATGTTGTTTGGCGTGTTTCAGATTTTTTTCATAATCCAGTTTTGGCGACCTACAGAGCCTCTGTTTCGTTTTCAAAGGCCCACTCTGTATAATAATAATATATTATAACATGTCATTCTATGCATCCTTTGTCACACATAGTGTACTGCTGAAGTATGTTTGGTTGGACCATATTATAATAATAATTACTGACAAGGTATTTTTACCAAATAATATACCTAGTCAAAAAAGTATCCTACAAGATCCTCTTCTCATAATTAAAACCACTATATCAGATATTCATGTAAATAAATTAATGAGTTCATAAATGAATATGATAATAATCCAGTCATGCTTCTGTTTAGTATTAGAATTTGAACAGTTCACAAAAACTCGGATTTTGTTCTGTGTGAAAATCTACTTTACACCTAAACAGATTCTCATGATCTACAAAGCACAGATACATCCAGTTTTACAATCCTGTTCTCATGTTTGGGGTTCAACACCCAAACATATGATGATGCACTTAGATTCCATCCAGAGAAGAGCCAATTACCTGGTGGGTGATGCCACACTAACTCTTTGACACTTCCACAGGAAATGTTCCTCATACATCTCTGATATAATTCCATCATTATCAATACCAGTCAGGCAGACTCAACAGGCCCAGTCAGCACATCCCTTCTGCCGTTTACCATGAAAAATGTGGGAAAACACTACCAAAACTAGTTCATAAATAGAACAGTGAAGCTTTGGAATTCTTTGCCCATGGAAGTATTCCCAAGAACTCATAAAAATCAAGTCAAAAAAAACACCTATACCTCCTCTCCCTATCATCCCTAGGTACACATGATGTTCTATGAACATTATAAATAAAAATATGAGATGTAAATATATTAAAATCAAATTAAAATAAACAGACATCTTCTGCAAATCTTAAATTAGTATTTGAGGTCTTATTTTTTCATTTTTTGTTATAGGTACTCACTTGTTTTTTCCAATTTCTTTTTGGTCAACTTTGGACAATCTTGCCAAAATAACAATTCTTCTCCACTTTTGACAAATTTTGTACACACAAAATACAATTTACCATTTTTAGATATCACAGACAGATTTTTCTCCTCTCTACTAGGTGCTGGCCTTAAATATTTGCACCAATTTGATGTTACTGTACTCTCTGTATCAACATAAATGTTGCCAGAATCATTAGGTATTTCCCAAATATATTTCAGATCAACATCTTCTGGGATATCTTTTTCCTTGACAATACTGCCAATCATTGGGCCAAACTGAGTGAAAGGTTCAATATCTTCTTTAGCAAAAATGCCTGAACCATGACTGGCTATTGTCTCTTCAATATACAATAATTCTGGTAAAGATAATATGGAAAAACAGTACACTGGAGCTTCTTCCCCCTCACTTTTGAGCTTGTTGGTTTGAATTTCATGAAGGATTTTGAATTTTTTCCCCCACTGGCTTTGATCAAGAGAGTCATTGATGATATAGTGTGGAAGATAAATTGGACATTGGTCTTCTATGTGATGAGTGTTACAGTGATGACATAGTTTAATTTTTATTTTGTCCAAATTTTTTGGGGTACCATTTTCCTCTATTTTAACTGACGTTTCTGTTTGAATATGGAATGTTGAATTATCATTGGGATCCACTGGAAACTCTTGTTTTATATCTGATACAGCAGCTTTCACATTTTGTATGTTAGAGGAGGCTTCAGTTGCTCTTTTCAATTTCTTTAAGGGTGTTATGCTATCAGTATTGCTTTTCTGTGAATTAGGTGTACTTTTTTCCGGAATCTCCTGGAACTTTTCAGTAGAAACATCTGGTTTTTGTAAACAGACATTATTGATATCAACTTTGTTCTTTGGGTTGTTTTTGTGGTTGTTTTTTTGCTTCTTCGACTGGACTTTACTTACATCACCATCGACTACGTTCCTATATCAAAAACATATCAAAAATAAACAACCTAACAAACATATCATATGTAGCAATGTTTGAATTACTGGAGGCATTTTGGAGGATTCAAACAAATTCTTCTTCTTCTTAAATTTTCAAATGTCAAGACAAGCGTCAAACCGTCAAAACTCAGAAAAGTCAAAACAAATAAAGTCAAATCACAACTGACAAGTCACAACAAAACATCAACAAAACAAGAAAATGGCAGAATCGAATCTGTAGGGTGGAAAATATGAGTTGTCCTCGGTCTGCTGGTTAATTTCAAATCCAGTTTCAATGAGAATGTGAATATACTATTGACAGAAGGCTTATGGACATACCTTTTCAGATATTCTTCAGCGATATCAAGTAGTTTTGTCATAAACTCAATGTTTGACTTGGCCGAAAAGGACAGTTTCAAGTCCCTCCATCTTTTGGCGTTTGAGGGTCCCACCAACCTGGATAGCTTATTTTCTGATAACTTCTTAACATTATCAGTGTTGGACCGATATTCACCTCTCGTAGGTATGCTGTTTTCTTTATGGAATTTCTTGATCATCACTTAAATATTGCTTTAAAGAGGATAGGTTTTCCCAATGATCCTATCCCCTTTAATATCGACTTTAATGACGTCATAAATTTCCGGAATCCGGTGTACAGTGTCGTCAAAAGTTTTGTTCTTAGAGGTTTGAAGTTTTGAACTTGAACATAGCCACCAAAGTCAGCTGATGAACGGTAGTAAGTCGAAGTCACGTCGAAGTTAATGAACATTTTGATTAGACCACAGCCGGCTAGACAGTCTCCTCAGCTGCTTGATTTTACTTCAAATCTGAAATCATGATTTCTGTTCAATCTTTGTGGTAGCTGGCTACCCTTCAGTTCATTGCTTCAGAAGTTCAGGACCATAATGGTTATGGCCTGTTTACTGAAATAAAAATGAGCAGATCAGTACATACATAACATAACCTATTGAAATTTTGTAAACATAACATGGCTAAACTTGGAGCTTTTTATGCCTTGTGCCCCCTAATAGATAATAAATATATTCTTGGGGTCACAGAAGATTTAGAAAAAGGATTTGTTATTGCAACTTTGGGAAAAAATATTGCAAGCAGATATAAGGTAGTAAGGAATTGAACCATTCCAAGTTGGATAAAAAATTACTCTCAATGAAGATTTCAGATCAGAAACAAGTTTCCTGTTGGCGCACCAAAGAAAAATTTAGTTCTGCTGTGATATATGATAAAGCTCTAGGGAAATATGGAGCTGTTTTCAATAAGTCCTTCATCAAGATGTGGGAGAGTGAAGAAAGTCTTGACAAACTGAAAAAATACAAAGTGAAGATATAGGTACCATTCACATTTCATAGTATTAATTTATATTTCTTTTCAAGTTCAATACACCCATCCATACAATTATATCAAAAAATGGTCACTCATTTTTGGTATTTCAAAATGGTGCAGTCATGAAACTGGCTGAAGCTTTGGATCAGAGGAAATCACTGAATCCAAAAGGTTTAGACATCAAAGAAATTGATGATATAATATATGGAGAGATGCATGAAGATTTTTATTTTGGCATCATTGTTAAAACTGGAGGCAACACTCTATACTGGACTAGATATGCAGAAGGACACACTACTAAGTTCAACAAAATCCAGTTGGATAGAGATTTATCATTAATTGGATATGCCTTCCATCCTGTAAAAAATAACATGAATGTATTGATTTTATGTAAGAAAATTTGTTAATTTATTCATTAGTGAGTTCATTAGTATGCTGACTGGTTGTATCTTCTCCTTTCTAGGGTCAGATGGTAGTATCTATTCATACAATCTTCAAGATTCATATATGGAGACACCTTGCATTGGTGAACTTTTCACAGTAATTGATTCCCTCTCAACAAAACACTCTGTCTCCATCCTGTCCTTGGATGAAAACTACATAGCCATGTATGGAGCTAACTATAATGAAGAAGGTGCTGTATTAGTTATCTATAACACTCAGTTCAAAGTAACACAATCTAAACAGCCTTTCAAATTGTTTACCAACAATAGTGAAATTTGGAGAGTAGAAGAAAATTTGATGGTACCAGTTGGTCAAAATTTGGCTGTTATTCCCTTCCATTTGGAGAACGAACAGCTAGCAGCTCTAGTAGGTAGCCATAAAATTGTGCAAGACAAAGATAGTGAAGTGAGGATTGTACAAGAAGTTGATGTAGCTTCATGGGACACTAAGTACAAGATGAGAGATAGACAGCTTCCTGAAGATTTGAAGAATCAAATTAGTGAATTGATCACCTGTGGTTTACCTGAAAGTATCATTTTAGAAGAAACCCTACCTGAAATATTCAAAACACATGATACAGCATCTTTATATCTGTGCATAAGGCATTTCTCTGATATCCCTGAAGAGTACTTGGCTAAAATCCTCAAGTATACCTTAGATTTGGATGCCAATTATTTCAATGAGAAAAAATCAGAGTTTGTGAATCTACCTGAAATTCTACAGCCACTTGAAAGAGTAAAAATCCTTGACAACATCTTTAGCAGACCATTCAGTGAAGTACTACTGCTGCCATTTCTGAGACAACAACTTTCCATTGGTGATGTGTCTCTGTTACTGAACTACATTTGTCTACTTTGGTCAGATGACCAGAGTACTCTGCCTCATTTGAACTCCATAGAGACAGAATCCAAACTACTTCATTGGAGTTGCATATTGATTGACTCCAACTATCAGAAAATCATTTTGTCTAATGATAAATCCATCAGGGAGTGCCTAGGGGTCCTGAACAGATTGATCCAGGATCACTTGAGTTGCCTGGGAGATCTGAAGGTTATTTTGCCAATGTTGAGGAACATCAAGAAGACATCTCAGTGTACAGATGCAAATATGCTATCCTTGAGGTATTCTGTGGAGCAGTTGAGTTTATATTAATAAAATATACAGTGAATATTGGTTTTCAATATCCTTATATACAGGGTGTCCCTGGACTTCCTCTTTTCCTCTTCTATGGAATGTATAGATGGGGTCAAAATATCACCAGTACTTCATATAACTTTTGTTTTCTAAAATCATTCCTTAGGAAGAAATGGCATATTTTTCTATTTTTTTAACAAAACAAGGTTACCTGGACAATTTCCTGAATAAAAGTACTGTGGAAAATCGATCAGCGAGAGAAACGATTTTTGATAAAAATGCACCTTTGTACGTCTTTGAATCAGATCGCCTACCATTATTTGACAAGAAAAATAGCAATAATAATTATGATAATGTTGAGTCAACAACTTTTTATAACTGGGATTATTTTATTCTCATGATAGATATTAAACCAATCAGAATGTTCAATTGAGTTAAGCTAACTTGACTAATGTAAAATTTCGAATAGACGTGGATGTACAGGGTGGGCAAAATTGGGCGTTTTCACCGCCTATCTCAATAACTAGAGGAGTTATCGAAAAACCGATATACATGTTCAGGGTTCGATTTTGGAGAAACCTCGAATGGTACAATCAAAATTTCGATATCTTCATTCGTTTCAGAGATACAGGGAGAAATTGAAAATTTGCCGATTTCGATTTTATTTTCTGACTACTTTACGGTGAGAGGTATCAAAAAATTTCAAAAGTATATTTATACAGGATGATACGTGGAATCCATTGGCATTATCAGAAATTTTGTACAGGGTGACGTTGAGAAAATACGGCAGCCAATTATGTTTTTTCTAATGGAACACCCCGTATATTTTGGCACAGTTGAATAGTCCCAGGCGTTTTCATTACAAATATATATATAACCCTACCTTTTCCTTCCACAATTTCAGATATATTCGCAAAAATAGTGTGTCACATTTCTTATGGTTACACCCCCGTATCTTCTGTAAGAATAATTGATGGAAACATTAACAATCACAATATTTTGTGGCAGAATGCCTGAATATGATACTTTACCCATTATTTCTAGTATGCCTCAATATTTTTGCGTTCAAAGAAATAATAAATAAGATATATATTTGAAATTGAAACGGGAACTTTCCAGCTCTGCCAAAATATACGGGGTGTTCCATAAAAAAAATTGTTCTGTATCTGGAATTTGGACATCTTCTATAAGGCTATATTTTTCAACGCAACCTACTGATTTCCTAATTGAGTAAATTATTGGTCTTATTTCTGTATCTCAAATGTCTTGATAACAATGATATCAAATCAAATAATTTCCCATTTTATTTCTCACCAAATATCCATTTATCTGGAAATCACATTCCCTATGATATTCATTTTCCACATTTGGTGAATATATACAGAGTGTCATTTTCAACCTCGATTCTGCCTGTTGATAGCATTATCCAGAAATATCGATGATTCCATAGCTGCTGGCGAGCAGTGTTATCATTGGAGATGATCCCACTTGGTCCATGACTCCATGAGTGTATTATTTGTATCTTTCTGACAGTTGCGAATTTTTGAATCCTACCTCAATTATTTTTACAGAAGATACGGAGGTGTAACCATAAGAAATGTGACACACTGAATATATTTTTGCGAATATATCTGAAATTGTGGAAGGAAAAGGTAGGGTTATGTATATATTTGTAATGAGAACGCCTGGGACTATTCAACTGTGCCAAAATATACGGGGTGTTCCATTAGAAAAAACATAATTGGCTGCCGTATCTTTTCAACGTCACCCTGTATAAAATTTCTGATGATGCCAATGGATTCCACGCATCATACTGTATGAATATACGTTCGAAATTTTTTGATACCTCCCACCGTAAAGTAGTCAGAAGATAAAATCGAAATCGGAAAATTTTCAATTTCCCCCTGTATCTCTAAAACGAATGGAGATATCGAAATTTTGATTGTGCCATTCGAGGTTTCTCCAAAATCGAACCCGGAACATGTATATCGGTTTTTCGATAACTCCTCTAGTTATTGAGATAGACGGTGAAAACGCCCAATTTTGCCCACCCTGTACATCAACAGGAAAGATTCGATCATATCATGTGATACATCATTGTGTAATCATAAAAAAAGGAGGGCGATTCACCATAAATGTCCTCCCTCCCTCTAGCTCACTTATTTTTGAACCGATTTGAAAATTAAAAAAATGATTTTTCAGAAGTTTTTTTCCGTTGCGTCAAAAAATACAGGGTGCTCGGAGGTACAAACGATCTATTGTATTGTATTTTTAAATTATTCCTGTAGAGCTGATTTCATCAATGTATCACACTTGGGGTCTAGCGGGAATGATCACAAAGATATATAGGGTGTTCGAAATCGAGATTTTTCAACTTATTTAGGATTTTTTTTGTTTCGAAACTATTCATTATTGGTCAAAACGGCTTCTATGACCCTATCTCAACTTTTGATTTACTATCTACTGACAATTAATAGGAACATTTACAGGGTGGTTCAAGATTCAGAATTTTGATCACCCTCTGTATCTGTTCCAATTATTAAATGTCAGTAGATAGTGAATCAAAAGTTAAGATACGGACATGAAAGCCGTTTTGACCGATAATGAATAGTTTTGTCATAAAAAATCCTAAAGTTGAAAAATCTCGATTTTGAACACCCTATATCTCTGTAATCATTCCCGCTAGACCCCAAGTGTGATGCATTGATCAAATCAGCTCTTCAGGGAAAATCTAAAAATACAATGAAAAATAGGGTGTTCCATTTAAAAAAAAATCATAAAGTACCCTCTAGATCGTTTGTTCCAAGCACCCTGTATTTTCTGATGTAGCGGAAAAAAACTTGATCGAAAATCATTTAAGATGATACTCAAAATTTTGAAATCTGTCCAAAAATAACTGAGCTATTGAAATCACGGTCACTGAAATACACATCAGACCAATATGTGAATTTGATCCGATGCACCAGAGAGAATAAAATCCCTCGTAAAGTCCACGCATTTGCCCATGATTCCTTCAACGACATAAAAAGCCTCGCCCCCGAAATTGGAAATAATTACTCTAAGAATACGGACAATGAGACATTCAAATTATCTAATTCGAAAATAGAGTTGAGAAGGAACATCCTGCTGCATTTTTCTACAAAAACTCCTACAGTGATTCAGAATTCAAGAAAGTTGAAGTCGAAAAGAATAATAGGAGATCAAGTAAGAAATACTCGAATTCCAATCGAACTGCCGGTTCTCTCAAGAAAATGTATAAGAGAAACCTCCTCATTTCGGAGAAGAAAAAAGGCCTGATGGATTCAATGAAGAAAAATATAATACCCAAATTTTTCATGTCTAGTTTATATCAGATCCAAAGTTTTTGTTTGTTTTGCTGTTTTAACTGTAATATAATTGTTCCTTTGTTTTGATGACAATAAATAAACTTATTTTTGCACGTATTCTTCAGCATTTCATTCGAAAATGTTCAATATTTTGCAGGAAATAGAAACAAAATTCTTCAATGTATATTTGAAAAAGTGACACATTTTCAATTTTTCTTCAAAAACAATTATTTTTTATAGACATCAAAAGAAACTGAGGTACTGGACTAAGAAGACCATATTGTAACAAGTTTGAAAATTTCAAACAGATAATCGATTATACCTAGGAGATAATACAATTTTATTAAATTTGAAATTTTAAAAATGCTCTCCTGAAAAAAGAACAATTTTGAAATGTTTCACTATTCTGTAGACGCAGTAATATATGGTTGTAAATGAAAGTTATAATGAAGTACTGGTGATATCTAAACATTCCCGAGAGGAGAAGAGGAACCCTGGAAGTTGATATTGGTGAATAATAACTCCATTCATATATCATTTGAATGTTCCCTAATCTCAAATATGATGTATATCAATATAAAAATTTCTTGAGAAATAAATACCTATTAAATATCTAGAGGAAACAATAAATCAAACAATGAAAGTACTTGATTACATCTCACATGTATTTTCCAGTTTTCAATAAATATGTATTTTCATAATGAAAACTACATAAATTCTCTAAACATATCACTCATTCATTATTTACAATAAATCAACTCTTACCAGTGTCATGTCACTACTGAATAAAAATTACATAGGCAAAATAATCAGTTGAATAAACAGCATATTATTATAATACTTCAACAACAAAAAACTATTGTTCAAGTAACTTTTCAAACAGAATTTCAACATCCAAAACATATGGATAATTTTATTTTTGATAACTCCCTTGGACGTCAACTTTGCTAGTATTTTGATCACCATAAAGCTAATTAGTAATTATAAAAAAGATATTGAAAAATCAGTACAAGCAGACCAAAACGTCTTATTCCAGATAAATGAGGAAAAAAATCTCAAAAGCCTCAGTCAACAGTCAATGTTCTTTAAAAAATCATCATAGGGGCGTGGCCTACTGAAATTACACTCCGCCCACCTTCCAAAACCAACAAGCGGAATGGAAAACCAAGGCCAAGTGGAAAGTAGAAGCCGCGGTGTTGCAGCACTACCCCCTCCAACGCTATAAAACGAGGCGTGCCGTGTCACTCCCACCTTCCCATAAACTTTTAACGCGGCGCAGGAGGAGGCGGGGCGTACTGGAAGTACATCCCGCCGCTCATTCGCTGCGAGTTGCCAGGCGGTGGGGGAGGCGGAGTATTGAAGAACAGCGTACCATTGGTCGGCGCGTTCGAAGACATACGGTAATTACCGAAAGTATTCGATTGCGGCGGAGGCGGCGGCAGGTTTTGATACGCCATCAATGGCTGAGTGGTGGGAGGCTGCTGCTGCTGCTGGAATTGACGCTGCTGATTGGCCTGGATGGGCGGGGCTTGCTGGGAGTGGCCTTGCGGAGGCATCTGTTGGGAGAATTTGGAGAAGTGAGAACCAGTTTTTAATGCTCATTATTTGCTTATTTCTTCTGCGGATCAGACATCACATTCCAAGGACCTCTGAGGACCGCTGCCAAATCGACAATTTGAGATGATTTTTCGGATACAAAATCATAATCAACAATATGTATTGGTAATATTCCTAATTAGAAATAAAAAATCGATTGTCTCAAAATTTTTCCTCATGTGTTGTGGCTTATTGCTTATAATACATTTGTGTAAATAATAATAATTATATTTGTTTGTTGAGGGATTTTCTTGAATCCTGTTATGTTTTCGATTTGCAGCTTCTTCTTGGGGTTGAAAACGTGAGAAGTGATGCAAAAATTAATTTAGGCCCCTGACGACACAGTGGAGTACTTGAATGTCAATAATTCATTATCAGTCCACTCCCCCTTTGTCAGAAATTCAATTCTTTTCCGGCTGTTGTGTGATTTGTTTTGTCAGTAACTTATTCAATATTATAAATCTAAATCAGACTATTTTGTGTATGAATATATTTCAACAGTAGGAAATCTTTATCTTAAATAGATATTTAATCAAGTATGTAGAAATTTGATCCATTGGCGGTCTTGTTTGGGAGCTTGATTTTGTTGATGAAAAGTATCAAGATATTGAAAATATCAAAACGTGAGAGAAAATGTATTGATGCTCATACACACATTTATAGATACTCAATACATTAGATATATTCAATATGTATATAAAAAGAATAATAATTCTCTGGCAATGATGCCACAGAGTTATCCCCACCATTCGCGATTACATTCATTTATAAGTCTTTAGCGTTTAGGATTGTTGGTATATACTTGTAAATTAATAACGGTGCCTACCTATTGTCATTTAGTTTGAGGGTTTACTCACTTGTTGCATATGTATTTGCACCTGTGGCCTTATAGGCGGGGGCTGCTGCAAATGCTGTGGCACGCCCTGCCTGGGCGGAGGCTGCTGCATGTTTTGCCTAAGTTGCGGTGGCAACTGCTGCATGTTTTGTCTAAGAACCTGCTGTTGCTGGTTCTGCATGGGCTGTTGTTGGTTCTGCATGGGCTGTTGCTGATTCTGCATGGGCTGTTGCTGATTCTGCATGGGCTGTTGCTGGTTCTGCATGGGCTGTTGCTGATCCTGCATGGACTGTTGATGGTTCAGTCTCGCAGGTGCGGGCGGTTGTTGATGGTTCTGAAGGGGGGCGGGAGTTGGAACTTGCGGAGGCGGGGGACGGTTTATAATGGCGGCAGGCGGAGGAGGTTGCTGAATGGGTCTCGGAGGGAGTGTTTGCTGTGACATCAAGGGAGGCGGTTGGCTCAGGGGTTGGGTTTGCGGGGGAGGAGAAGGTGGTCGGCCCTAAAAATTACGAGACTACTTACTTGTAGGAACGGATTATCAAAGAGGTATGTTTGCTTACCTTTAGTAGCGGCGACGCTGACCTAGATCTGGATCTGGACCGTGAAACGGACCTGTTCGATCGAACAGGGGACCTGGATCGGCCTCTGCTCGAACTTCTTGACCTCTTCCTTCTGCCCCTGTCTCTCGAACGGCTTCTTTGTCTCCTAGATCGTTTGGGAGATCGAGATCTGGACCGCGAGGGAGATCTTAGTCCGCCGCCTCTACCGCGACCCCATCCTCGTCTTCCTAGAATGAAAGATCCGTATGTTAAGGCTAGACAACCCCGGAACCTCGAAGTTTGGGATCTATCTGATGCCCAAACTTTTTTTCTCAACTCGTAGGTATTCATGGGTACATCATTTTCTGATGAAATGTCCACCGGAAAATGACCGGAAGGGCGGGAAATATGACACTTAGAGATGTGGGGTTTGGCTAGAGACGGATAGCAGTTCAGTACATACCCTTATGATTTTTTTCGCTGCACTAATATTTCTTACAAACAAGCATTGCAAAAATCCTTAGTTTTCAGAGGCTGAAAATATGTTTATTTACAACCATATATGTAATGTTGTCATTACTAACGTCATTGAAGATTGGGAAGTGTCACATTACACACCTCTACTTCTCCCCCTCATTCCCGTCTCGAAATTATAGCTAACCTCGACGCTTTGCGTCTCGGTTAACTAGTATCTCACGACAGGAATGAATCGATTCTCACCTCGGTGTGTAATATACTATTTTTTTTATCAAAGTCTGGCACGAGGGGTCTGGAAAAACATCAGTCTCCATTTTTCGAACAGTGACCAATTGTAGATGACGCCACCAACTTTCTTCCTGTATGCGAAATTATTACGGCGATAAACAAGGCCATGGCAAATGAACTAGTGTTGAAGCCGGTACATGATAATTTCTTTTTGGACTGAGCCCTTGAGCTACACATATTGAATTTCTGGAAACAAGGCTAACAAATGGATGTGAAACTTGCGAAAACTATGTTCTGCATGTGAAGATATCCTCAAGTCTAGGGGTTTTTGTCTTGATCGGATTGATCATTGTGGAAGAGGTTCGAATATTTCCCTGCTATTGACCTCGGCAATGTACTGCAAAGATTTGAAATTTTTTTGCATTTTCTTGGCAATAATTTATAGTCATTATTTGAAAATTAGAACTGTTGTTGAGTAGGTATTGACTAGATATGTGTCTACCACCATTCGCGATTTCATTCAACCAACCGTGTTTTGACGTTTAGGATCGTGGGAAGTTCAGATGTTGTTGGTAGTGAAGGTGTACGCGGTGCCGGTGAAAAGTTATCTCCACCATTCGCGATTTTATTCATTTATCCATGTTAGGCGTTTAGGATTGTTGGCATATACATTTTGACGATTAATAGACGAATTGCGGTGGCAATCTATCGTTATTAAGTCTAAGCACTCATCCGCAACTGTCTGTCTGATATTATCCCCACCATTCGCTATTCCATCCATTCAACCGTGTTTTGGCGTTTAGGATTAGTGACGTATATACTTTTCAATGATTTAAGAATGAATTGCTGTGTCTACTTATCGTTATTTAGTCTGAGCACTCACTCACACCTGTATAAGTGTCTGTTAGTATCCCCACCATTCGCGATTTAGGATCGTTGGCGTATACTTTTTAGAGATTTATGAATAAATCGTGATCAGACTCTTACCTCGCCCTCCGGAATTTCCGGAGTTCCCGTAGCCCCGTTCGGCCATATCCTGCAGCTTCGGATTGATCACCTGTTTGGCCTCCTTCAGCACTGCCACCAGATCAGCGGCTTTGTTGAAGTTGTTCGGCGTGAAGAAGGTATACGCGGTGCCGGTGCGCTGCGACCTTCCTGTGCGCCCAATGCGGTGCACGTAGTCCTCAGAGTTTGACGGATAGTCGAAGTTGATCACGAACTTGACGTCCTCCACGTCTGTAAAGCCGTGAACGGTCGGATTAGTGATCGGCATGGCATGAATGGGAAATGAACGATTGACAAATGAGTTTGGTACACGCGTCGACATACTACTGTCTAGGCCGCTGGTCATACCGGGTGTGAACGAATCGATCAGACAAATCATAACTTCTATAATATCGAAATAAGATTTACTGTAGGTGAATAGTACATATTTTTCCCATCTCCGCCAGGTTTTACAAGAAATGGCTCCGGTTTTGATTTATCAAATGGAAAACCCTGTATATTGGAACAATTTTGGATCAAAATGTGACATGGATTCAACGCCTACTTTATATTTCAAGACACTTTCGATATTGCACAAAATTAAGGAACTCATAAAGCTTATGTTACTTATGTTTTGTTTTCCAAAGCAGACAGGATGGGAAATATTATGCGTCATGGCCATCTATGGCACACTCAACAAAAGTAAATGAATTATTATCCAGTATTTTCCTTAGTAATATTTTATGACTGTTCTTATTTTCAATCCAACCGCAAATTGGTATCGTTAGATTCGTAAAAATAAAACATTTTTTTCGGAAAGTGCTTATCATAAAATAGTCACGAAAAATAATAGTTGAGACTAGATGAAGTAATTTTGCCAACTTGTCTCATTCAAACTTGGCGATTGTGATTGTCCTTAGATTAGTCTTCGTCCGATTATGGCAACCTAGATGCAATATTAAAAACGGTTAAAGAAATGAAGTAGGCGTAAAACCTAAAAATATCACATTCTAATCCAGCATTGTCTGAGGAATCCAAAAATGTTAGAATACACATCAAGGTAATCCATTTAAAAATTATAAACTGAAGAAAGTGACAAATATGCAGAAACTCTCCTCTGCACATACCCATTTACCTATACATTGGATTTCTATAAAAAAAGAAAACGTTTTCGATTTTCCATACATATTCATAATCAGCCTCAATAACTGTTTTTCACTGTCGCCCAAGTCAAAATAAATTATTAACAAGAGAACAACTCTCATATGATGCGGTCTGAGACACTGATTACTAATAATATAATTAGAATGCGTCAGCGGTAGTAAGCTTATGAAAGAAAACATACATTGTACATAATATATTGATAATTATTTTCAAATACATGAAATGGGCATAATTGAATTTTTTTCAAAGAATGCTTGTTTTTCGGCATACTTCTGCAATAGAACGAGCAAATTTGAGATACATATGTAAAATCGGAATAAAAACAACATTTCTCAATACAATATTCAGCAATTAATTTGAAAAAAATGTAACGTGTAGCGAAAATCATGAAACCCGACCGAGTAGGTCAAGTTAGGTCAGGTATGTGAAAGACAATGTATAAATGATGACTCAGGATGCTTTGAAATAATACATGAAATAGTAATCAAGTAATTTATGTGAATAGGAACTTTCTGATGGCTACCTATTCATCAGAGACCTTCCACCGACAAAATTTAGAATATAACTTTTTGGAAAATTTGTTCGTTGGAAATTAATGATATAAAAATCCACAGAATTGTAATATAAATTCACTCAGTTTAGCAGTAGCAGCCACAGAACAGTTGCCGCACCCGTGTTCTCCAAGATATCTTCGAACTGAAAAATAAATGCATCTGAAAGAACTATTGTTTGAAACTCATAGAAGCCATTTTGAAAAATAGGCAGATATGTCATGTGATTTGGAAATGATATAATTTTTCAGATACATTTATGAACGAAACGTCAATATACAATATAATTAAGTTTGACAAAACAAACCATCCTCAATAAATAACCATTTTTTTCCTGAGTATGAGAAGTGTCAGTTCTTTATACAGATTAAATACAGAATTGACTTGTATAAAGCCTCATGAAACTTTCATCATAAGGCAAAATGTTTCATAAGTACAGTTTAAAACTTTAGGATTCAATTCATTACTATACCCGGTGACACTAACTCATGGTATGTCCCCCTTTTCTCCTTTATTTTTCTACCTATATTTCCGAAATTTGGAACATCGAATATGCTTACTGGGGACCACTTTCTCAGTTCGCGTTCGAAGTTTCCATAAGCTCAATGAGTGTGACAGAGAAGTTTCGATATTGCGCCGTCACACCCTCATTCACTTCGAAGGTGAATATCTTCGTAATCGTCTGAAATAACCCAATCATACCCGGTATTGTTGACTTCATAATAATAATCACTAACCAATTATAGAATAAAATACAGGGTGTTCTATTTGAAAATCGAAAGTTGATGTCATTTCCAGGAAAACCGGAAGATGGAACAAATTTCCTGAAATGTGAGAAATCGAGCATATTCGATGTTCCAAATTTCAGAAATATAGCTAGAAAACCATAGAAAAGGGGGTATACTATGAGTCTGTGTCACCCAGTATTTCAAGAGAGAGTTTCCGTGAACATGCGTCCGAAATAATTACATTTCGAAAACAGGATGTTGAAGATATTGAAAACTTTGCTACGCCACCGGTAAAAGAACATTGATATTGCATTTGAAATATAGCTCTTCACTAACGTGAATTGCAAACATTTATTTGAAAAATTAAATTTCGCCTGGAATTTTCATTGCAAAGTTATGCACCATATCTAGAAAACACCCTGAATACTTATAATCCATGGAATAAACCCATGAGTAGAAGATTTCTTTCCAAATTTACACTACAACATTAAAAACTAATTCAAAATTGATTGTTTAGGCAATATATAGAATTGATTTGATTGTTACTAGCGTCCATAGTAACGAAGAATAAAAAACCAAATGAATTGATTTCCATAAAATAAAAATAAAACTAATATTTAGGATGATTTCTTCAAAACTTAACTGTTTGATAACACTGCTTACAATTCCAAGTGATGATGAATAAAATATCAATAGATAGCATACTAGTGGATTCTGCACAGGGTGGCTGGAATTAGAGCCACAGCATCGAGACTTCGTTAATCATGAATCACAGGCTCTAATCAAAGTACATCAGTTAAAAAAATATTTGTTGATCTTTCGGAGCGCACGAAAGTAAATTCCTATAATGTTCGAAGAACATCGTGCGTACCTACTTTATCTAGGATGAAGTACTATGAATAATAGTTGTAGTTTTTGAAGTAAAATGCCATATATTATTCCCTTAGGGAGAAATAATAAAGAGAGGTTCATAGTCCCTATTCCATCTTGCCCTCCATTATTTGATCAGAGAATAATATATGGCATTATACTGCAAAAACACAACTATTATACTTACATTATGAACTAGTCGTAAATAAAATACCTAAAAAAATACGAGGAATAATATTGATGATACTAGTAATATCTATTGTCCTGACAGTTGTATATCTCCCAGGTGACCCACGGGATTTTTTTCCATTAGATTGTGGAGAAAATCACATGAACACAATACACCAAGTAGTCAATTCCTATAGATTCATGGAGGTAATTATTATATAATACTATATAGGAGTGCACAATTATTCAAGAATCTGAATACCTTTGATTCATTTTTTTTTAAATTTTTCTTACTGGATGTGCCATTAAAGACTATATCCACTTTGAAATAATTTGGATATCGGTTGATTTTTGATTATTTCACATAATAATAAACGTAGGTATTCCGAAAAGTGATTGAGGGTGGATGATTTCAAAGTCACTTACATGGTATATTATATCGTTTCTAGATGAAAAGGGACAGAAAAATAAATAAATGCCAATAAACGAGAATTCTAATATTAATGATAACCAATATAGTATCCAAGTTGGAAATCTTAGGGCGCCTGTCTCGGTAATCGGAAGTTCTTCAAGGTTTTTTTAGTAAAAATAAATGAATATAATTCAGGAAAGGACTAACAACACTTTGTTAAGACATCTTAATTTTGTTTCATCTAGCTGAAGATGATCGACAAAATCAAAATATCTCTCCACAAAAGTGAGCACTCAAAGTCAACTCAGTAGTAGAAGTATAAAAAAAAATTAACTAAAAAAATGTAGCATCAGATCCCAACAACAAATGAACTTGGTAAACTTTGAGTCATCATCTTTTCAATGCAATTTGAAACGATTATCCTTTATAAAATATACAAACCATCATAGGCTGCATCCAAGTCTCAAAAATGCTAAACCATAAGCCAGTCATCACCACAAAATCCCGACAAACACAAACAAACATAACCCCCACAAATACCTACGGGCAGTTAGGTCAGACTAGAGTTTCTGAATGTACTTGACACTGCTGTTTTGACGTTTTTTGTATATTAGAGTAGGGACACTACAAAAAAGCAGTGATAATCAAACATAACCAAAAAAGAATTGTGTTTTGCCAGACAAGGACAAGAATATGTTTTTCGCTTAGATAAAGGATCCTTGCATCGTCCTTCCTCCACAAGTCCTGGGAAGAGTACATCCATATATCTTTCTCTGTCTTTGAATTTTGTATGAGAGTGCATAGCGTCACCTCGAATGGGTAAAAGGGTACAATAAATTGATTAGAAAATTATTTCTTCTCGAAATATTGAATAAGGCTGGAGGACCTCAATGGAGGTCGATATCAAGTTGGTATATACATATATACCAACAAAATACATAAACTATTCCTATGGAATAAGTCTCTTATATGTAGGTATATATTTATACGTTCAGTTGAATATTTTTTCAACACAAAAGTTGTAAAAACTGATAAATGTCAACCAATGAACAAATGATATGGCAACACTAACAGCTGATTTCAGTTTTGATAAATTATAAAGGTTCTCCAAGACATATTGAAGTAGGTATAAATGGACTTCAGCACTCGACTCACTCTAGATTTTTGCAAATATTATATTCAATATGTTATTAGAATCTTCCATTCGGTTTCTCAAATGCAAAAGTTTTTCATATTATTGTTCATTGCAACTATGAATTTTGCTCAAAATTGCCTGGATATTTGCTTGTTGAATTTTCTTGTATTTCTCTGAATACATTTGCTGGTTTTGTTTCGAATGTGAAATAATTTTTAGGTAATAGTTCTGAATTTTGCTAACTCTGACTTTTGTACCTAAAATCTTTTTGCTTCAACTCATTTTCCAACTATCTATTTTTTTCTTCTATTCGTTTCCTGAATTCCTCACTCTCTTCCACTTGTGAACCTAGGATTTTTGAATATTCCTGCTTCGATTCTCAAGTCTTTTTTTTGTTTTTTTTCCAAAATATGTTCGAAATGAATTTTATTATCTGCACGTTTTTTGTTTCTTGTAGGATACTCGCTAAGTTTATAAATTGTAGGTTCGGCTCTTTCTCTCAATACGATCCTATTCTTCAACATAAAATCTTCCGTTCTGAAGTGTACCTACTAAAAATGCGTTGAAAAATGTTCTATATCCTACCAAGAAATTTAAATACCTCGCAAATTTTGTCGCCTGAACCTATATTCTATGACGGCCGCATCATAAGCTGTTTCCATTTTTGTAGTATTACATTATGGATGGAAATTCGAATAAAGTGAATTGATTTCCCGTGTTCTCACAGTTGGAAACTGCACAAACTTGCATCTTTCTCCTAATTCTCTCAATTTGTCAAACCCGTGAGATTCATGTCATGTACGTCCGTGTACTGTCAGTTCCCGCTATTTCCATCAATTTATTTGTGGTTATGTCTGATTATCAGTGCTTGTCATAGTGTCCGTACTCTAATATACAAAACAGCAGTGTCAAGTACATCTAGGAACCCTAGTTCAGACGAATGTGTGTAAAGTGAACGGAAAACCGGAAAGCCACCCATAACGTCGATCGGTCGTGCGTCTCGTCTAGATATAATCATGTACAATCATACCACAAAGACTCAGACCAGAGAGCGCGCATGCGCCACGGGCGGCTGCCGGCGCAGTCGCAGTCGAGCCGCCAGTCCAAAAATCAGACTCCGGCGTTGTGGCGAGCGGGGGGGGGGGCTGAAGGGGCCCCAGGTTATAGCCGGCAGGGGGCGCATGACCGCCACCGCTGACTTCAACTTGGTGGGCCTTTCAGACGGGCCCCCGTGCGTGCGATAGAGAGGCACAGCCGCGCAAATGACATTTTTTCAACACGTCATTTTAACTTGCTAGTGCCTCTGGAACAGAGAGTAGGGCCAAGTTTATTTTCGATGGATTATTAGACGGCCTATGTGCATATTTTTTTTTTTTTTGGTCAACAGGCTAATATTTTATAGCGATAAGCTGACGAGAATAATAATTGTCGGACCCACTGTGACTCTTGATCAGCCCTGTATGAATATAAGTTTCGATTTCATATGAGTAATAAGTTTCATCTTGAAAAGGCCTAATTACAATCCAATCTACACCAAACTTATGATATTCAATGTTTCAAAGTCTCATTATTATTTATCTTCAGAAAGCTGTCTTTTTCAAATATTGGCATCAACTGTGTGACAGTTGGGTAGATCCCAGGAATCATGAAAACCCTCATAATCCAATCTACACCAATTTAAGAACAATGGGATATGATTTTTTGTTTCAAAGTCTCATTATTTCTCTTCGGAAAGCTTTTTCTCATAAATTGAGTATTATTCCTGTTGAGAGTTGGGTGAATCCCAGTTATCTTGTAAAATCCCATTCCTCCTAGTCAAAAATGGTAGGTTTTGAATTTCCAACTCAACTCAACAAATGTCTCTATTTTAATAGATACCAACAATCAAATTTTAAATTCATGAATGAAAAATTACATACAGAACTAATGAGATATTGGCACTTTTGGAAATATTCCTCAGAACTTTGGATGTTATTCCAAAGAGAAATAGTGTGCAAGAAAACGAATTCAACTTTTTTCAATTGGTCATCACCTGATTGAAATCCATAGTAATTGAATATATTTCACAAATGATAAGGATTCCACAGAATTCTAGAAAACACTAATACAGTAGCTTCATCAGGTAAGGGTTATTTATTTTATCCGAAAATATGGCTAATTAATTAGCTCTGTCCAGACTAATCCTTAATTTCGAGAACTCAACATGACATTCTGTATCCCAAGAAATATGTAACCAAAGGAGTACATAATCAAGAGTGTGGTTTTTCCTACCCCCTCCCAGCCATCCCAGATTCAAAATTCGATGTAAATATTTCAGGGACATATTGTTGGGATCTGAATAAGACTTTTTCTCTTCTTCATATAAACAGTACTGCACGCCTCTGAAATAGCAGTCTCAAATGCGTTTGACCCATTCGATAACCATGTTGTGTCTTCCCCCTCTCTTTAATTGCGATTTACTGGCAAATGATTAGTTGTATGAAAAAGATGCAAGAGTTCTAATTCTTACTTTTTATGGCTCACAAGATCATGCTATTCAGTCAGAGATTCTGTTTTTACACATAAAATTTGGGCCAATAAAAGTATGGACCCCCCTCCAACACCCCCAAAACTGGGCTTACATCATTTTTGAAGCAAGAAGGAAATAAAGTTTGCCAATTTTCAGAGGGGGTGCATTTCAAGACACATCTTTACATAAAAAAGTATTATTCTGATGCCAACATTATGTCCTTATAATATTTACATAATATTTCACCCTGTATATTGACAAACAGGTAAGAAAGTAAATTCACGTTCCACTTAACAGTTTCCATGACACCTTCAAAGAATATACATGTATAAAATAAGGAAAATGAAATAAGAGAAATCAACAAACTCTAAAATTCACAATAATTATTGAATATTGTTTTCTCAGTAATAGGGTTACTAATCCTGTCCTTTTCAAGTAAATTAGCATATTTTTCAGGATACAGAATTATGATAAAGTTTGTAGATTATCTTCAAATTGAGGTAGTTAGTTAGCCACAAGTATTTAATACCCTCAGGTTCAAAAGTAACATAATTATTAGTAATTTAATGTACTGTAGGAATACATTAACTGAAGATATGTCAGCAAAAAATCTTGTGTTTTTGAGAATATTGGGTGAACCTATTTAAATAATTGAAACCTTACTGATATTTACTATTAACATAAACATTAGAGATCCATGTTCATACTTTGTTATTATATTGACCAGAAAAAAAAAATGAATGTAATGTTGGAAAAATCACAGCAGAAAAAATAAAAACAAATGAACAGGTACATTATAAGCTATTAGCCTGCTAATCAAGAAATCAGATACATTCTTGGGTTTCCAGTAGACAGACTTACCTAGACCTCTTGCTGCTACATCTGTAGCTACAAGAATGGGAGCTTTATTATTTCTAAAATCTGAAACAATAAATGGAAATTAAAATATTATAGTCTCAAAATTACAAAAAAAACAGGAAAATTCACCCTCCTAGAAAGCAGAAAGGTGACAAACATTTCTAATAAAAAAATGTCAATTTACCTTGTAATACCCAATCACGCTCTTGCTGAGACTTGTCTCCATGAATACAAACAGCTGGCCACCTTGAACAAACAAAGTAAACAATGAAAAAACTTAATAATAATCTTCCCATAACATTCATACCCATCTCTCTTCATTTTCCTAGTAATATCATCAACTTTCCTCTTAGTCTCAATAAAAATAATGGTCTTGTTCTCCTTCTCAGCCATGATCTCTTTCAAAAGGGTACTCAATTTGGTCTCTTTCTCAAATTCCTGACACACATCAATAATCTGCAATATATTGTGGTTTGCAGATAACTGCAGAGACCCAACATTGATTTGAACATAATCCTTCAAGAATTCTTGTGCCAGGTTCTGTACTTCTTTTGGCCATGTTGCTGACCACATGAGAGTCTGGCGATCTGGCCTAATCTATAGAAAAGAATAAATGAAAACTTCATCATGTAATAAGAGATTGATACAATGTGATAAATCTCCAGGAAATATTACAAATTAAGCTCTATGGTCTAGGTAAAACAAAGCAACATAATTGATGTGATAAAATGGCCACTTACCTGGTCAATGATTTTTCTTATTTGGGGTTCAAAACCCATATCCAGCATTCTGTCAGCCTCATCCAAGACAAGGTAGGTACACCGTTTCAAATTAGTTCTGTTGCTTTCCAGAAAGTCAATTAGACGGCCAGGGGTAGCAATGACTATTTCCACTCCATCCATGAGGTCATTAGCCTGGGGCCCTTTTGGGGCTCCTCCAAATACACAAGTGTTCCTGATTTTAGAGGCATGACCAAAGTCACTACAAATCTGAAAATTAATGTTCAATGGGTCTTGATCAATCCATGTAAATTAGAAAAGGTATAGACTGCCCACCACTAGGCAAACTATATTTTTCCTTTAGACTGCTGACCATTCAGTGAAATACATTATTTCTGTATAAAACCTGTCAGAAACAAAAAAAAAGTAGACTGCCGACCATTCAGTGGAATACATTATTTCTGTATAAAACCTGTCAGAAACAGAAAAAAAAAGTTGATTGCCGACCATTCAGTGGGACCATTCAGTGAAATACATTATTTCTGTATAAAACCTGTCAGAAACAAAAAAAAAAAGTAGACTGCCGACCATTCAGTGAGACCATTCAGTGGAATACAATATTTCCGTATAAAACCTGTCAAAAACAAAAAAAAAAGTAGACTGCCGACCATTCTTAGACTGCCGACCATTCTTAGACTGCCGACCATTCTTAGACTGCCGACCATTCAGTGGAATACATTATTTCTGTATAAAACCTGTCAGAAACAAAAATAAAAGTAGACTGCCGACCATTCAGTGGGACCATTCAGTGGAATACATATTTTTCTGTATAAAACCTGTCAGAAACGAAAAAAAAAAGTAGATTGCCGACCATTCAGTGGAAGACATTATTTCTGTAAAAAACCTGTCAGAAACAAAAAAAAAGTAGACTGCCGACCATTCAGTGGGACCATTCAGTGGAATACATTATTTCTGTATAAAACCTGTCAGAAACGAAAAAAAAAAAAGTAGACTGCCGACCATTCAGTGGGACCATTCAGTGGAATACATATTTTTCTGTATAAAACCTGTCCGAAACAAAAAAAAAGTAGATTGCCGACCATTCAGTGGCACCATTCAGTGGAAGACATTATTTCTATATAAAACCTGTCAGAAACAAAAAAAAAGTAGACTGCCGACCATTCAGTGGGACCATTCAGTGGAATACATATTTTTCTGTATAAAACCTGTCCGAAACAAAAAAAAAAGTAGATTGCCGACCATTCAGTGGCACCATTCAGTGGAAGACATTATTTCTATATAAAACCTGTCAGAAACAAAAAAAAAGTAGACTGCCGACCATTCAGTGGGACCATTCAGTGGAATACATTATTTCTGTATAAAACCTGTCAGAAACGAAAAGAAAAGTAGATTGCCGACCATTCAGTGGGACCATTCAGTGGAAGACATTATTTCTGTATAAAACCTGTCAGAAACAAAAAAAAAAAAAAGTAGACTGCCGACCATTCAATGGGACCATTCAGTGGAATACATTATTTCTGTATGAAACCTGTCAGAAACAAAAAAAAAGTAGACTGCCGACCATTCAGTGGGACCATTCAGTGGAATACATATTTTTCTGTATAAAACCTGTCCGAAACAAAAAAAAAAAAGTAGATTGCCGACCATTCAGTGGCACCATTCAGTGGAAGACATTATTTCTATATAAAACCTGTCAGAAACAAAAAAAAAAAGTAGACTGCCGACCATTCAGTGGGACCATTCAGTGGAATACATTATTTCTGTATAAAACCTGTCAGAAACGAAAAGAAAAGTAGATTGCCGACCATTCAGTGGGACCATTCAGTGGAAGGCATTATTTCTGTATAAAACCTGTCAGAAACAAAAAAAAAAGTAGACTGCCGACCATTCAATGGGACCATTCAGTGGAATACATTATTTCTGTATAAAACCTGTCAGAAACAAAAAAAAAAGTAGACTGCCGACCATTCAGTGGGACCATTCAGTGGAATACATATTTTTCTGTATAAAACCTGTCCGAAACAAAAAAAAAGTAGATTGCCGACCATTCAGTGGCACCATTCAGTGGAAGACATTATTTCTATATAAAACCTGTCAGAAACAAAAAAAAAGTAGACTGCCGACCATTCAGTGGGACCATTCAGTGGAATACATTATTTCTGTATAAAACCTGTCAGAAACGAAAAGAAAAGTAGATTGCCGACCATTCAGTGGGACCATTCAGTGGAAGACATTATTTCTGTATAAAACCTGTCAGAAACAAAAAAAAAAAGTAGACTGCCGACCATTCAATGGGACCATTCAGTGGAATACATTATTTCTGTATAAAACCTGTCAGAAACAAAAAAAAAAGTAGACTGCCGACCATTCAGTGGGACCATTCAGTGGAATACATATTTTTCTGTATAAAACCTGTCCGAAACAAAAAAAAAAGTAGATTGCCGACCATTCAGTGGCACCATTCAGTGGAAGACATTATTTCTATATAAAACCTGTCAGAAACAAAAAAAAAAGTAGACTGCCGACCATTCAGTGGGACCATTCAGTGGAATACATTATTTCTGTATAAAACCTGTCAGAAACGAAAAGAAAAGTAGATTGCCGACCATTCAGTGGGACCATTCAGTGGAAGACATTATTTCTGTATAAAACCTGTCAGAAACAAAAAAAAAAGTAGACTGCCGACCATTCAATGGGACCATTCAGTGGAATACATTATTTCTGTATAAAACCTGTCAGAAACAAAAAAAAAAGTAGACTGCCGACCATTCAGTGGGACCATTCAGTGGAATACATATTTTTCTGTATAAAACCTGTCCGAAACAAAAAAAAAGTAGATTGCCGACCATTCAGTGGCACCATTCAGTGTAAGACATTATTTCTATATAAAACCTGTCAGAAACAAAAAAAAAGTAGACTGCCGACCATTCAGTGGGACCATTCAGTGGAATACATTATTTCTGTATAAAACCTGTCAGAAACGAAAAGAAAAGTAGATTGCCGACCATTCAGTGGAAGACATTATTTCTGTATAAAACCTGTCAGAAACAAAAACAAAAGTAGACTGCCGACCATTCAATGGGACCATTCAGTGGAATACATTATTTCTGTATAAAACCTGTCAGAAACAAAAAAAAAAGTAGACTGCCGACCATTCAGTGGGACCATTCAGTGGAATACATATTTTTCTGTATAAAACCTGTCCGAAACAAAAAAAAAAGTAGATTGCCGACCATTCAGTGGCACCATTCAGTGGAAGACATTATTTCTATATAAAACCTGTCAGAAACAAAAAAAAAGTAGACTGCCGACCATTCAGTGGGACCATTCAGTGGAATACATTATTTCTGTATAAAACCTGTCAGAAACGAAAAGAAAAGTAGATTGCCGACCATTCAGTGGGACCATTCAGTGGAAGACATTATTTCTGTATAAAACCTGTCAGAAACAAAAAAAAAGTAGACTGCCGACCATTCAATGGGACCATTCAGTGGAATACATTATTTCTGTATAAAACCTGTCAGAAACAAAAAAAAAGTAGACTACTGACCAGTTGCTGACCAGTCAGCATATTTCTCTGTGGTTAGACATTGGCTTGTGAATCATATGGTCCCATGTTCAAATTTGAGTATTCAAGTAATTATTAATGAAGCCATGAATAGTCATATAAATGGTTTACATACATTTTTAGGTACAAAATGAGCTTTAAATGCTTGTGTGTGCACCAATCATTATTAAATCACATTTACAACAGAAAATTCACTAATGAGGGAATTTGATAATGAGTCATCTTATATACTTATATTTACAATCTGAATATATACAATATATGCAATAAATGTCAAACTAATAGCTAGATCTAGATATTCTGCTTTTCAAAATCCAAGATGATATTTTATTTTAGATTTGTTTGTATGGTTTGCCTTTTGAGTTCATTTGGCAGTATGGACCACTTTATGAAAAACTTTAAGACTTTAGATTCATCACCTAACATTTAAGGCTCATCACTTATGACAGATGGAACATGGAAACATCATTGGTTATGTTAAAAAAACCATTTAAGACTTATGATTTAAAATTCAAGATTCAAGAAGATGACCAACTTCCAACTTAAGAAGTGCTGATAAATGATCATAAATGGAATAAGGAGTGCGCATCCAAAAGTGACATCTCAATTTCCCACCATTCAAAAATAATTCAAAATATCTTGTGTTGTTATTCCTGAATATTTATGAACCGTTCTTCACCGAAATACTCTAGAATGTTGCAACTCTGTTGCTTCCATATTTGGCAAAAGATCCAAGGAGTGAGCCAGTTTCTGTTAGGCAAGCAATAGTGATTACTTTCAAAATGATGTGGAGATATAATGGATGTGCTGGGTATCATTTCAGGAATATAAATATAAATTAATAGAATGATATCAAAACATGAAATTTTGATTTCCAACCAGTTTCTAACTTACTAAACTCTGAAAATCTGGTTCTGTATCAGAAACTAGATGTCAGTAATGACAGAAGACATGTATTGCCCTAGAATCTTAATTTTTTTTATAACTGTTTCCACTTAAGACTCTCAAGTCTTGAATGTTTAAATGTTAAATCTTAAATGCTAAAAGTTTTTATAGAGTCACCCTATGTTATAAATTTCAGAGTCTTATATAAAATGAACTTTGCTGAATAGTTACACAAGATATAGTAGAAATGATTACATTTTCATTTGTTACTAATCTAGTTGTTATCCCACATGGAACAGTTTTTTTTTCAATTTTTTTTAGCAATCAATTTTTATTCATTATATTTTTGTTTCACTAATCAGTTAGTCTGTTTGAGTTGCCTATACATCACTTCCTTCCTCCATTGTTAGTTTACAAGATTTTTTTGATCCACCAGTAACAGTATATCTCATTCATTCAGAGGTTTTTTTTCCCAAATGTTTCTTTGTTCTTAAAATTGACAATTTCTTGAAAATAGTGTAATTTACCAATGGTCACCCTAAACAAAGAATATAGTCTTCTGACTGGTATGCAATCCAATAAAAAGTATAAATTGCAGACTTTAGAAACTTTGGTACCTAACAAAAATTACATTATATCAAAACACCCAAACATACCTGTTGAATTTGTTGTGCAAGTTCTCTAGTTGGTGCCAAAATCAGGGCAATAGGTCCATCTCCTCTTGAAAGTCTAGACTGATTGTTGATGTGCACAATTGCTGGAAGAAGGTAGCTCAAAGTTTTACCTGAGCCAGTAGAAGCAATCCCAACCATATCTCTACCAGACAGAGCAATAGGCCAGCCCTGGGCCTGAATGGCTGTGGGGAACTTGAAGTTCATTTTTTTCACCTCAGACATGACATATTCTGGGTATCCTGCTTCTTCAAAGGTGAAAACAGGTTCAGGTATGTTCTTGCCTTTCAGAGAGATCTCTTTGGACTTCCTCCATTCTTCTATTTCATAGGGTGGACGATTAACCACATTGGGGTGGGGCACATAAAAATCTTTCTTGAATGGTTCCAAACGACTCATATCCCAACGAGGTTTGCGTAAGTTGACTCCAGCAGCGCCACGACGGCCTCCAGATCGGCCTCCGCCACCGCCACCATAACCTCTGTCTCGACTACGTGATCTTCTGCGATCCCTACTCCTAGGTCTAAAGAAAAGGTTTACAAAAGCTTCTAAATTAAAATACTTGATACATACAATAAACAGGTCACTTATCAAGTCTTACCTTCTTCCACTGCGTCTCCTCATGACTATTTCACTATTAAATGGTTGGCTTGGTGCTTGGGACTGCCGCTTGGGTTTATATCACTGTTGTTTTTTAAAGAATACGACAATTTTGGGCAAGATATTCAGCGTTTATCTCCTGAATATAATTAGTAAATGGATAGTTATCACAGCAAATTGAATATTTATGCTTCAAATTCACGGTTACATGAAAAAAGATGCGACAAAAATTGATACCGACAACTCACGCCACTCACGGAAAATCCGCCATTTTAAGAGATCGTTTGCGTATGCTAAAGCAAGAAGCAAGGTTTCCACGGTTTGCTAGCACGTTTACGTATATGGCTAGCACATGCTATGCAATCAGTGTTGCCAAGTGCTGAACATAAAATGTCGCAAAAACTTAGGAAAAAAATCACTACAAGTCGCTACGGCGATGCGGCGAGCGAAGCAAGCACATATTTCCGTAATTTAGCGACATTTTTGATCATATTTCCTTATTCTCAGTTAGTATATAACATCAGATAAAAAATCTTAAAAAACTTCATTCATTAGGGATCTTCATTCAGAATCTGTTCAGAATAAAAATAGCACATAAAAAACAAAGAGAATATCAAAATTTCATTCGGTGTATATTTATTCAACATAATATGAATGTATATAACATTCTATATAAAACTAAAGCAATTGAATATACAAAATATTATTCAAAAGTTGAGCAAATGATGAGAACAAACCCTGTCATCTGTCATTTTCTCCTCTGCAAATCTCTTATTCGTCTCGAATATTTCAACGTGAATTCATATTCGTCGTCACCAATTCATATGATCAAAATATCTCCATATTAACCGCTATGACTCTGTTGAAAACTCTATATTTAGCGACAAACCGCTAAGACGGCAACTCTGGCTTCAAGTTTGCTAAACGCAGTCTGTTGTGCGCATATGCGACTGCCCTTATCGTTAGAATTTAAACAACCATGACATCCGGGCAAAATTAGTTTTCACCTCATACACGTACAGACCAATCAGAACGATCCTGCCCGTGGCGGTAAATTCAAAAACCATCTTCAAATTAATTTCCCCTGTCATGGTCAGGCCAGGCTAGGATATTTCGGATTGATTTCTACTTATAGATGCCTCGAGACTCAGTTCTATATTTAATGTAGTTTGTATGTGTTTGAACTAGGTATGTCAGCCGTCCAGTCAAGGATAATCAAATTCTCACCTGATATATTCCTGTAGATTTCCAGGTCTTCTGCTTCAGGCCGGCCTTCATTACCCGTTCATAGGGTGGAAAGTGGACTGTATACTTCTCTTGAGAAGGATCACTCGCGCTTATTTTGAGGTATTTTTTTTTTTTTGAATAATTATCTTATTTAAAGAACTGCGGTCCGGCGCCGTACCAATACCGAATATCGAATCGCATTGTTTTCTCGTTCTTTTTTTTTCGGTCTGAGTGAGACCGAGATTTCCTATTCTGGACAGTTTTGAATTAAATTCGGCGACATAAGTAATGCGCCGTTATTTGAATTTAATGAATATTTGAAGATAGGAAGAAACTTGTTTTAATATAAGTGATGCAATTGATTCTAAATCTAAATGTTGAATTTGAAACTAAATCTAAACTTAACCTTAATTTCGGTGCGCGAACATAGTCAAATTAGCGTTGATTGATATATTAAAGCGTAATATATCAATCAACGAAATTAGCTAGTAACAAACGAGTAGATCGCGCAAGTATCGAGTAGGTAGAAACCGGCTGCTGAGCGAGCAAGATTTCTGCGCGACTATAATTTGCAAATAAAATATTGTTAGATTAAAAAGTTTTTAATGTTGCCCATTTGGAACATTTCAGTTCATAAGATTATATATAACAGACATACATTCAATACATGTAGACAACTATACAAGAATTTCCTCAGCCAAATTCAAAAGGGTGCTGAAATTAGTCACGGAAATCTGTGATAATAATAAGATTCATTTGATTCTTCAATCTTTCTTGCACATAAGATTAGTAATTTCATTTCAGTTCAACTCTCAGAAGTCTCAATAAAAAATATACATTACAGTGAATAAAGCGGGGATGTAAAAAAGTTTGAATAATGTTCATGTTTGAAACTTTGACCTAAAAAAATAAATATTTCAATGAACAGGATGAAATTCAATTACAGTTTCAAACAAGAAAAATATTTTCAAAACGTTGTTTAGATGGAGGGGACAGGGGACTATCAACATTTTGATCCACATACAAAATCAATTGAATGTCGAGTACTCAGTTGATATAAAAAATTGTACTATAATATAATAAATATATCAACTTAATGTTGGTTAACTCAAAATTGTCACTAGTGTTGTTTACATATTGAATTGAAACCGCCCAAATTGTTCAAATTCGAAGTAGATAATCACCATTTTCATAAATTTATAAACTGATTTGAATCCTTCTGATTATATGTATAGTGTAAAATAAACAATATAAAAATATTCATTTATACACCAAGATAGTAAAGAATATATAGTATATTCTTTACTACCAATAAGGTGTATATTGAATTTTTTTCACCACTAGCAATACATTCAATCATTTTAGTTCTGTGAAATCGAAATATGAACATATTAATTGTTACTATGAATAAAGCACTTCTTTCTACTTCTAATTAAAATATAGTAGCTATGACCTTGACAGCACATGACAAGTCGGTATTGATAAATACCTATTAGATTCGAGTGCCATTTCTGCGAATCTCGCATCAGAACAGTGACTTTGGGTTAATTATAACAGCGGTGGCAATATGTCTTTATTGACTATAGTGCTTCATAAAATGACGAAAACTACCTTGGTAGTAAAAACACACTTTATGCCTCGAAAAGGAGTAAATAATGGTAGGTTTTATAACTAGTGGTGAAAAAAAGAAAATATTCAATACCTCTACTAATAATTTTCTCTATTTTAAGGTTTATTTCCAATGAATTACCAACAGTTCAGAATATGGTTTTTTATTTACTAATTCGTTTAGTGCTTCATGGAAAACATAGAGGCTATAATAAAAATTGGTGAGCATGTTTGCATATCAAATACCAATCGCACAGTTTTAATTTTGCTACCTAGTAAAATTTGAGCAAGCCATATATACAGGGTGATCCACGGTGGATGGCCTATTGAAAGTATCTGGAGAACGAGAAGACCAACGTGGCCGCATTGAAATAAGTATAGGGAGGTCCGATAAATCTTTCTTTGTCTAACATCTACTTTGTGCCACTGAACTATTTTTGAATTCAGCAGTGTCAAATTTAACGATATTAACAAATGATGTCAAAATAAGTATGATCTAATTTGGAATTTCATTTCAAAAATTCGAAATGTTATCAGTCAATGACATTTAAGACATATATCACATCATTATTACATCGAAAATAGTTAGTGGCGCAGACTAGATGCTAAACAAGGAAAGATTTATCGGACCTCTCTATATTTCAATGCAGACACGTTGGTAGCATTGAAGAGAGAGATGGAAGAGGAGAGAACTTTCCTCTCTCTCGTTCAAGATAGAAAATAGCCCAATTCATCAAGGTTTAAGAGTGTCTGGGAAGGGGTAGGCACCATGGTAATGTGTCTGGAAGTGGATGACGTGGTTTCTGATATTATCCTGAATAATAGTTATTTATTATGCAAGGGAAAAAAGTACTAGAATCTAGCTCCAGGTTGTGTTGTCTCCCGAAGCGTAGCGGAGGGAGACAAAAAACCGTGAGCGAAAATCTAATATTTTTCCCGTGTATAATACACTATTTTTTTCTGTGACAGAAGAAAAGACGAATCAATATTGAGAAGATATTACATTATTTTGAAATCTGAAAATTATCGACATATATTAAGTTTTTAACAGTAGGGACACCTGCGTTGTAGGCATCTTTATCATTCTTTTGAAGTAATCAAATATCTGATGTCACTTCTGTCAGTCTAATTCTGTGATTTGATTTAAAAAAATTGCGAATATAGTGGTTGTTTAGTAATATACGTAACCGCGAAGTCGAATGGAAGATAAGGACTTGCAGTTCTTTCTCGGAGACGGTATAATTGACTCATTTTTCGGAACTATAGCACAACAAAAGCCATCAGCAGTGTATATATATATGTGATATATATCTGGGACACAAATACTCACTTTTTTCCCACGGGAAAAAAGGTATTTATGAAAAGTGACATTTTATAACCTGCCAACAGAGATGAAATGCCAAACTTTTTTCCCATCACAGAAAAAAATATAAAAAAATACCCTTTATAGTATGACGATACTAAGTTGGTATTTTTAGCACCTTTGCTTTCTGTAACCTCTCAAAGGCATCATGACCTAAATTTCATATATGCCCATCGGTCTCATCTTTCTTGGGAGCATACGCTGAGATATTTTCAGTTTTTATTGAATAACGAAGGTCTGGCATTCATGGGATCTTGCTCTAAAACCCTTCTGAATGTCTTCTTTTGCCTGGTAAAAATCCAGCTCCGTTAATTTATCTTTCAATAAGTTCATGAATGATCTAGAAATAGCTATCTAAAAAGTTGTGTAAGCAATTTTTGCTTATATTATTTGGACACTATCGCATGATGAGTTAATCTCAAAATTTATTGAATGCATCTTCCAAGAATTGTTGAGTTACTCAATATTAGAAGTAATCTCTTCTTGATATAGATCATAATAATAATCAATAATAATCTTCATAATTACCAAGAAAATACATGTTCATAACAGCAAACAAGGGCTAAGTAAATATTTCTCAATAAAATGAATCCAACAATGAATAATTATTGCAACACTGGGTTGATTCTCAAGTTAGCACAGTTTATTGGTGATGTGTATAATATAGTTAACTGATAATTAAATCTCTTCATTGTTAATTGCATACATTCTAATATGCAGGACATACAGAGAGTAGGTAATAGTATATAGGTATGTTGATGATTCTTACAAAGCAAAAATTGTTATCAAAAAAATTCAATCAACAAATCAACATGATGAATATTCCAAATGAAATAACCGATATCGATGTTCAATTGAAATTATATCAATAATGTTGAAAATATTAGATGGTTCGTCAGGGACGTTCTCAATGAATTAAGATCTATGATTGATGAGATTCGCGGCAGTCAAGGTCATCATCTGACGTTGCGATGCCATCTATGGGAAAACATTTCTAACTCCTGGCATAGTTTGAAACTTTTCCCATAGTTTTCATGTCATCGCAACGTCACATGATGACCTTGACTATACGTCAGATGATGACCTTGACTATTTGACTATCAGGAATAGGTTGTTAGTGAATAAGTGCGACAAACTACA